CAAGCTATTACCAGCCACTGTGGCATAAATTTGATTCCCAGCTAGGGAGCTACCCCATATGGTGCAGCAGACCTCTCCTGTCTCACTTGCTGCTCCCCTCAGCAGTGTATTTCAGTAGATCCCCCTGTTCTGCTCCCCACTCTGTCTCTTGGTGAATACTCTGGCCAACCCCCTGCACATCTGGCCTACAACCCAGTTCTTGTATGCATAAATAAATAAAAATAATTTTTTTTAAAAAAATAATAAAAAGGACCCAGAAGGCTATTCATGAAGAATATTAGTGTAGTAGTAATTTGTACGTCGTGGTATTATTGTCTTGCTTTTCCTTTACCCAAATTTTAGATATCTACAGTGCACATAAAAATCACAAAGATTCTTTAGTACAAAAAAAAATCTAGTGTCTGAGAAATATAAATAGTTCATTAACTCTAAGAATGAAGGTAGTAAGCTCTAATTTTATTAGATAAGAAGGAATCACAGAAGTCCAAAGAAATAACTATACTTTCATTCTTTCACTTTACTAAAATATTGCTAACATGGTCTTATGCTAGGTTAGCCTTTAGGCTACTTATGTGTTACTTTCAAAAAGCTCCAGAGAATAGAAAAAAAGCATAAATTACCCATAATTGGATCCAAGATTTAAGGTACCTTTGCAATCTAATAGAAAATAAGGCAAATTAAATGGATGCATTTCACATTAACCAGAGTTTGAACTGATTAATAAATTCTATGTCACTTACTATATGTGAAGTAATTGAACACTGGTCCAAAAAAACCATCCTGTGAAGCTTGATCTTTAAGAGGCAATAGCAAGGGCTCTAATTCTTCCAGAGTATAAAGTCCAGGAACCTCACCTACAGAAGAATATGACAAATGTTTTAAATTTTAGCAACATTACAGTAGTTCAAAACACATTTTACATACTTGATGATATTTTTGGTCTCATATTAAATAATCTGCTCTTACTCAATCTTTCAAAAAATGCACAAATGTTTTCACATCTACCTTACTCACAAATCTAAATCTATAGTCTTCATTTGATAAAATTCAAACTCCTAAGCAAGCCATTCGAGACATTTCATAATCAAGCTATCATTTGCCTTTTCTGGTTCTTCCCCCACATCTCCCCAAGAAATCTAGCCTCAGCTTAATTTGTGTTCCGTAAACATAAACATAGTGAAACACTTACTTTTCCTGTAATAAATGTATACATACATATATATTTACATCTATAGTCTTCCTCTGCCACTTTCCCCAAAATTGCTGTCTATATTCAAGACACTACTTTGCTAACTGCTATGCCCATTAGCCTTTTCTGGGGCTACCCACACACTAAGTCTCTTTGGTATTTCACATACTATGTAAACATTATACTGTTTTTTCACTATTTAGCACCTGTCACAACATTAAATAATGAATGAATTACTTCCTTTTCCTGCCCAATTAGATTCTGAATTCCCAAAGGAAAAATATTTGATCATGTTCAATATTAGCCTTAAGGACATTCTTAGCAAAATATCTGCAACATAAATATTTGATATATAAATGGAAGAATGAATGAATGAATGAACAAACCAATGAGTGAAACTGCACTAGAAATCAGGAGAATTAGTAATGGTCTGCTACTATGTAGATAATGAAAGGTAAATCAAAGTTAATTAAAACTACAAGCATTTGATAGAAAGCCTGAATCATGTCTTATTCATCACTGTAAATCCAATATTTAGAAATATATCTGATATATAACAGGTGTTTAATATCTGTTAAGCCCATGTGTTTATGGTTTGCAAGAAATTCTAAGATTATCTGAAAATTCCTTTGCTATACATCCAAAGCACTGCCTTCATATAGGCCCTATCAAATCTGACTTCTACTTTCTTTAGGCTCAGCTCCAATATGCAAGACCACTCCTCATGCCCCAACCTTGTATATATTAAAAAATATACAGCCACAAATCTGTTTTATGTCTTTCTGTAAACTTCAGCCACACTAGGATATTTTTCATTCTTTAAATTTAGCAAAGAGTTCTGTGTACATACTACCTACTATAAGGAATAAGAATTTTTCAGCAACAAAAACTAACAGAAAGGATACAGACACCTACTGATTTTCTCCCTGGAAGTATTTTTCAAATACATTTTTTTAAGTAAAAATGTTGGCAAATTTTAACTTTACCCAAATCATATCTTGATAATAAACACCAATTTATCTTAAGACAAAAACATTAATTACTGGGGTAATATTTATCTGGCTATATGCTTTCACAAAACAAAACCCAAAATAAAGTATATATCTGATCTACCAGTTTATCTCAGCAAAAATGAACAAGGTCTCCATCTAGTGACAATTTAAGCAGTATGCAAGAATGTGCCCCATAAAAATCAAAAGAAGTTATCTATAAGAAGGCCGCAAACACTTCAAGTTTTCTCAAGACATCCCACTTTCACTATGCCACTATTTCTCTCATTAACAGAAATTGATGAATTATTTGTCTAACTAGAATCATGGTCTATACTTCTCATTTGGGCATTCAATGTAAACAGCTCATATCATGAATTAAATGTATTCTTTAACCAGAGCTGTTTACTTCTGAAGAAAAGACCATATTAACCCTAAACCTATCTAGCATGATATAAAACAGGTATTTATTAAAACTCAGTTGAATATGTAACTTTATTATTAGGTCTCCACAATAGAAAAAACTATACAGTTTAAAACAGATTCCAACAAGGTGTAGCTCATACTTAAATAATAAAATACCCCTAGTCCAAGTTTAAGCCATCTCACACCTGTCCCACTATGATTATGAAAGGATTCTAATAAACTTCATAAATGCTTCAAAACAGGAAAATATATGAGAAATTGCAGATTTATCTATCCCAAGAAACCAACAAAAAGATATGTGGTTCTATGGACAATAGGAGTTTACTATGATTTGAGAAATACAAAAATATACTTGTATTCATATATCCATATTAAGGTCATATCATAAATATTGAATCATTCCATTAAAGACATTTGACCAAATGAACTATTTTTACAAACTATAATATGTATTTACTTACACCTGGGTCTTTTATTTCTGTATGTAAAATTCCTACAGATAATAGAATTGCTATATTAAAGTGTAGGGCACATTTTTCTAATAAGTCCTGGCTGGTAATTTTCTCAAAGGTTATGTCAAAGAATAATTACACCAAAAGAGTATAAGAGGGCCAATTTTTCATTCACCAATGTTTGATGTTAATAATCATTTTTATATTATTGAGGAGACTTGGCTTTATAAAATAGGATATCTCAAGTCTCCTTTCCCAAACATACTTAGCCCCATCTTTTCTTAGTAAAATCTATGCCAAAAAGTCCTCAAAACATAATTACACAAGATAATTTTACTTGAACAATTTTTATAATATTACTTTTATTTTCTTTGAATAGAAAGCATTCACTTGCCTGAAGACAAAAGGCTATTGATCATCTCCAAAAATGCAGGATGAACAAACTGGTAGTCCTCCAGTAGTAAAACTACCTGTTGTGCTTCAATACCTGCAAGATGCAGCACCTGCAAAATAAGAAAATATATTCTGGTTCCCTTCAAATATTTTGGCACAATTTCTGTATGTCATAATAAGTCACTTCATTTATTAATTCATTCATTTTTATATATACCTATACAGGTCCTAAAAAAATTCCATCCTTTTTTTTCTGTTTCATGCCCATCTACTATTCCATAATGTGGGATACCTGAGAGCTAGAAAATCTAATAGAATTTTTTTTCCTATGTGTATATAAAAATACAAATTTTTTAATAATCATGGGAAAAATTAAAATGAAGGCATGTTATATAGAGAAACTTAAAATCTTTAAAAGCCTTTAGAATAATGTAACTTAAAACCAAATATAGCAAAAGTTGGTGAGTAACTCACATGTTTGAGATCATTTTTGAACTGCTTCAGTTCATATCCTCTGGAAACCTTAGGAGAAAACAGCACCGCTCCATGCATGTGACTGACAAGAGAAGTGATGGTGTGACGACCCACACCACTGCGTCCCGCCAGCAGAAGGGAGCCGCCAGGGAAACTCAGGACTCGGTCTATCCTTGACATGTATTCCAGGACTTCTTGGAAAAGTAAAATGTCTAAATTCTGGTTATCTCGTCCATAATGAATAAGACCCTTTATTAAAAAACACAATATTTCATAATATAAATCAGAGATTATCTAAATGATAATAAATTTTTAGTTCAAAAATCAATAAATTTTACCAGCTTTTGCAAATTAAATCCATGTTTAAAAACCAGAAGATAACCCCAAAACTCTGAAAACCCTGTACCTAAAAAAAATCTTGTGAATTCTTGCCTTATGCACTACTTTGAAATGATCAAAACCACACAGATAATTTGGCCTGCAAGAACAATGTGACAGTCTGAGGGAAGAAAGAAGGAACTAGACTTCACATACTTAACAACTTTCAACATTCCCAAACCTTTGATAATATATTTTTCTAAAGATTTATTTATTTATTCATTCATTCATTCATTCATTCATTCAAGCACTGGATATAGTTGGAAGCACAGGAGGGTGAGAGGATTCACCAGAGCCAGAACAGGGAGCAGAACAGACAGAAGGACGAAGTACACTGCTGAGGGGAGCAGTGGGTGGCAGGAGAGGTCTGTGCACCATGTGGGACCCTCACCTGCTGGCAGGGGATAGAGCCGGCGCTGCAGAGGCTGCGGGCAGCTTTGCAGCCCAGCGCTCAACTGCTGTGCCACCAGGGAGACCCCAAACCTTTGATAATAATGAGTTTACAGATCATGAAAAAAATTTTCTTGATATAAAATCCACACTAATTCCAAAGCAAATATTAATTTTTTAAACAATCATATATATTGCTATTTTTTCTTCATTGCATTGAGTAATTAAACTTGAAAAACAAATCTCTCTAGACATACACCTTCTAAATCATATATATTAAACCAATGTTACCTCAATTAAAAAAAAACAAAACTCTCTGGGATAGTGCCTGTTTGGTGGATGAGGAAGCATCAACATCAGCTTGTTAGAAATTCAAATTATCTGGGCTAATAAATAAGACTTTTTCAGAATGGAACCTAGGAATCAGCACAATTTCTGGTTTTCCAAGAGATTCTGATGCTCACTGAAGTTTGATACCACTGCTTTAGGATGATTTTCCAATTAACATTAAGCCTCTATAGATACCTTCTTTAAACAGGCGTCTTGACAATTTTACACATATCTGTGTAAGTACATGAACATCTAGTTAGATCTGCTGCAATGGACTAATATCCTAAAAGATAAAATAGCAGCTTTTACTCCATGCCCTCAAAGAGTCTGCAATATTTTTAAATCACCATAAAAATAACCAAATCCTTGGGGCCTCCCTGGTGGCGCAAGGGGTTAAGTGTCAGCACTATGAAGCTATCATCAGCCACCGCAGCACGAGTTCTATCCCTGGCCAGGGAGCTACCCACATGCCGCAGCAGACCTCTCCTGTCTCACCTGCTGCTCCCGTCAGCAGTGTATTTCACTAGATCCACCTGTTCTGCTCCCCACTCTGTCTCTAGTGAATTCTCTCACTCCCTGCACCTCCAGCTTGTACCTCAGTTCTTGTATGCATAAATAAATCTTTAACAAAATAACCAAATCCTAATTCAAATTCTTCATTCATATTATACCTTTTTAATAACATCCTTGAGATCAGCAGAACTAAGTTTTCCAAGTGGTTTTCCATGTGGAGGCAGTGGTTGTCCTGGGACTGCCCTTGTTCCTGAATGTCGTGCTCCCCATGTAACATAAAAACTACCTGTAGAAATAAAACATATTTTTGTTTTATGTGTTATTTGTAATGGGAATATCAGTAATTACCAAATTATTTTTAAGGTAATTAATCCAAGTAAGGTCATCCCCAGCAAAACAAAGATACTTAAATTACTTCTATTATTTACCATAGGGGATTACCACAGGGGAGTATGAAAAACACCAAACTCTGGAGAAACTCAGATAGTCACTAAGACATAAATACTATCTAATGTCCAAAGGATATGCCAATTTTTTTGCAAGGAGACACTGAATTTTCAGACTGAGAAACATGGTATCACTTAAGAACCAAGCCTTTTCATACTAAGCCATGAAAACTATAGGCCACAATGACATAAGCCTACTCTCAAAATCCAGTCCACTTGGAACTATTTCCAGGCTTCTCTTAGTATTTCATCTAGTCTTAAGCTATCTTGAACTCATTTCCTCATTCCAAAATGCAAACTGAATCTAGAAAAAAAAATCAGGATTCCCTTTGGCTTGTGCAATGGTGACCCTGGTAACAATACCAAGTCTAGAAGTGTTCAACATGTATTATGAGTTATGTGAAATATTTTGAAGCCTAGCTTTCTACTTTAAAAAAAAAAAGGAAATTCATATTGTAGCTTAAAAGATATTTTATTAGAAAATATTTTCATATTATGATCTTTCTTTTTTATGAAAGGCCCTTACACCATGATGATTTTCATATTGCATGCATTACTCAGACCACTTTTCAAAATGCAAATTGGTTATTAAACAGTAACAGCAGCAAATGTGATAAAGCTGTTTGACTTAATGGGGTTATGCTGTGTTTATCATAACAACAGAGAATCTGTTAACATGAGTATGTAAGAAGGTCTATGCTATTGACATAATAAGAAAGGAATGACAATGGCCATAACTTTTAAGCAAAAGAGTAATTTTAGTCATTATAATCAAATGTGGATTTTTTTTAATGATCTTTAAGTTTCATACATAGATAGCTATTAAAAAACTTCAGTAGAGGGCCTCCCCGGTAGCGCAGCGGGTTGAGCACCGCACTGTGAAGCTGTCCACAGCCTCCGCAGCGCCGCTTTGATTCCTGGCAGGCTAGGGAGAATCCCACATGGCGAGGTAGACCTCTTGTCTCGCCCACTACTTTCCTCAGCAGTGCCTTTGGTCTGTCTACCTGTTCTGCTCCCCGCTCTGTCTGTGATGAATCCTCTCACCCTCCTGTGACTCTGGCCTGTGCCCCAGCTCTTGTATAAATAAAAATATATCTTAAAAAAAAAAAAAAAAAACTTCAGTAGAAAAATCATGAAGGAAATAAAATTTTGAAATGCAAATGTAAAATGGTATGTCCTGATCCCCTTTCTTTCGAGGAAACAATTATTGTCATTACATTTTGTTTGGAACATAATTGTTGAAATCTCAGAAAAAAAGAGTAGTCCCCTTATAGTAAAAGTAACATTAACATTATTCAGAATTCTAAATTGTTTGGACATGTGAAATCATATTACTAGTAGGAAAAATAATTTTAAAAGTTCTCATAAAAATTATATATTTACAGGGCCTCCCTGGTGGTGCAAGGGGTTGAGCATAGCACTGTGAAGCTGTCCGCAGCCTCTGCAGCACAAGTTAGATCCCCTGCCAGGGAGCTACCCACATGGCGCGGCAGACCTTTCCTGACTCTCCTGCTGCTCTCCTCAGCAGTGTACTTTAGTCTATCTGCCTGTTCTGTTCCCTGTTCTGTCTCTGGTGAATCCTCTCACCTCCCACACCGCTGGCCTGTACCCCAGCTCCTGTAATTGTGAACAAATAAATCTTTTTTAAAAAATTATATATTTACATATATTCTATAACTATATTACCTGCCATATTGTCTAATATATCTGATCCCCAATCTCCTTGAAACACAGATGATAAAATGCTGTCAAATAGATGAAGCTCCTTTGCACCAACAATTTTGTCACGAAATAAGCGCCGTGCTTCATATGCTACAATTTCTAACACATAATCTAGTGGGTGGTTTGAGGATCCTAAAAAAAGAAAGTTTCTTTAATAGTAATAAAACTCAAATGATTTTAAAATGGTCTGTTTCAACATAATAAAAAGAAATAGAGAATAAGAGTCTACATACCATAATTTTGGCATCAGGCCAACAGAAAAAAAGGGGAGAAAAGTTAAAATTCATTTTATTAATGAATTGGCAATTTTTTTGATGCTTTAAAGGTTATACTAAACACTATTATTTCTAGCTGCTCAAAAATACATAAATCCAAAAATCATATTAAACATGATTTGGTTACATTATTATATTATTTTTCATAAAATCAAGTTTTAACAGTGATAGCCACAAATAGTTTGAAAGAAATGTAATATTTTAAATTAAATATTAATATTTAAATGTACTGCCAATATTTCACTTCAATATTAGTATATTTTAATTAGAATTTTTTGAATATCATAATTACAGTATCATTTACTATCTCTTTACAAGTTAATATGCAATCAAAAACATACCCAAACACAAAAACAAAGACACACTGTGACATTCTAAAGAAAGATAAGTGCTTTGAAATCAGGAAAGCAAACTTACCTCCTTCCAAATCGTATCTAAATAAGCCAAGAACCCACTGAGTAAGAATGCAAGGAGTAAAGAAATAGTGACTATAATCATCAACTGTAAATTTGGCTCGCACCTGAAAATCAAAATACAGTAAACCATCAGTCTACTCAAATACATCATCATGCTATGAATTTTCAGTCACCTGATACTCGTAGGAATGCCAATTCTACCAGTAGAGGAAACTGTATTTCAATATAGTTGATTTCCTTTGATAAAACATTATCTAAGAAGAGTTCATAAACTTCAACAGTGGCAAAAAAAATGAAAGATTAAAAACCTCAGTTTAAGGAGAGGAATTCAAAGAATGCAGTTAACCCAAGCTTTATGAAAGCGTGGTTGCAATTCCAAGGCACTCAGAAGGTTAGATTTCTAATGGTGGGAACCAGAAGCTACTTTATGTTTAAGAAGTCATTGAACTTTCAACAACTTATTGTGTTAAATATAGTAAATTGAGAATATATAGATATTAAATATATTGAACTGAGACTCTATCTCCTTCTCTCTATGGATGGAGTTACTGCTTGTTCTGGACTGAGAACTTCTTGCATCCTAGCTTATCTTTCCTCAGTTGTCCTCCAATACTAGAAAAAGTGTCATTCACAAACACTTCCATAATTTTGACATACTTTACTTAAGAAGACCTTCTTCATCTTTATCCACTTGGTATGTATTCATTTTTCAAAACCCAGATTACATTTACCTCTTCATAACAACTACTGCTTATGACAACATTATTCACTCCCTCTTCTATGCTATCTCTGTGACTTATACATACTGATACTGTTACACTTCTCACACTGTATCATAGTTCATTAGATGACTAGGTCCCTCATTAGACTGTCAAATTCCAGAAACAGAGCTCAGTCACCTCTGCATTCCAAGGACAGCACTGGCAAGAGAAGGTACTCAATAAAAGTCTTTTGCATTTTTAATGTCTATTTTTCAGCTATCTTCTCCATTTTATCATGAAAGGACACTTTAAACATTCCCTCACAGGTAATAGGAAAAAAACATCAAAGATTAATCCCAGGTTTGAAGAATGAAAGAAACTGATAGAAGTCAGGAGAAGGATCTGGTTCTGAAAAGAATGTGAATTCCATTCTAAATATACTAAATTTGGGCTGACAGCAGAATAACCATCAACCCGATTCATTCATTCAATATGTACTGTGTAGTGAAAACTGAGAGAGGATACAAAAGTGAATAAAGCATGTAGATCATTTACCCTGAAAGAGATTATTTTCTAGAAGAAAAGTCTAGTAAACTACAGGAAAGTAAAGCCTGAGTGCTATTAATACAGGTAAGGATTAAAGGAGAGTGATACTAATAGACATGAAATAGCAATATAAATATCACATACATACTTACCTGTTCATACACTTGTACCATAGATCCTGCTAAGAGATAAATTTTTGATGAAGAACTCCAAATAGAATGATTCTTCAGATTTTTATGGAGAACTGGTTCCAAATATGCTCCATAAATCGTCTGTAATTGCTCTCTTTCTGGATAACTACAAAAGGCATATAAGAAGAAAGTTGAAGCAAATCAAATTATATCTTAGAATCCTAATGTTAAGTTACAGTCGTGGTTTTCAAACTGTGCTGCTTTGAAACTCGATACATCCAAGGTTTACCTGGGGGCTAGGCCAGGCTCAAGGACTGTTTTACCACTTCAACCAAACTATATCCCTGATCATCTGTAGTCAAATACCGGGTTGGGGGCAGGGGAGAAGACAGTCCTAATAGAGGATTCCAATAAAACTAGAAAATATTGAATAATATAATCTGAATAGTATAATTGTTCAGAAACCCAATGCTCTTTAGAAAAGGCCAAAAGAATTTTTACTTAAGGGCCTCCCCTGTGGCGCAGCGGTTGAGCACTGGGTTGCGAAGCTGCCCGCGGCCTCTGCGGCGCCTGTTCGATCCCCGGCTGCTCCCCGGCCACAGGAGGAGGGTCCCACATGGCGCGCAGACCTCTCCTGCCGCCCGCTGCTCCCCTCAGCAGTGTACTTCGGTCCTTCTGCCTGCTCTGCTCTCCGCTCTGGCTCTGGTGAATTCTCTCACCCTCCCGCGCTTCTGACTGTACCCAGTGCATGTATAAACAAAACAAACAAACAAATAAATAAATAAAACATGCCTCTAGAAAAATTAAAAAATTAAAAATCAAAAAAAAACCTAAAAATCAAAAAATAAATAAAAATAAAAAAAAAAAGAATTTTCACTTAAGAAACAGCATTTTGAGTTACATATATCCTATATACAGCAGCAATCCTATTTAGAACTATAAAAGTAGAACCAATACAACAAATAAAATCAATCTCCCAGACCAACACTTATTTCAATACACTTTAATGATGGCTTACAATATTTCTGAAAGAATAAAGTTAACAGATGGATAGCAATTAGCAAAAAAACAAAATTAAGATTTTTGTAAGGCAAATTTTAACAGACAATACAAAAAACCTAAAATCAAGACTCCCTGTAACAATTATAGACCATGGAAATGAATGCAAGTGTATTAATGTTATCAGTCACAAAAACTCTACTTCATTCAGATTTAAATTCTCCTTTTAATTATCTTCAAACTTGACACACTTTTTGTTTTTTGAAAGCCATAAAACTTATAAATCTAAAATGCACAGGATTCTTGATTTTAGAACAGAGACAATACCAAACAGTTGTTTTATTTCTTAGTAAATTTCTAATACATGAGGCTTTAATTAAAGCTTTTATCAGTCTAAATTATTGCCTATAGTTTGAGAAGGGTGAGAAAAAAATCAGAGCTTAAGTTCATTCTTTTTATACCCTACATTTTAGAGAAATATCATTAATGGATACCTTTAATAAAATATGAATATATAAAATGTCTCCTCAAAACAATAAAAATGAAAGAAAGTAAAATACATACTCTACAGCACAAAGACGAACAATCGAAGTAAATCTGGTAGTAAGTTTATGTCTTCCCAGTCTTCCTCCAGCTGACATAGAAGCAACAATCTGAATATTTTCTAAACCAACCCATTCCAAATTTTCGTCATAAAAGCCTTGATATGTCAATACCTATTTGAAAATAAATATATTTTAAATGGTTATGTTTCAGATTTTTTTTCTATTTTTTACATCATTGTTCATTTTTAAACAATATTTGCTTCTCTCTACCCCCTCAGGTGTAGACCCCACAGAATTGCCTTCACCAATGCACCCGTGCACCACACCATAGTTCTCTATGCTCCTCCCTCTAAACCCTCTCCCTCCTCCTCCCCTGCAGTATGTCTCTGGTTTATAATTGTCTATTTTTGCTTTGTTGTATTTTGTATTATTATTATTTTTTACACTGATGTCTTATTTGGTTCCCCTATACTCCTGTTATAAGTGAAACCATCCAATATTTTTCTTTTTCCTTCTGACTTATTTCACTGAGCATAATTCCTTCTAGCTCCATCCATGTTGCCACTAATGGCATGAGTTTATCTTTTTTGATTGCTGAATAATATTCCATTGTGTATATATACCACATCTTCCTGATCCAGTCATCTGTTTTTGGGCATTTGGGTTGTTTCCAGGTTTTAACTATTGTAAATAGTGCTGCAATAAACATAGGGGTACAGGTGCTCTTTTGCATCAATGTTTTTGTGTCCTTTGGGTAGATCCCTAGTAGTGGAATTGCTGGGTCATATGGTAGCTCCATTTTTAGCAGACTGAGGAACCTCCAGACAGCTTTCCATAGTGGTTGGACCAGTTTGCATGCCCACAAGCAATGTAGGAGAGTTCCATGATGTATTTTTTTTTTTCCACAAAATTCAATTGTTTCCAAAAGCAAGTACCATCCTCCATTAAACTCAAGAATTTAAGACTGAAATGTTTTAAATTCTTACGTTAAGAACAATATTACTCAAGAGTCTATGTTCAATTAATGTTAGCTGAATTATACTTATTTTTAAATATTTTTCTAATAAACATTAAAATCCAGATGATGGTACAAATCCACCAGAAATTATGGAAAAAGTGACAGAAATCAGAAAAAAAATAAGGAAAATATTTTGGCATTTTTCTATAAATAATTTATACTGCAATTAAAGCTAAATTTTAAAGTAATATATATCTACTAAGCTCTAATTTACAATTTAGGGCTTCTCATGTGATGTGAATCACAGAGAAAAAATATTCCATGCTGACTAAGAACACAAGGCCTCAGATCTTTACACTGGCAAAGAGGGAGACTCATGGCATAGAGAAGCCAGAAAGGGGCATGACTGAGGCTTTAAAGCTATCAGAAAAATGCATACCTAAAAAATTAAGAAAAACCTCCCATCTCCAGCACAATCCCTAAATTCTGCTTTCCTCCCTATTTTAAGAACACAGGACAGATAATAGGTAAAAAGGCTGTTTTTACTCTTCTTGTGATTTATCAGCTAATGTAAAACTAGCTTCTAAATGGAGAAAGATCAAAGAAAGTAGCCCTGGAAGACTGAGGCTATAGAAAAAGGACCCTAAAGAGGAAAAGCCGATTTTCCAGCTACACAAAAAGTTAATGAAGTTAAATTCTTTCCAATTTTATTAAAACACTCCAATGATAAGACTCACCTGTTGCAGGAAGGCCACCAAAGTGCTGGTCCCCCACTTATCCAGCTTAGGTAGGTTGATATCTTTTAAGTACAAAACAAGTCGTTCACAATCTTTTGGTCTGTACACGCGACCTGTATTAGTGCTGATTACCATGCAAGTCTGGTTCAGCTTTTGCAGAAGATGCCTGGATGTAGTCTGTGCACTGCAGTGAACTGTAGCAATCTGAGTAGACCGGAGTTGGGAAAAGGCATACCTGAGCAGCATCCTGTAAAGACGTATGATACTTAACTTTCATAATGCAACCAATAAAATACCTTTATATCAATATGAAATTTCTATTTTACAAATATTTCCATTTCTAAATTATGTATGATGATATTTAAGGGCAAAGTAGTAAACATGGATATGGTTTCCTTGGTTAAATTTCTAGTAAGGTACCTTTCTAACTTTCTAGACTGGTAAAAAAGCTATGCTTTGAGGTATCACTGGGACACTTTCAGAAAAAAACAACAATGCTCAGAGTTAGTTAGTTAGTTAGTTAGTTAGTTAGTTAGTTAGTTAGTTAGCAGAAATAATTTAGTTGGTAAAAGATACCAATTCTGTTTCTGTACAGTTGAAATAAACAGGTGAAGGTATTAAGATCTCCAATTTAAAAAAAAAATTACTATGTATAGTATTTTTAAATTACTACTTGAAATGTCAAACTAATAATGAATGACTCCTTTAAGAAACTACATTCAATAAGTCCTAAAAGTAGGATGAATTCCACTGAATTAAAAGGCATTTTGAAATTGCTAACATCAAAATTCATTTTTATAACTAAGCAAATAGTAATTTGTGGATATAGCTAAGGCACTTCTGTTTTTGTTGTGATTGTATGCACAGATTATTATTAAGAGTGTCTCCTCAGATTGCTATCTTTCCATTTGAAAACACATAACCTGACAGAAAAAAGGATATAGTCCTCTCTATAGTCATACTATTTTTATAAGTAGTAACAATGCAAAGAGTTCTCCGTGGAAACATAAATGTTGCTTTAACCAAAGAAAGGTAATAAAAGCTGGTAACATGTTTTTAAAGGACAGGAGAGAATAAATCCACAATGGGCACCTCAGTCAATATTTTCTTGCTCTTACCCTTTGCCACATCCTTCTGGTCCTACAAGAATAAATGGCTGTTTAGTATGAGAACTTAACCAAGGTTTGACATAATCTAGACCTCGCTGCATGTCAGGAGTCTGAATGACAGGAAGAGTTTGTCCATTACTAAAATCATCAGCAGTCAGGTTTTCTGGCTTCTTCAGCATATAAGATGCTAACCGTCCTTTACTCAAGTCATAGTAAGTGTCCATTGGCTTGTGAGAGTCTGGAGGAGATTCCCGTGCCCAGTTAAAAACCTGAAGAAGAAAAGATTGTATCAGGTTTTCACATATTCCAGAGTAGGTGAAATTTTAATTATAAAGTAAATGTCCCACAGTGAGTCATTTATACTCAAAAAAAGGTTCACATACACTAAGCCTACTAAGTAGCCTTTATACAAAAGTAAAACTTTGTCTCAAGTACTGTTCTCCAAATGATCATTTGAAACAAATAAATGTCACCCAGGTTGCACATACAAGAAGATATAAATATATTCAACTATTAAATGCACTCCCACGAAAATTATATTACAAATTACACAATGTAGGACTCCTAATCCCTTCATGTTCACCATAGTCTGGTATAACCCATTCCAATGTTGTCACCACTGCTCTCAATCTTTTACTCCTCTTCTAACATTGAAAACTGTTATTTGTGCATATAGACAACAGAGAGTTGGTCCCTGATGTAAATTTGAAACACCTTTCTTCTGAAATTTAGCAAAAGAATGCCTGCTCAAAAGTAGCATATAATATGGCATCAAGTGGTTAATGAAGAGAATATTGCAGAAGAGACAACAGAATGGCAAAGGAAAGGGAAACAGAGTAGAGAAAACAAAAAATGATGGCATAAAAGAAACAAAATAGTCAAAGCTCTCCTTAGAAAGAGAATGGCAGTATCACATTCCCAGACTTCAAACTATGCTACAAAGCCATAATAATTAAAATAGTACGGTACTAGAACAAAAACAGACACACATAATAATGGAATTGAATAGAAAACCCAGAAATAAACACACATATTTATAGATAACTAATCTTTGACAAAGGAGCAAAGAATAGGTAATGGAATTAGGACAGTGTGTTCAATAAATGGTGCTGGGAAAACTGGACTGCTACATGCAAAAAATGCAACTATACTACTACCTCAAACCATGCACAAAAATCAATTCAAAATGGATAAAAGAATTGAACATAAGCCCTGAAGCCATAAAGTATATAGAAGAAAATACAGGCAAAACACTACATAACATACATCTCAGCAACATCTTTAAAGACACATCCCCAAAAGCAAAGAAAGTGAAGGAAAAGATAAACAACTGGGATCACATCAAACTGTACAGCAAAAGAGACACTAACCAAAACAAAGAGACACCCTACTCATTGGGAAAAGTTTTTGCATACATACAACTGATAAAGAACTGATCACAAAGATCTACAAAGAGCTCATATAATTCAACAAAAACAAAGTAAACAACCCAGTCAAAAATTGGGCTAAAAAGACACTTCTCCTAAGAGGAATGCAAATGGCCAACAGGTATATGAAACAATGTTCAATATCACTTATAATCAGGGAAATGCAAATCAAAACCACAATAAGATACCACCTTACACCAGTGAAAATAGCACACATTTAAAAAACAGGCAACAACAAATGTTGTCAAGGATGTGGAGAAAAAGGAACTCTCCTACACAGCTAGTGGGAGTGCAAACTATGGAAACCTATGTGGAGGTTCCTCAAACTACTAAAAATGGAGCTACCATATGACCCATCAATTCTACTCTGAGGAATCTACTCAAAGGACACAAAAGCATTAATTCAAAAGGATACCTGCACTTTACAATAGGTAAGATATGGAAACAATCCAAATGCCCAAAAATAGATAACTGGATCAAGAAGACATGGTATGTATATATATACTGGAATACTATTCAGCAATCAAAAAAAGATAAACTCCATTCACAGCAACATGGATGGAGCTAGAAAGGATTATGCTCAGTGAAATAAGCCAAGCCAGACAGAAAAATAAAAGTATCTGATGGTTTCACTTATAGGAGGAATATAGGGGAACCAAATAAGAGATTGGGAAAAAAAATCAATAATATTAAATTAAATTAAAAAAAAACAAAATTAGCATGCAATGATAAGTCAGAGACATTACGTGAGGGAGGGGAGGAAAAGGGTCAAAACAGGGGCGAGAAGAGCATGAGTGACTATAGTGATGTTTCATGGGTAAACTGGTAGTGGGAATTTTATGGGGAATACACCTAAAAAGAGAAAGCATACAAACAAAAATGAACAATGACTTAAAAAATATATATATATGAAGAAAAAAATGGAAGAAGGGCAGGAACAGAACGTTGGTCCCAACCAAGAGGAATTCATGTTCAATTATTTCAACATAGGCAAATAGAAAGAAATCCCTTAATATGTAAAATTCAGCTTTTTAAACAACTTGACTAGAACACACCTTTATTTTTTTTAAAAAATATGTATAATTATTAATCTATCTTTGCATTCCTTATTATTAAAACTATTCTGGTTAAACAAATGATTACAAAAAATTATCCTAAGTCAAAAATTAATTTAAAAATTACAATATTCAAACAGCAAAGATTCAAAAATGTCTAACAGGAAAGATATAGTCCAAATTGTAGACTATTAAAACAAGATTTTATAAAATTTTAATATAAATTATCATAAACTATTTCAAAGGAGAGAATAAGTATATAAATAAATGTGTTTATATAGAAATCTATAAATATATTTTCTCTATTGAATACTTAATTTCAAAATTTATAAGTTCTAATTATAAGTCACTATATTTTGGCAGTTAAGACAAAATGAAAATTAAAGAAAAATGTTGACCAAATATAGGTGTTAAAGATGTATTACCTCTTTAGTGAATTCCAGACGTGATTTCATATTCAGATTCCCACCAAGTCCCCTTGTGAGATTAATAATAAACTGATCATGATCTTTGCAACAATGTAGATGAGATAAACCATTCATCACAGTTCCAACCAAACTGGTTTCTACCACATAGTCATTCTGTTGATTAAAATCCATGATAAAGACAAACGTAATATCAACCATTTAACTGAGACCTATGCATATTGTTGTTCACATATATTTTCAAAGATTATCTTTAAAATTATCCTTTTATTCAAGTTGTAGAATAGATTTCATTTAATTTATACATGTAAACTATGAAAACCAAAGACAATCATAAAAACACAATTATATATTTCTGGCTGTAAATGCCTCAGTCCTCACATGGATATATGGTTTGTTTACCTCCTAAACCTAAGCAGGCTTACATGAAAAAAGACTTGAAACTTTCTCTCTAAGCAGAATTTTAAAATGAAACTTTGGACAGAGGTATTGCAGATAATTTTGATCTGTAGGAATCTGGAGCCCCTATGTAACTCCTGGGGAATTAGGCGAGGAGTGTTCTCCTTTGTATAAGAATTTACTGAGAATAAATTATGGATAAGGATGTACATGTGGTTGTGAGTATTTTTTAAAAAGGTGAATTAACCAGAGTACTTGTTTTCAAGAAACTCAAGTCTAGGGCCTCCCTGGTGGCTCATGGGGTTAAGATGCAACCTATGAAGCTGTCCAACCTCTTCAGCACAAATTTGATCCCACGCCAGCCAGGGAGCAACCCACATGGCACGGCAGACCTCTTCTGACTCACCTGCTGCTCCCCTCAGCAATGTACTTCGGGCAATCTGCCTGTTCTGCTCTCCACTCTCTCTGGTGAATCTTCTCACCTCCCACCCCCCCACGCCTCTGGCCTGTACCCCAGTTCTTGTATACATAAATTAAAAAAAAAAAAAACTCAAGTCTAGTAGAATAGATGGGTTACAAGTTGTGGTAAGAACTTACAGAGCAACAGAGCAGTGTTGTGAGAAAGGGTAACTCAAAGCAAGGACTCAAGGCCTCTTTGGAAAAGGCAACAATTCAGCTAACATCTGAAGGATGTCATATGCTGAGAGTAGTGCACATGCAAAGGTAAGCCATTCAAGGAAAAGAAAGTAAAAGAGTGGCTGAGTAAGCAAAAAAGTGTTTAAGTCAGAGAGACAGGTAAGCGTCAAACTGCAGATTTGTATGAAGCAGGCAAGCGTCAAACTGCAGACTTGTATGAGGCAGGTAAGCGTCAAACTGCAGACTTGTATATGCCATGGTAAGAAGTAAAAATTTTATTTTCACTGCCTTTAAAGTGTTTCTAATTAAAATAATCCAATTTTCATTGGTTTACAAAAAAAAATCACTCTACCTGCAAAATAAAATATTTAGAAAAACAGAGAAATGGGAGGAAGAGCAGGTAAAGGGAGGAGATAGGTAGAAATGCAGCTGTTTAGGTCATGCAAAAGGTTCTAAGGCTTTAAAGGTAAGGTAAAGAAAACCCACAGATTATCTTCTAGATTGATTTGTTACCTTAATACAAGAAAGTAAAGCTCTAAATTATAAGTAAAATTTATCATTTGACTAGAGCAGTCATAATGGTTATATGTCTCAGAATATGGTGAGCAAAGTACAGGAAAAAAAGGAACAAATACTCAACACACAAAAAAATTATAACTCAAAATAGAATCAGTTTATTTCTAACTGAATCTCTGGTATCCAATTAATGGATGACAATTTTATCTGGTCATCATTTCAAAAATCACAGACTTATATATATCAATATACTCCATTTAGTGTTATAGATGTCATTCTAACATTAACAGCATGCACGCAGATGACATCAAGCTATTCTCATTGGAGATAATTATTAGGCTCTGTATGTTTTAATAAAAAACTAACATATTTACTGAAATGGTGTGGCAATGTAGGCATCAGGCAATTAATTGAGCATCTATGTCCTTATTCACTTATTACTCTGTCTGTGACTACCATACTAGGCTCTGGGGATACAACCAGGAATAAGACAAGCATGATCCTTGCTCTCAAGGTGCTTACAGTTGAAAGACGTATTACTGCAGAAGCACAAGCTCAATCAGACTGAAAGCTGGCAGTTCTTTCCCTGAGACCTTCAGAGAACCTATCTCATTTGTACCATTTCATCACAAATTCCTAGTTCTCCATCTTTCAAAAATTCAGGACAGAAAGATTGAGAAAATTAAAGTGAGATATACATTTCTATACATGTCTTGCTCAAGTTGAAAGTATTGACTCTAAAGCAAGTTCAGATTAACAATCAGATACTTTTTTTTTTTTACACACATCTTTTTTTTTTCAGCATATATACTTTATTTTTTTTTATATACAATATTTGCTTTCCCCCACCCCCTCAGATTGAGTCCCCATAGAATTTCCTTCCCCAAGGCACCTGTGCACCATCACCAGTCCTCTGTGCTCCTCTCTTTCTTCCTCCCCTGCAGTATACTTTTAAAAAAATTCACTGGTATTTGTACATTTTTTATGTGTACCTCTTTCACAAAATACATAAAAGAGAAGCCAACAAAACTGAAAAAATCAAGTTAAAATATCTGAAAACCCTCAATTATCTCACTTATATGCTAAACTTTTATTCATGCTTCAAGTTCAAAATTAGGTGTGACCTCACTCATATTTCTTCTAAAAGACAGAAATACACTCTTTATCTGTTGCATTGTGATTTTCTTCTTACATGTTGTTTTCTTCCATCAGACAAACTCTTCTTAATGAAAGGGATTGTGTATATTTTGATATATGTTAAATATTCAATAAATTGTTGTTTAAAAAGAAATCTTTCCAACAATATTGCAAGTAACTTAACATCCTTTTTCAACTTTAGTATTAACTTGATATTGTTTTTAGCATAATATATGCAGGCATTTAGTGACATAGTAAAAGATGACAGCAGGTGGTTTTGTTAATAAAAATTATAAAGTCACTCCAATATTTAAAATTGTAGATAAGCAATGCAAAGAACTGTGTATAGGAGAACTAGAGTGTCTTTACACAAATAACAAGTTATGCTCTGAAACCTAGCAGGACAGCAATGAAGACAGCTGCCTCTCACTCCACCCCATTTTACAGCAAAGCTCCACTAAAAGGTTATATGGAGACATATACATTAACAACGTGTAAGCACTACTCTCAATCATTATACCTCCTGACAAAATGATTAGCTGTGAAAACTTATGCTTAACTTACCTGCTTTAGAACCCACTGTAAAGCTTTTTCAAAATAATCTCCAATCCAGTTTTCAAGATTATGTCTGTATTTAGATGGCTGATTCCTCAACCAAGATTTTATCAGAGAGTTAATATCTGTCTCTTCATCACTGAAACAGATTAACACAAACACATTAGAAATTAGTAGCAAAAAATTGCAAATTTATTTTCAAATTAAATTGCTGCTCCTGTACTACACATGTATTTTATCTGCCAATAAACTACAGTTAACTTTACTTTTGTATATGTATGTGTACATATTAATTTCTTTTACATCTATATATACTTCATTTTCTACAAATCTAATAAATCCCATATATATTATTATAAAAATGAATGAAATAATTACATCTCTACAGGTTAGCAAAATAGTGGTCTAAACACTTCCTACTCAAAATATAATGTGCCTACTAGAAGTATAGAACCCCAAGTCCCCACTCTATCCACCAACACACCATAAAAATATTTTTATTTTAATAAGATCCTTGGGGAATCAAATGCATATTAGAGCTTAAGAAACACTGCATCTTAATGCAATCTTTAAAAATATATATTTCTTTTTTTCTATCCCATAAGAAATTAGCTACCTAAATTCCATGGCACTATTAAAACTCGAAGATCCTCTGAAAGTAAAATATAATTGTTTTAGTAAAACAATTATGAGTAATATTTGATGATTGAAATTAAATATTGATAAACTATTCATAATTATAGAAAATATTCTAGTAAATTACCTGAGGAAGATCATTCCCATTCTAGATATTGTAGCTGGTGAGGCACAACTTAAATCATGAGTTTCAAATACAAAGTTAACATTTGGACCAAACTGAATTCTTTCTCCACTGGGCATAGTGAGTAGTCGATTATCATCCAGAACAGAATTCAGAGATTCTATCCATTCAGGGTCAATATCACCATCACATATTATCCATGAGGTGACATCTATTCAAACCAAAAACAATGGAGATGGCATGAAAATACATGCAGTGATAACAATTTAAAAATAAGGAATAAAATAATCAAGATATAAATAAGGAATAAAATAATCAAGATATCACCAGCCACTGAAGCATAAGTTAGATCCCTGGCCAGGGAGATATCCCAAATGGCACAGCAGACCTCTCCTGTCTCTCCCGCTGCTCCCCTCAGCAGTGTATTTCATTAGATCAGCCTGTTCTGCTCCCCACTCTGTCTCTGGCGAATTCTCTCACACCCTGCACCTCTAGCCTACATCCCAGTTCTTACATGCATAAATAAGTAAATATTATAAATCTTAAAAAAAAAAACTGTCATCTTGCTTACTTATGAGGCATTATGATGTCAATTCAGCAAAGATTTTATATTTATTCAGCAAATCAACAAAGATTTTATATATAAATATTCAGCCAATTAAACCAGTTGTGAATTACAATTCACCTAGATTACTATGAGTTTCTATAATAATAAAAAGCTGCTATGGAGCATAGATCAAAATGGTAGCACATCTTGGGCCTCTTCAAAGTAAAATACCAATGTACATCATTAGGCAGTTTACAGTCATGTATAAGACTTGATAAGAACATCATTTCAAACAAGTTCTATCATCCTCTAAAAATCATTAAATAAAACAATGAATCACCCAGCAGAGACCAACCTTGCGGTTCTCGAACTACTTGGCGAGCACTATTTGTCAAAACACCATCAGACCATTCCCTTGTGTCCATGTCAATATGGCCTAGTAGTTGATGTCTAGGCATAGCTTTGGGATTCATAGTATATTGTTTCACCACTTTGCCAATTTTACAAAGTGCCGCCCTTAACATTCTCCAAAGAGTTGATTTCCCAGCACCACTTGGACCAACAATAACAACTCCCATCCTCTGGCATAGCTGTTCATGCAGTTCTAAAGCCTTTTTGATCTAGCAGAAAAAAACAATAACAACACATAAACACACACATGGTTTATAGTGTTCAATCATACATTCATTCTCTCATTCTATAACAGTTGCTCTATTCCAAACATATAAATTAAACTTTGGTTTCTTTAGTAAAACATAAAGCTTTAAGTAAAAGGATACTTAAATAAATCTTAACAGATTTAGAATGTGTCCTTTAGGGCCTCCCTGGTGGCGCAGACAGTTGAGTGCCACACTGTGAAGCTGTCTGCAGCACAGGTTCGATCCCTGGCCGGCCGACGAGGGTCCCACATGGTGCGCAGACCTCTCCTGCCAAGCCCGCTGCTCCCCTCAGCAGTGTATTTCGTCATTCTGCCCGTTCTGTTCCCCACTCTGTCTCTGGTGATTCCGCTCACCCTCCCACGCATCTGACCTGTACCCCGGTTCTTGTATAAAAATAAAAAATATTAAAAAAAAAAAAAAAAGAATGTGTCCTTTAATATACCCAAAGGACACAAAAATACTAACTCAAAAGGAAACATGCATTCCCATGTTCATTGCAGCACTATTTACAATAGCAAAAAGATGGAAACAACCTAAATGCCCAAAAACAAATAACTAGATCAAGATGTGGCATTATACACAATGGACTACTACTCAGCAATAAAAAAGATTAACATGCCATTCACAGCAACATGGATCAAACTTAAAGGAATTATGCTCAGTGAAGTAAGACAGAAGGAAAAAGAAAAATATCAGATGGTTTCACTTATAGGAAGAACACAGGGAAACCATTCAAGGGATAAGGGAGAAAAAAAAGGCAAAACTAGCATACAAGGGCCTCCCCAGTGGCACAGTGGGTTGAGCACAGCGCTGTGAAACTGTCTGCAGCCTCTGCAGCATGGGTTCGATTCCCAGCCAGCCAGGGAGAAACCCACATGGCGCAGACCTCTCCTGCCTCGGCCACTCCTCCCCTCAGCAGTGTATTTCAGTCAATCCGCCTGTTCTGCTCCCCACTCTGTCTCTGGTGAATTCTCTCATCCTTCTATGCTTCTGGCCTGTACCCCAGTTCTTGTATAAATAAAAATAAATCTTTTTTAAAAAAACTAGCTAACAAAGTATAAATCAGAAATATTCATCAGGGGAAGGGGAGGAATCAAAATGGGAGGGAAGCGTGGAAGAGTCCTGGTGATGGTCCGGGTGTCTTGGTGGTGGGAATTTTATAGGTAAAACACATGAGAGGAGAAATCAAACATTTTACAAAAATGAACAATGTAAAAATATATAAATAAAAATGAAAAAAATATAATGTGAATTTCAAATCCTGTATTTCTTTAGAAGAAACAATAAGGATGCTTTCCAAATATTTGAAAATATACCATACTCATTATTTTCTTTACTCATTCATTCAAATATAATGTATTCATTACTTTACTCATTTTTTCATTCATTTATATACTGTCTGTCTCTAAAATAAATCCTGAATGAAAAGTATTCATTTTGAATATGTGTTTGTGCTACATAAAAGGACTTACTAAAAAGGACTTCTCCTAAGAATCTGTCAAAGTGAAACTAAATCACACATAATCAGTTATCAAAAATATCAATTAAAAAATAATGGGTGTATTATGTGTCAGGTTATATAAGAGGCACTAAAAATAAAATGGTGGCCAAAAAATAGACATTAATCCCGCCTTTCATGAAGATTGCCATCAGGTAGAAGAGAATCAATATATTAGCTAAATAAACAATTAAACACTAAATAAGTATATATAATAGGAGAAATGAAACTCATAGCAAAGGAACCCAATCAGGACTTGAAGAAAGAAAAGAAAAGAACGAAAAGAAAACTTCTCTGAGCAAGTAAGATTTACATTGAAAGTAAAAGATAAAAATAAAGAATAAGGGATAGCTAATACAGAATTAGCTAAGAGAGTCTCAATATATTATAAAATATTCTTCACAGTGACCTGATTGGGTATGATTTCATAATTGGCTTCTTCAAAGACTTGCTTTAAGGCAGCACTCAATTCATTATATTCTACTTCTTGAAAGTCGATTCCAGGAAACACGTCTTTAATCAGTGCATCAAACCGAGTACAATCAGCAAATGTGAACTTGGACATTGTATTAAGCCTCAGCGCTTGTACGACAATGTGACTTTCATTAACTAGGAAAGAGTTTCATTTAAAAATTATTAGTTACGAATGTAATGACTATAAATAAGTTTTCAAGTGCTCTATAGTTTGATGTAGATTAAGTCATTAACTGATGTTCTAGAATTTAGTAACATTTAAGGCACATGCTATCCCATGTGAATTGTTAAGCTTACCTTACTATCTTTTGATGCTGAAAAGTTAAAAGTCAATTGCTAAGTAGAGTTATGACGCTCTTTCCATAGAATTTGAATCCCGGGCACCCAGACATTAATTAATAATAAAAATCATCATCACTTATATCTGCATAGTATTTTACTACTTACAAGATCCTTGTAACAACTGTATAAAGCACATGTAGCAAGTATAAAGAAAATACTATCAATCCAATTTTACAAATACTAAAATTTTTCTCCAAATTAAATCTCTAAGAGTTAAAATGAAAGAGCACAGCACTAAGTATTATAGCTGGGATTTATACACTGGTCAACTAATTCCAGATTCTGTTATCTCTCCAAAAATATCAATATTGCCTCCCAGGTTACTTCCAACAATAAAAAAATAACTGAACAATAATCTTTGATTAGCTTTGATAAAAACTGATTCAGAAACCCATTATTAAGCCAAATGTAAATACTAATATTGTAAGACCTACTTTCAAGTATATTAACTGGACATAAAGGCAAATAATTTTTTAATCTGGTATTTCTAACTGCTTAGTAGTTTTATGATGAAGTATAAACAAAGAGGTGTGACTATACTTCAATCACTGAACTCATAAATAAACCATTCTTATTTATTACAGGTATGGTTTAAATAGTTCTTAAAAGTCACCAGAGATAAACTAATAAAATAGTAATTTAAATACCTGACCAAACAACTATTTCTACATTAGTATATGCCAATCTAAAATGGCTAAGTAGCTTCTTTTTTCAAAATGTATACTTTGACCATTTAAAGTTTGAATTATGGGCCACCCTGGGTGGCGCAGTGGTTGAGCGCTGCGCTGTAAAGCTGTTGGCAGCCTCTGTAGCGCCAGTTCGATCCCGGCCGGCCGGGGAGGGTCCCACATGAGGCAGCAGACCTCTCCTGTCACGCCCACTGCTCCACTCAGCAGTGTATTTCGTCAGTCTGCCTGTTCTGCTCACGGCTCTGTCTCTGGTGAATCCTCTCACTCTCCCGCACATCTGGACTGTACCCCGGTTCTTACATAAATAAATAAATAAATCTTTAAAAAAAATAAAGTTCGAATTATTTGGTGAAGGATAGAATTGAATTTTTAGTTGTGAACTTAATATACAAATGGCTTTTTAAATACTTTTTTTTTTTAAAGATTTATTTATTTATACAAGCACCGGGGATCCAACCGGCACAAAAGAGACTGCGGGCAGCATTGCAGCCCAGCGCTCAACCGCTGTGCCAGCAGGGGAGGCCCCACATGGCTTTTTAATGATACACACCTGAAAGTTACAAAATGCATAACACAATGTTAACTCAATTAAAAAAATTAAAATAAGGTTTAAACAATTTCATGTAATCCATTTTCTATACTGTCTCTTATTTCCACAGTGTTTAATTTAGTGTTTAATAGCAACCTGAAGAGGCTAGACATTTAGTCTTCCACGAAGGCACACATCAATGTGATGGAGGAATCATATATTTTATATAAGTGGGGAAAGGTAAAGTATAATAAAATATATATGAATTCACACAGGTATAAATAAACAATTTAATAAATACATAAATGCAGAAGAGACAAATTGTCACTGAAGAGTTTCTAATAATCTATGCAGATACTCCCCCATCTAAGAGGTTTAGCCTTGTCTCCCACTTCGAGGGTGAACCAGATTTAGTAACTCACTTCCGAAGAGCAGAGTAGGAAGGGGGGAAATAATAACTTTACACAGGAGAAACATGGCAAAAACAGACTAGTGATAACTTAAAATATCACCAATGAAGTCATGTGACTATGACACACCCACTGATAGGACATGATGAGGGCCACGCCACCTCTGTGGTATTCTTTCGAAACATTCGTCATGCAGACCGAAGATGGGCATTGAAGAGAAAACAGGTGACATTAAGTGAAGTCTGGAGTTTAGTTTAATTTCCCACTGTCAGTTTCTTATTGTTGACAAATATACCATGGTAAGTTGAAAAAGTAAGAATGCTGTCTTTTAACCTTACTGTAAGTCTAAACCTATTCTAAAGTTAAAAGGCATTCTTTGTAATATTAAGGTGTTTTTTAACGGGAATTTTGGTATACTGTCTCTTTGGAAGAGAAAATCCTCATATATTTCTGAGGTTTTTGTTCTTCTTTGAAGTCTAGACAAATTCTCAGGCTCTACCCCCAGACATACTAAATCAGAAACTGTGGGGGTGGCACCCAACAACCTGTATTTTAACAAGGTTATAAGTGATTCTAATACACATTAAGATTGAGAACAAGTGGACTAAACTATTCCCCTAAGGATCACAACTATTAATGCACATGAAAAGTTATGATAGGACATTAGGTAAAAATGAGGGAAAATCCAAATAAATACAAATTTAATAATGTTTATATATTCTTACTTATCACAGGTATGGTTTATTATGTCTATAATATAAACATTATTAAAAATAATGTATCCATTTTGGTTCACTCATTTTAATAAATTTATCATATTAATGTAAGATGTTAATAGTAGGAGAAACTGGGGACAGGGTATTCAGAAACCCTCTACACTATATTTATAGTTTTCATACAAATATAAAACTATCCTCAATTAAAACTTATTTTTTAAAAAATAAGATATTTGGAATACCTTGCTCTTTAATGCCAGTTTTCTTCAGTTGTCTAAGAAGATTTCCACTTCCTTTTAAAACTGTCTTCAAAGCTCTCAATCCCCAATCATAATGTTGCTGCGGTGTTAAAAGTTCCCTTAAGCAAAGACATAGAAAACATAAAGTGTCAACTAGCCATATGAAGTTCTCTGGATCATCATATACAAAGAAATATAGAATACAGCTACTGATAAATAGAAATGAGTGCTGATATTCCATTAACATATAAAGGAATTTGAGTAAAATGTAGAAGATGGAGAGTTCTCAAAGATAGGATAAAACTTTCATGAACAGAAGATAAAAAAAGATAATGATTGGGGGCGGAGCAACATGGCGGCGAGGAGACGCTGCGAGTAAGATCTCCCATTAAAAAAAGTTAATAGGGAGGAAAAGCGGCAGGTCCCAGTGAGAACTGGGCCACGTAAGATAAACGGGTGACGCCAGCGAACTGCCCAAAGAAGAAACTGGCCATAAAAGAGGACTAGAAGGGAGGGAAGCGCAGAACCCTGCTCCCCTCCCCCGCCCACAGAGGCGGCACTCTCCGACCGGCAGAGAGGAGGAAATAACAAACCAAAACGGCCCACAAGAACAAACGACGCAGCAAGCGGGACCGTGAGTGGAAAGGAACTATTGCAGCCACCACACCCCGTGAACTGGAGCTGAGGCGAACCCTGCAGGATCCGCCGCCGCGGTGAGCGAACGGCTCCGGGCGCCATTAGAGAAGAACAAAGACCCCGGGAGACGCGCACACAGCCCGGGCTGCCGGTAAGCTGGCGCGGGAAAGCGGCACTCTCGGCGCACTTGAAAAGCAAGTGCAGACCTGGATCGCGGCTGCCCAGGTCCCCGCGCCTGCGACCTAGGCTTGCGGGGAGACGACCTAGGCTTGCGGGTAGACGCACGGAGGTCCTCACTGAGGTGAAGGTCCCTCCCTGAGTGAGCAGGAGCCAGGCGCCCAGGCACGGGAGCGGTGCAAAAGGCGCCATTCCCGCGCCACTGAACTGGGCTACAGCCCGCGTCCTGGAACTGAGGGCTTTGAACTGAGACCCGGGGCACGAAAATTCGGGGCGTGGTTTCTCCACGACGGTGGGGCACAAGGCAGACACAGCACCCCAAAGCTGTTGAGGTGTACCCTACCATTCCCGCTCTGTTCTCTGTCCCACGGGGTGGGGGGAGGCGAAAAACAGCCCCCCAAGGACAATAGGAGAGATCTCTGGCGCCACCTAGCGACCAGGAAAAAAAAAGTCACTAACACCCTATAAAACAGGACATTTCTTAAGACTGCTTGAAAAGGGCAGAAGGTTTCTGGAGGACCCAGTGGCCAGCCAGGAAGTTATTCCACGCCAGGCCCCTTCCGACCAGCAGTCTGAGCCCACAGAGGGAGCAGGCACCCACGTCCGGGGCAGACTGGGTGCGCAGAAGAGTGTGCCTGAAACCGGAGGCGCAGGGACTGCATCCCGCTTCGCCATTTGAGAACAGGGACATTTCTTCAGTAAAAACTGCCTAAAACCAGCAGAAAGCTCCCCCAGAAGACAGAGATGGCTCCTGGAAGAGCCAGAGGGGAGCGGAGAAGTTCACCCAAGATGTCAGTCAGTCCGAGCAACACAGTGTCCCAACGCATACGACAAATTAGAAAACAGACAGTAGGGAGTAGAAGAACCACACGCAACCTAAAAACTCCTCAGGAAAGAAGCACACCACAAAAAGAAAACCACTCCCCAGATTGCAACGACAGCGACTTGGAAGAACTTCTGAGCCTTCCAGAAAGAGAATTTAAAATTGCCATAATTAAAAAAGTGATAGATCAGAAGAAGGAAATTGAGTCCCTAAAGAGGGAAGTAAGAGAAATGCAGGAGATCAAAGAATTAATGGAGGAACTAAAGAACTCTGGGAAAAGCAATGAAAGCAGAATAGATGAAATGGAAGAACGAATAAGTAATCTTGAAGACACAGAAATAAAAAGAACCAAAACAGAAAAGGAAAGAGAAGTACGAAGGAAAAAGAATGAAGAAAGACTTCGGGAACTATCTGACTCCATGAGGAAAGAAAATATAAGAGTTATAGGAATTCCAGAAGGAGAGGAGAGAGATGTAGGAACAGAGAAAATATTCAAAGAGATAATTGAAGAGAACTTCCCAAATGAGAAGAAGGAGCTGAAAATTGATATACAAGAAGCAAGAAGAACACCAAACTTCCACGACGAAAGGAAAAACACAGCAAGACACATAATAGTAAAGCTCCCAAGAATCCAGGACAAGGAAAAAATAATGAAGCTGACAAGAGGGAAGAAACAGATAACATTCAAAGGAAAACCAATCAGGCTGACATCAGACTTCTCTGAAGAAACACTACGGGCAAGGAGAGAGTGGAGGGACATAGTCAACAGACTCCAAGAAAACAGATGCCAACCAAGAATACTCTATCCCGCAAAGCTCTCTTTCCTCCATGAAGAAAGAATATGGACCTTCCCAGACAAAGAGAAACTCCGGAATTTCATTGCGACTAAACCCCCACTCCAAAAAATACTACAAGGAATCCTAAAGCCAGAACCTCAGAGGGACGAATAACAACGAAAGAAGACCAAAAAAAAAAAAAAAAAAAAAGTTATTAATAGAATAAATAAATAAAATCAAAGGAAAGACAAACATAATGGCAAATACAGATGCTAACATATCAATATTAACTCTAAATGTAAATGGACTAAACTCTTCAATAAAAAGACACAGAGTTGCAGCCTGGATTAAGAAACAAAACCCAACCTTTTGCTGTCTCCAGGAAACACATTTAGCTACAAAAGATAAAAATAGGCTCAAAGTCAAAGGATGGAAAACAATCCTACAAGCAAATGGGCCAAAAAAGAAAGCAGGAACAGCTATACTTATATCAGATAAAACAGACTTCAAACTCAAAAAAATAAAAAGAGACCCCAATGGTCACTACATTATGATTAAGGGGACAATACTGCAAGAAGAAATAACACTCATTAACATATACTCACCAAACGAAAGAGCACCAAAATATATCAGACAACTGTTGTCCTCTCTGAAAACAGACATCAGAGAAAACACATATGTAGTGGGAGACTTCAACACACCACTATCAACAATGGATAGATCAACAAGACAAAAAATAAGTAAAGAAACTAAAGCTCTAAATAAGGACCTAGAGCATTTGGGCTTAACAGACATCTATAGAACACTAAACCCAAAAAAACGGAGTACACATTTTTCTCAAGCGCACACGGATCATTCTCCAGGATCGATCACATACTGGGGCACAAGACAAACATCAACAGATACACCAAGATTGAAATCATACCAACCATCTTTTCTGACCACGAAGGCATCAAACTAGAAATAAATCATAAAAAGAAGGCAAGGAACTATCCTACCTCATGGAGATTAAAAGCCACACTACTGGAAGACCACTGGACTAACGAGGAGATCAAAGAAGAAATTAAAAAATTCTTTGAATTGAATGACAAGGAGGACACCAATATCCTAAATGTATGGGATGCAGCAAAAGCAGTAATAAGAGGAAAATATATAGCAATAGAAGCTCACATCAAAAAACAAGAAAGAACTCAAAGAAACAACCTAATCTCGAAGCTCAAAGATCTAGAAAAAGAACAACAAAAAAACCCCAGAACCAGTAGAAGAAAAGAAATAATAAAAACCAAAGCAGAAATAAATGAAATTGATACTAAAAAAACAATCCAAAAGATCAATGAAACCAAGAGCTGGTTCTTTGAAAAAATAAATAAAATAGACAAACCCCTAGCCAGGCTCACAAAGGAAAAAGGGAGAAAGCACAAATACACAGAATCATAAATGAAAGAGGAGAAATCACAACGGACACAGCAGAAATCAAAAGAATAATCAGTAACTACTATGAACAGTTATATGGAAACAAGTTCAACAATCTAGAGGAGATGGACAAATTCCTACAACTCTACAATCACCCAACGCTAGATAAAGAAGAAATAGAACACCTAAACAGACCAATTACAAGCAGCGAAATTGAAATGGTAATTAAAAACCTCCCCAAAAACAAAAGCCCAGGACCTGATGGATTTACAAATGAATTCTACCAAACATTCAGAGACGAATTAGTGCCTATCCTTCACAAACTCTTCCAAAAAATTGAGAAGGAAGGGACAATACCAAACACGTTCTATGAAGCCAATATTACACTAATACCAAAACCGAATAAGGACAACACGAAAAAGGAAAACTATAGGCCAATCTCCCTAATGAACACTGATGCAAAAATCCTCAATAAAATTTTAGCTATCAGAATCCAACAATGTATCCATAAGATAATTCACCACGACCAAGTTGGATTCATTCCAGGGGCACAAGGATGGTTTAACATCCGAAAATCAATCAACGTTATCCAACACATCAACAAAAAGAAATATAAAAACCATATGATAATATCAATAGATGCTGAGAAAGCTTTCGACAAAGTGCAACACCCATTCATGATAAAAGCCCTTGAAATTCTTGGGATACAAGGAACATACCTCAACATCATAAAGGCCATCTATGACAAGCCAACAGCCAGTATCATTCTCAATGGTGAAAAGCTGAAAGCAATTCCATTAAGATCTGGAACAAGACAAGGATGTCCACTCTCACCACTGCTTTTCAATATAATACTGGAAGTCCTAGCCAGAGCAATAAGACAAGAGAAAGACATCCAAGGAATCCAAATAGGAAAAGAAGAAGTCAAACTATCACTATTTGCAGATGATATGATAATATACATAGAGAACCCCAAAATCTCCACAGAAAAACTAATTCAACTCATCAATCAATTCAGTAAAGTGGCAGGATACAAAATCAACACGCAAAAGTCAGTAGCCTTCCTATACACAAACAATAAATCTGAAGAAGAAGAAATCAAAAAAACCACCCCTTTTATTATCGAAACAAAAAAAATCAAATATTTGGGAATAAATCTAACAAAAGAGGTAAAGGACCTATACAAAGAAAATTATAAAACACTGTTAAAAGAAATAGAAGAAGACACAAAGAAATGGAAAGACATCCCCTGCTCATGGATTGGAAGAATAAACATTATTAAAATGGCCATCCTACCAAAAGCAATATACAGATTCAATGCTATTCCAATCAAAATCTCAATGGCATTCTTCAAAGAAATAGAACAATTATTGATGAAATTCATATGGAATCACCAAAAACCCCGAATAGCCAAAGCTCTACTGAAAAAAAAAGAAGGAAATGGAGGCATCACACTCCCAGACTTCAAACTATACTACAAAGCCATAATCATCAAAACTGCATGGTATTGGCACAAGAACAGACATACAGACCAATGGAATCGAATAGAAAATCCAGAAATAAACCCACAGATTTATGGTCAACTAATCTTTGACAAAGGAGCGAAGACTATGCATTGGAGCAAAGAAAGTTTGTTCAATAAATGGTGCTGGGAAAACTGGGTCGCTACATGCAAAAGAATGAAGCTTGACCACTACCTCACACCATACACAAAAATCAACTCAAAATGGATTAAAGAACTAGACATAAGACCTGAAACCATAAAATACATAGAAGGAAATATAGGCGAAACACTACGGGATTTGCACATCAAAGACATCTTTACAGACACATCACCCAAAGCAGTGATAGTGAAGAGAAAGATAAACAGCTGGGACTACATCAAATTAAAGAGCTTCTGCACAGCAAAAGAGACAATAACAAAAACAAAGAGAAACCCCACCAACTGGGAGAACATTTTTGCACCCAACACTAATGATAAAGGACTGATCACAAAAATCTGCAAAGAGCTGATGAGACTCAGCAACAACAAAGAAAATAATCCAGTCAAAAAATGGGCAGAAGAGCTAAAAAGAAACTTCTCTGAAGAGGAAATGAAAATGGCCAACAGACATATGAAAAAATGTTCAACATCACTTGTAATCAGGGAAATGCAAATCAAAACTACCATGAGATACCATCTCACACCAGTGAGAATGGCACATATTAAAAAAACTAGCAACAACAAATGTTGGCGAGGATGTGGAGAAAAAGGAACTCTTGTGCACTGTTGGTGGGAGTGCAAACTGGTCCAACCACTATGGAGAGCTGTGTGGAGATTTCTGGACCTACTAAACATAGAGCTTCCATATGATCCAGCAATTCCACTCCTAGGTATTTACCCAAAGGACACAGAAACATCAATTCCAAAGAGCACCTGCACTCCTATGTTTATAGCAGCACTGTTTACAATAGCTAAGCTTTGGAAACAACCCAAATGCCCAAAAATAGATGACTGGATCAAGAAGATGTGGTACATATATACCATGGAATATTACTCAGCATTCAAAAAAGATAAACACATGCAATTTGCAGCAACATGGATGGCACTGGAAGGGATCATGCTCAGCGAAATAAGCCAAAAAGAAAAAGAAAAATACCGGATGGTCTCACTCATAGCAGGAATCTAGAAAACTTAAATAAGGGACCAGGAAAATGAATATAAGAAAGTGAAAATCAAAATCAACAAAAAACTATGAACCAGAGACACTTTTTGGGGGTGGGGGGCGGGAGGGGAAGGATTGGGGTCAGAATGGGGCGTTTGCAATTGTATGGGGGAATATAAAAATAAAATTTAATATTTAAAAAAAAAAAAAAAAAAAACTTTCATGAACAGGCTAATTATGTGAATGAAGGCATTAAATACAATTACCTGTTACCTATATTTCTAAAGTCGCTAATCAACTCAGCTGGCTTTCAATCTGACATTCTAGTTTTCACTTACGTGAAAAACCTGAATTGGAAGTTGTCTCAAGAAGCTAAAAGTCAATCCCTAATACTGGAAAAAAGACACTTAAAAAATTGTGAAAGAGTCCCTTCAAAAAAAGAGTAGGGTTTGAGTAGCAGCTGGTAAACTAGTTCAATAAGTATAATTTTAGCTTAAGTAATTCAAGATATTTTACAGAAAAAAAGTAAGATCAAATTATAATATATAAAACACAAGTAGTTTTAAACCAGTGTTTATTATTCAAACTAAAACCTTTCCTATCAACACCTAAGTCAGAATCACCAATATGAAAAATCACTGAATACTTAAGTCGGACAACAATGAAAAATGGTCACTAATAACCATAATCAATCATTGGAATCACAAAATATAAAAATACTTAAAGCAGAAAACTCACCTAGACAGATTGAAGATAGCTACCAATTTTCTGCCCAATACTTTAGCATCTTTAAAACCTTCTGAGTAGAGAATAACTTCTGCAATAAGTTCATTGTCTGGACGAGACATGGCTACTGGCCTGAAAAGTTGTTTAAGATTATCAGGCAGTTTTTGTCTTCCTCCATAACCTTTGCCAGCAGGATTCATAGTGATGAAAATTCCAGAATTAGAATTTATTTCTATCTGAAATATTAATTTAAAATATAAGTACCAAGTATTTGAAATTATAAACATGAAATATATTGCCAACAGAAAATTTACTGTGATATAAATCTTATACTTTAGCAAAAAATAAAGTTCATGTGCTAAACATCTCCTTAGTCAACATAAAATAACTCCTTAGGTGCTTTATGGAATTCCTTATTATCAGTTTTTTGAGACTGGAAGTTTAAGAGATGGTAACTAGTTCAAATGTCTATTCATACATTCAACATATGTTACTAAGGTTTTTTTTGGTAAATATATGGAGACAACACAACTCTGAACTACAGTCATGTAGGGTCAGGAACAGGACATGGTGCAGATTTTCTATGATCCAGCAGACCCGGTAAAGGAGGAGTCAGAGTCCTCAATGGTTTTGCAGGTTTTTATTGGGATTACCAGGTACACGGCAGGCAGGGGCACTGGTGGGCCGGTAGGCTGGCAGTCCTCCCAGCCCCCAGCAGGTCTTCACTGTATCTGGGCTCTCCGGCGTTCTCTCTTTCTCTCTCTCTTGGCTTCTACTGGCGTACTCATGACACCGCCCTTAAAAGCCCAGTCAGCCCAGGTGAATCCTAGCCATCGGCCCACACCTATTCCAGGTGTCCACCATCAGGCATGCATTCAGGACCGCAAGGATCCATCATCTATCCTGATGGCGGGAGGGCAGAAAAGCCTGACATTTTTCCTTACTCTACAAGTCAGTAATAATTTATGCCTCTCAGGAGCTTATAGTCAATATGATGAGTATTAAAAGGAATTAATCATAATGCAATAAATGCTGTGATAGGAAAGAGCAGGATGCCATGGGAATACCTGGCAGGAGCACGTTCAACAAAGTACAAAGAACAGAAGCTAAACGAGAATGTGTAAACAATAAATGAATAATTAGGAAGTAGAACTAACTACAGTAGAGAAACCTGGCTATAAAGGAAAGAAAACAAAAAGAGCAGTGGTGGTAAAGAAAGATGAATTGTTCATATTTTAATTACATTAAATATCATACTATTATGTGTATGTGTATACCTATACAATACATATTGTTAGGGCAGGACAGGGCACAGTGCAGGTTTTCTGATCAAGCAGACCGGGTAAAGGAGGAGTCAGAGTCCTCAGTGGCTTCTGCAGGTCTTTTATTGGGATTTACCAGGCATCCAGGCATATGGCAGGCAGGGGTGCTGGGGGGCAGGGAGGCTCGCAGGCCTCCCAGCCCCCAGCAAGACTTCACTTTATCTGGGCTCTCCGACGTTCTCTGCTTCTCTCTCGGCTTCTGCTACTTCTTTCTTGGCTTCTCTTTCGGCTTCTTCTGCTCTTCTGTTCGTTCTTGGCTTCTCTTTCGGCTTCTCCTGGCATCCCCGTGACGCTGCCCTTAAAAGCACCGTCTTAGCCCAGATGAATCCCATCTACCTCTGCCCACACCCTATTCCAGGTGTCCGCTATCAGGCATGCATTCAGGACCGCAAGGATTCATCATCTATCCTGATGGCGGGAGGGCAGAAAAGTCTGATATTTTTCCTTACCCTACAGTCCACCCCCTCAGGGCTTTCTGCCATATAGTCTTCATATATACAATTTTCTTAGGAAACAAACAATGCAGCCATGGCCCACAAAAGCAAATACATCACAAAATCACAATACAACAGAACACAAATAAGTCCAGGCAGGGCACCAACCTAGTGGCAAAAGACAATTATTGGTACCAGCAGATGAGCCACCAAATCTGCTGCCGAAGGCACTGCTCATACGAGGGAGGGGAACCACTCATGGCATCTACTATAACACACCAGGAGCCGTCAGGCTTCCTGGCCTTTTCTGGATGTAGTCTCAGCTACAAGCCACACACAGCATCCACCCCCAGGATGCACTCACTCTGGCGATTCTATACTGTTGGGGGTAATCACCAACCCCCAGGGTTTCTGTCTGCAGTCGCTCCAACATTCGGCTTTCATAGCCACCAATGCGACTCGCAGACCCCTGCACTAGGGCCAACCCACAGCACAAGCACATGGGTTGGGGATCCTTGGATATAAACTCTACATTTGGCTTGAGCTCCACCCCAAGCCACGTTCCCCACCCGTCGCCCAAGGACAGGTTCCTCAGCTCCTCACCCTCACTCGACAATGAGCAGGGCATCACCCACAGGTGATTTTACGAGACTCACTGGCCTCCCTCAGCTTACTTAGTGCTTAACAGCCACTCAGAGCTTCCCAAACTTAGCATCAGCACCAGTTTTTGCCTTCTCAGTTGGCTTTTCTCCTCTGCCTAGCTGCTGGGCACACACAGGCTGCTTTTGGCCATCAAGGCCCACTGGCCACCCCCAGGCTGCTTTTGGCCATCAAGGCCCACTGGCCACCCCCAGATTCCCAAAAAAAAACATAACCTGCCAAGGTCCTCCGCCTTCTGGCGGGATTGTCAGCCCAAGTCCATTAGTCCAAGTCTGTTGGCCTCTCCCTGCATCAGCACTGGTGAGCTCCGAATCGGGGTCCTCTCTTCCCCGACGATTCTTGCTGCCTCGGGGGTCATTGGCTGGTCCTCTTGGGGGTTGTTGGCTGGTCCTCTCGGGCGTTTCCTCCATGTGAGGTCTCCTCCCGCAGCTCCCGGATCTTGTCCATCCATCGTCGTCACAGGGAAACACAGTCTGTTACTCCTTAGTCGCTCCAGGTCTTCGGAGGGCTCCATACCCGTCAACATGGATCATCTTGCCGACTTACGCCAATTGTAGGGTCAGGAATGGGCCACAGTGCAGGTTTTCTGATCCAGCAGACCAGGTAAAGGTGGAGTCAGAGTCCTCAGTGGCTTCTGCAGGTCTTTTATTGGGATTTACCAGGCATCCAAGTATATGGCAGGCAGGGGTGCTGGGGGGCCGGGAGGCTCGCAGGCCTCCCAGCCCCCAGCAAGTCTTCATTCTCTCTGGGTTCTCCGGCGTTCTCTGCTTCTCTCTCGGCTTCTGCTTCTCTTTCGGCTTCTTCTGCTCATCTGTTCATTCTTGGCTTCTCTTTCTGCTTCTCCTGGCGTCCCCATGACGCTGCCCTTAAAAGCACCGTCTCAGCCCAGGTGAATCCCATCTACCTCTGCCCACACCCTGTTCCAGGTGCCCGCCATCAGGCATGCATTCAGGACCGCAAGGATCCATCATCTATCCTGATGGCGGGAGGGCAGAAAAGCCTGACATTTTTCCTTACCCTACACATATACATATATATATATATCATTATATAGTATAAAGGATAAAAGACATGATTATGTTTAAACACCAACAAGGAATGGTAGAGGAGAAAAGCTGTAACAGTAACAAAGAAGGTAACTAAGAAAAGGTTCCTGGGAGCAAAATGAATGTATAGGTGAAAAGATTAGCACTGTTTGGGAAAAAGGACAACTTACCCCCCACCCCAAAGATTTATTTATTTATTTATTGGAAAGAAGTGTGTATTTTATTTTATTTATTTATTTTATGTATAATTTTTTTTATTTTTATATTCCCCATACAATTGCGACCCCCTTATTTTGACCCCAATCCCTCCCCTCCCTGCCCCCGCCCCACCTCATAGAGTGTCTCTGGTTCATAGTTGTTTGTTGATTTTGATTTTTACTTTCTTATAGTTATTCTTTTTCCTGGTCTCTTTAAGTTTTCTAGGACAACTTATTTTTGTAAAAGGAGGAAAGGATAAAAAAATGAGTATAGAAGGTAATAAATATAATGGCAAAGAGACAAAAACACAAGTTTCTGTTTTCTTTGTGAAGAGTTTCTCCATGTGAATATGTTAACAATTTATAACTGGCCTAGCTTTCTTGGCCTACTCAGAAAAAATTGTACTGTGAAAATGCAACGATGAATGATAGGTGACATTATAATTTCAGTTATTTTAACCTTCAGTGAGTTCAGTATTACATATAATATACAGAAGTGATATTTTCCAGATGAGCAGTTTGTATTCTAATGGCACGAATGTCTATGTCCTATGGAGAGAAAGAGGAACAAAGAATAGCTGAGTGCTTATTGTTTTAAGATTTATATAGAACAGGAACTAAAAATGTAAGGATCAGATTAGATAGAGTTGGGTCCACCATGTACTCTTAACTTATCAAGGCCTGGTTTCCTCATCCATAAAGCATAAATAATATGGTATTAAATGAGAGAATATTAAAAAGCACCAGCACAGTGCCAGCAGAGAGTAAGTGCTGCATCAATGTTAGCAAATATGTAATTATTCAAATCAAAAGTATGAAGATGAATAGTGGGAGCGGGACCAAAAAAAGGGCAAGAAACCTCAGGGACACAGGTAAAATTCTTAGGTAAAAAGGTTCAACATACTGGTTACAGGTTAGAAACAGGGGTGCGTACCAGAAAAATAAAGACAGAATATTGTCTATGAGTAATATCAGTCCTATAATACATTTCAATTCTTCAAATTCTCAACATACTCTTTACCTCCTTGCCAAGCAGTTCGCATACAGCTTTATGATTCTTCAAAGCATCTTGAATTGTCTGGATTTGCATAGAAACTGCTGACAGTACAGATTCTTCCAGTCTATTGAATTCATCAAAACAACCCCAGGCTCCACACTTCACCAAACCAACAAATATTCGTCCCATTGACTTCACATCGATGCCCTTAAAAATAACAGCAAAAACTATATTCAGGAAAAAAAAAAACTAAAATCTTAAATAATAATTTAATATTTCAGGCCATTGACCACTAAAAATGTTGTTTCACCCATCTATCTCTTCTGCTCTTTTTAAAATAGACATTAAATAGCCACTCTTTCAAAATCCAGGGTGGTTTCACGGAATAAACAAAAATGTACGTGTGAAAGTGTTTTTAAAAGTATAAAGACTAGGGCCTCCCTGGTGGCGCAGGCGGTTGAACACAGCGCTGTGAAGCTGTCCACAGCTTCCGTAGTGCGGGTTCGATCCTGGCAGACCACGGAGATACACACATGGCTCAGCAGACCTCTCCTGAGTCCCTCGCTGCTACCCTCAGCAGTGTATTTCAGTCAGTCTGCCTGTTCTGTTCTCCACTCTGTCTCTAGTGAATCCTCTCACCCTCACACACATCTGGCCTATACCCTAATTCTTGTATAAATAAATAATTTTTTTAAAAAAGTATACAGCTTAACAAATACAAGATTCTGCTTAGTTGTTCTTTAAATTGAAATAGAATTTCTACCCAAAATATTTCGAAAATGGAAATTCATTGCAAATTTAAGATTTTTCCTTTTATATTCACTATTCTCCCTGTAAAAACATTTTTGACACGCTAACATAAATCTTCATTCTGGGGGGCCTCCCTGGTGGCACAGCAGTTGAGCACTGGGTTGCAAAGCTGCCTGCAGCCTCTGCAGTGCTGGTTCGATCCCTGGCCGCTGGGCGAGGGTCCCACATGGCCCCCAGACCTCTCCTGCCACCTGCTGCTCCCCTCAGCAGTGTACTTCGTCAGTCTGCCTGTTCTGCTCTCTGCTCTGGCTCTGGTGAATTCTCTCACTCTCCCGCGCTTCTGACTGTACCCAGTGCTTGTATAAATAAATACAATAAATCTTTAAAAAAATAAAAATTAAAAAAAAATCTTCATTCTGTACTTAAAATTATTTCTCTACAATACTTGTCTTTAGAAGTTGGAGGACCATACTACATGTAATCTTTCTCCCATTTTCAAATGAAACATTCTGTTTTGAAGAAATTTAAAAGTAAAGTGATTTTAAAATTGAATATTTCATATATAAGTACACAAAGACTAATCCAAACATACAATTAAAGTACTCTAATACAGTTTGATAATTATTCATTCTACCTCATCACAATTAAAAACTAAAACTTGTCTTCCAAGAAGTCCCCCTAGAGCCTTTACTGATTCTGTTTTTCCAGTTCCAGCTGGGCCGTAAGGATTTCCTCCAAGTCCCATCTTCATAGCTTGAGTGAGAGTCAAGTAGCACTTGTCTGTCAGTGGAGTGTAAACCAGCTTGGGAGCATTACCCTACACACAGGAAAAGAAAGTTCCAACATTCAGGTTCCATTCAACATGTACAAATACTGGCATCATGATAGAGTCTATTAAAAAGCTAAAAAGGTAGACAACAGGACAAAGGTTTAACATAGAAAAGTGTTCAAAATATATTTTTAGTGAAAGAAACTTACTAAAAGCACAAACTGAAATTAAACTTAGTTATCTCTCAAGTATATATTTTATTCCATCTTTAATTAATATGTTGCTAGGCTTTCAACCTTCTCTTAATGACATAAAGATATACTTGTAAGGCAAACAAATCCAAAACTAAAATTATACAATAGTCATTCTATGTCAAATCTTAAAATTTATGTAAAATATTTCCAAGACTCTGATGATCTTCATAAATCTGAACTACTCTAGAGATTAAAAGTGTAATTACTTTGGAAATTTCTTACAAAACTAATAATTTTAACTTTTCAAATAATTATCAAAATGTCCACTAAAATTTAGGAAAAACAGATTCCAATTCCAATGGCAGTGTAGAGCTTGTCCTTAATTTAGGTGGACACATTTGTGTCTGAAAATACATTTCCTTTTTGAAAGAGCCAGCTGCAACTTCCCTGACATGTTTATTAGAAAAATTATCAAATATACTCTGAAGTCTAATTCACTATGAAAGAAAAAACAAAGAGGATACAGCTAGATTTTTTGAGAATAGATTATATGAGTTAGGTTATTTAAAATTCTTTTACCTCACAAACTGAAAACATTTCACAAACATATTTTGGCATATTTACAATTGCACTAAGTTTGGCTTCATACAAGGAAACACAAACTAAGCTGCTTCTATTGAAGTAGCCTATATTTAATTCTCCTTAGATTGAAAATACACTTCAAATTTTATACCAACGCTATACCAAGAAACAGTACATTAAGAGAATTCCTGAAACACTAACTTTTAACATTTTTATAAATAATTATTTTCATTTTATACAATATCTTATATTGTATAAAATGAATATTTTATTTTATTTTTAGACAATATTCATTTTATACAATATTTTATACAATATTAATTCCATTTTATACATCTTTTAAATTATGAAACAGAAAGCAGAAACACACTAAAATTTTTGAAACCTGAAACTGAAATAAAAATAATTTCTTTATTGAAAGTAAATTTATTTTAAAATAAATTCTAACTAGAAAAATAAAACAATCTAGCAGAAGTCATACCTGATATTCATAAGTATACTGAAGTTCAGAATCCACCATTTGAACATAACATGTGTGATCACTTTTCATATAGAATCTAACTTGTTTTTTCCAAGCCCAGTCTTCAGTAGTATGAACTTGAACTTGGTTTAACTGCTTCACCACATCAATATTATGAATAATATCAAGAATTAATGCTTTAAGTTTAAGTTCCAGAATCCCAGATTCTGTACACAAACAAAAAGAATTGTACAAAGTGTTAGCCTATGACATGCGCTTTATGATTATATGTATACAGGTGATTTTGTAATGAATTTAAATGGTAATTTCATAATACATTTGACTGATAATGTAAATGGAAATATGTATTTTTCTATATATAATATAAATGCAAACCAAAAAAGATTTAGATCTACCAGAAATAAGAATTTTGAGTGTGGGGCCTCCCCTGGTGGCGCAGCGGTTGAGCGCTGGGCTGCAAAGCTGTCTGCAGCACCAGTTCGATCCCTGGCCACTGGCGAGGGTCCCACATGGTGCGACAGACCTCTTCTGCCACACCCGCTGCTCCCCTCAGCAGTGTATTTCATCAGTCTGCCTGTTCTGCTCCCCACTTTGGCTCTGGTGAATTCTCTCACCCTCCCGCGCTTCTGACTATACCCAGTGCTTGTATAAATAAATAAATAAAAATCTTTAAAAAAAAAAAAAAGAATTTTGAGTGTGAAAACACAGTGGGAGAGGGATTCTGGTGCCTTCCTCAAGAGAGTAAGCACAGTACAGCCTGTCTCTTCCTCTGAATGCAGGCATCTTCTGTATATGCACTGAACTGTTCTTTAAGATTCTGAAAAGTAAAGAGTATGAGGCAAATTGGGAGGGAAGATCAGAATTAGAAGAGCCACCAAATCAGTGGTGAATTTAATATTTTCTTTTTTGTTCCCTCTCTGGTATTTCCAAGCCTGAACCCAATGCAGCCAGAAATTCAGATTAGTACAGAGAGACTAGGAGAAGACCTCAAGTTCAGATTTGGAGTCAAAAAAGAAGTCTCATTATAGCTACAGCACTTGCAGCTTAGACCCAGAAATGTCTAAAACTCTGAGGAAAGGCACCTACCTCTGAAATCAGAGGAGCTTTGATCATAAAAGAGTAAGACAAACAGTAATTGATGTTTTTCTTGCTGGGTTCTCCCATCAATTGGCTCAGGTTATGGGCAACTGTCTCAGAAAGTGTGCAGTTGAGTAGAGCATATGAAACCCCAGACCCATGATCAGAGCATCACAAGGGGAACCGAGTGGAAATACAAAATACTTGGAATATAAAATAATACTTGGAATATCATCCAGAGGAAGCAGATTAAAAAAATAACCCCCATTGGGCCTCCCCTGGTGGCGCAGGCGATTGAGCCCTGCACTATGAAGCTGTCCGCAGCCTCTGCAGCACCGGTTAGATCCCAGTCAGCCGGCGAGGGTCCCACATGGGGCAGCAGACCTTTCCTGTCTCACCGGCTGCTCGCCTCAGCAGTGTATTTCGATCCATCTGCCTGTTCTGTTCCCCGCTCTGTCTCTGGTGAATCCTCACCCTCCCGCGCATCTGGCCTGTACCCCGGTTCTTGTATAAATAAATAAATAAATATTTAACAAAATATTTTTTTTTTTAAATGACCCCTGTAAACTTTCTTATGAACTCCCTGGGTTCACTCTCCAGCTGTGCAGAAGATAGCGTCCTAACTAGCTAACTAGACATTTAGAGAAATGTCCACTAGGTGGAACACAGTGGGAGAGATCAGGTTCTGAAGACTGAAATAGAACTGATGTGACAAGAACCAATACCCACAAAAAGGAATTTTTTTTTTAAGATTTATTTTTTTAATTAATTAATTTATTTATTTATACAAGCACTGGGTACAGTCAGAAGTGCGGGAGGGTGAGAGAATTCACCAAAGCCAGAGCGGGGAGCAGAGCAGGCAGAAGGACCGAAGTACACTGCTGAGGGGAGCAGCAGGCGGCAGGAGAGGTCTGCGCGCCATGTGGGACCCTCCTCCGGTGGCCGGGGAGCAGCCCGGGATGGAACCGGCACCGCAGAGGCCGCAGGCAGCTTCGCAACCCAGCGCTCAACCGCTGCGCCACCGGGGAGGCCCCAAAAAGGAATTTTTTTTCTCCAAGGAATTTTCAGCCTAAATTCAAAAGGATTAATTGCTAAAATAAAAATTTTAATACTATCCAGAGGATTTAAATAAGATTCACACAAATAACACAGTATTTAAAATGTCCAAGTAATAATCCAAAATCATTTAAGATGCAAAAACAAAAAGAAAATCTCAATTCACATAAGGCAAGACAATCCACAGGTGCCAGTGCTGAGAAGACACAAATGGTGGAGCTACTTGTAAAACACTTTAATGCACTGCTATAAAAGTGCTCCAAGAAGTAACAATGAACACTTAAAATAAATGGGAAAACATGATGTTTCCACACACACACACAAATATGAAAAATTAAATGGAACTTTTATTAGAACTGAAAAATTTTAAAAAGGAGGAAAAAAATTACTGGCTGGGTTAAACCAAGACACAGAAATAACAGAAGAAAGAGTCAGGGAAAGAGTCAGTGGAGCAAGACAAATTATCCAACCTGAACTGTTTAGAAAAAATTTAAATGAAAAAACAGAGCTTCTGGGTCCTGTGGATCAATGTTGAATGGTCTAACATTCATGGCATGAAAGACTCAGAATAGAAAAAAGATAATAATGCAGAAAAAATAGTTGAAGAAGTAATAGCTGACAACACCCAACTTTTAGTGAAAAACATAAACCTATAGACTCAAGTTCAATAAACTCCCAAAAAGACTAAAGGCAATGGAACCCATGGCCAGATACATCATAATCAAAATACTGAAAGCTAAGAAAAAAGGAGTCTCAAAAGGAGCCAGAGAAAAATAAAAGTAATAGGAGAACAATCATTCAATGATTGTGGACTCCTATTCTGAAAACATGGGAGTCAAAATGAAGTGGGACACCATTTTAAAAGATCTGTACATCCAGGGCCTCCCCGGTGGTGCAGCAGTTGAGCACTGGGTTGGCGAAGCTGCCCGCAGCCTCTGCAGTGCCAGTTTGATCCCCAGCTGCTCCCCGGCCACCGAAGGAGGGTCCCACATGGCCCACAGACCTCTCCTGCCGCCCACTGCTCCCCTCAGCAGTGTACTTCGGTCCTTCTGCCTGCTCTGCTCCCCGCTCTGGCTCTGGTGAATTCTCTCACCCTCCTGCGCTTCTGACTGTACCCAGTGCTTGTATACATAAATAAATCTTTAAAAAAAAAAAATCTGTACATCCAGCAACATATTGGGTAGAGTTCAGAAATAAAGGTGAAATACATTCTCAGATGAAGAAAATCTATGAGGATTCATGACCTCAAACTGCTCTAAAACAAACACTATAAAGAAAGTTCTTTAAACAGGACAATGATACCAGGAGAAAATGCGGAGCATCAGAATGTGCTAACAGAAGTGGTAAGCATCTACATAAATGTAGGCTGTCCTCTTGAGTCCTTTAAAGTATGTTTAATGGTTAACAGCAAAAATTATAACAAAACTTCACAGGATTTTCAATGTACATAGAGGTATCTAAATGACAACTACAACATAAAAAGGGGAGAATGAAAAATCCTATATGATGGTAAGGCTTTTACATTCCATTTAAAATAGTATATTATTTACTCTAAGTATAATATAAAAAGTTAAGTACCTATGTTGTAATTCTGAGAATAACCTCCAAATTGGATGGATGAACACAATAGGTACACTAAGATAAAATATAAAAAAAGTTCACATAGTCCAAAAGTAGGCAGAACAGGCAAGATTTTTTTCCATACCTGTATTCCCTGGATCCTCCGAACTTGTATCGATGTTAGTATAGTGCTCTAACTTATTCACCAGTTGTGTTTCAATCTGATGAAGACTATGATCTTTGATAGCATTCTCTATATCTTCAGTGAATTTAATCTGCTCTGCCAAACATAATATCTATTGAATAAAGAGAAAAATTACTCTTAAAAGGTGAATTTACTTAGAAATATTTATAAATTTAAAGAAAGACACTTTTTTTCCAAATTTCCAATTGTATGTGGAATCTGTCTACTTGAGCATATAATGGCACTTCAACTATTAATAGAGTGATAAGGTCACTGAAGAAGCATCATGTGATGCAACCCAAGTTTATTTCTTGGGATCATCTCATACTACTTTCCTATAGTCCTATTTTCTGGTACTTGAACTCACCAAGCTGATTGTAACCAAATAGTCTTTACAATCTCTTCCCTCTGAATCTCATCATAATTGCTTTTTTTCAATCAGGAGCCAATGATATCAGAGCACAATGCATTCTATTTAATAAAAGGGTGGTCTTCTAGCATTCCAAAATGACCTCTCAATATACTACTGAGGTCTACAATTTCAAAATTATAATTCTGGCTTAAATTAAGGTATGTATTAATATTTCAATGAGTACCTATAAACAAACTAGTTATTGATCAAGACAGATATCTGTATATTTATATAAAATGTTAGCAGTGCTTGAGAAGTTTTCTGTAATAATAGCAAGGCTCACAATAAAGCAAATTACACATTTAAGCACCAGCCTTTGAAAACTTACATTAAAATACTTTAATATAGTTCTAGATGTACAAGGAAAACCAATGTACCCCTTTAAAAGAAAGGTAAGACTCATCATGTAAAAACACTAAAACGGTTAATCAATTATATATTTTTTTGTTTTTTTTGTTTTATTAACCTTTAACCACATTTTATTTTTCTTTTTTTCTTTTTTTTTTAACATTTTTTTAACATTTTTTTTAACATTTTCCTTCTGGCTTATTTCACTGAGCATAATTCCTTCTAGCTCCATCCACATTGCTGTGAATGGCATGAGTTTATCTTTTTTGATTGCTGAATAATATTCCATTGTGTATATATATCACATCTTCTTGATCCCGTCATCTATTTTTAGGCAGTTGGGTTGTTTCCAGGTTTTACCTATTGTAAATAGTGCTGCAATAAACATAGGTGTACAGGTGCTCTTTTGAATCACTGTTTTTGTGTCCTTTGGGTAGATCCCTAGTAGTGGAATTGCTGGATTGTACAGTAGCTCCATTTTTAGTAGACCGAAGAACCTCCAGACAGCTTTCCACAGTGGTTGGGCCAGTTTGCACTCCCACTAGCAATGTAGGAGAGTTCCTTTTTGACCACATCCTCACCAACATTTGTTGTTGCTTGTTTTTTTGACATGTGTCATTCTTACAGATGCAAGGTGGTATCTCAGTGTGGTTCTGATTTGCATTTCCCTGATTATAAGGGATGTTGAACATTTTTTCATCTGCCTGTGGGCCATTTGCATTTCATCTTTGGAGAAATGTCTTTTAAGTTCTTATGCCCATTTCTTGACTGGATTGTTTATTTTGTTTTTGTTGAGCTGTGTGAGTCTTTGTATATCTTTGTGATCAGTCCCTTATCAGTTGAATGGAGTGCAAAGATTTTTTCCCAATCAGTGGGGTGTCTCTGTTTTGGTACTGTCACTTTGGCTGTACAGAAGCTTTACAGTTTGATGTAATCCCAGGTATTTATCTTTGCCTTCACTATCACTGCTTTGGGCGATGAGTCTTTAAAGATGTTTCTGAGATGTATGTCTTGTAGTGTTTTACCTATATTTTCTTCTATATATTTTATGGCTTCATGTTTTATGTTCAGTTCTTTTATCCATTTTGAGTTGATTTTTGTGCATGGTGAGAGGTAGTGGCCTAGTTTCATTTTTTTGCATGTGGAGATCCAGTTTTTCCAGCACCATTTATTGAACAAACTGTCCGTGTTCCACTGCATATTCTTTGCTCCTTTGTCAAAGATTAGTTGTTCATGTAAGTGTGGCTTTATTTCTGGGCTCTCTATTCGGTTCCAATGGTCTGTGTGTCTGTTTTTGTCCAATACAAAACAGTTTTAATTATTATGGCTTTGTAGTATAGCTTGAAGTTTGGAAGTGTGATACCTCCTTTTTCCTTTGTTTTCATCATCAGGGTTTTGGCTATTCGTGTTTTTTTGTGGTTCCATATGAATTTCATCAGTCTTTGTTCTACTTCTTTGAAGAATGTCATTGGGATTTTTATTGGAATAGCACTGAATCTGTATATTGCTTTTGGGAGGATGGCCATTTTTATCATTTTTGTCTCTTCCAATCCATGAGCAGGGGATGTCTTTCCATTTCTTTGTGTCCTCTTCAATTTCTTTTAACAGTGTTTTATAATTTTCTTTTTATAGGTCTTTCACCTCTTTTGTTAGGTTTATTCCCAAGTATTTGACCTTTTTTGGTTTCAATTATAAAAGGAATGGTTTTCCTGATTTATTCTTCTTCCGCTTGATCAATTGTGTATAGGAAGGCTACTGATTTTTGTGTGTTGATTTTGTATCCTGCTACTTTACTGAACTGGTTAATTATTTTGAGTAGTTTTTCCATGGCGTTTTTAGGGTTCTCTACGTATATTATCATATCGTCTGCAAATAGTGATAGTTTTACTTCTTCTTTCCCTATTTGGATTCCTTGTATGTCTTCCTCTTGTGTTATTGTCCTGGCTAAGACCTCCAGTATTATATTGAAGAGCAGTGGTGAGAGAAGACAACCTTGTCTTGTTCCTGATCTTAAAGGAAAGGCCTTCAGGCTTTTGTCATTGAGAATAATGTACGCAGTGGGCTTGTCATAGAGGGCTTTTATTCTGTTAAGGTATGTTCCTTCTATCCCGAGAATTTCAAGGGCCTTCATAATAAATTGATGCTGGACTTTGTCAAATGCTTTCTCAGCATCTATTGATACGATCATATGGTTTTTATTTTTCTTTTTGTTGATGTGTTGGATTACACTTATCGATTTCCGTATGCTGAACCATCCTTGCGCCCGTGGGATGAATCCCACTTGATCATGGTGTACTATCCCTTTCATGGATTGTTGGACTCTGTTGGCAAGATTTTTGTTGAGGATTTTTGCATCAGTGTTCATTTGGGATATTGGCCTGTAATTTTCTTTTTTTGTGCTGTCTTTGTTTGGTTTTGGTATTAGTGTAATGTTGGCTTCATAGAACATATTTGGTAGTATTCCTTCTTATTCAATTTGTTGAAAGAGTTTGTGTAGGATAGGCACTAGTTCACTGCTGGACATTTGGTAGAATTCATTTGTGAAGACGTCTGGGCCTGGGCTTTTGTTTTTGGGGAATGTTTTGATTACTGCCTCAATTTCACTGCTTGTAATTGGTCTGTTTAGTTGTTCTATTTCTTCTTTGCCCAGCTTTGGATGATTATATCGTTCTAGGAATTTGTCCATCTCTTCTAGATTGTTGAATTTGTTTGCATATAAGTGTTCATAGTAATCTCTGATTATTCTTTTCATTTCTACTGAGTCTGCTGTGATTTCTTCTCTTTCATTTGTAATTCTATTTATATGTGTTTTCTCCCATTTTTTCTTTGCAAGCCTAGCTAGAGATTTGTCAATTTTGTTTATTTTTTCAAAGAACCAACTTTTGGTTTCATTGATCTTTTGGATTTTTTTTTTTTAATTTTGCAATTCATTTCTTTCTGCTCTGATTTTTATTATTTCCTTTCTTCTACTGGCTTTAGGGTTTTTTGTTGTTCTTTTTCTAGCTCTTTGAATGTGAGATTAGGTTGTTTCTTTGAGTTCTTTCTTGTTTGTTGATGTGAGCCTGTATTGCTAAATATTTTCCTCTTATTGCTGCTTTTGCTGCATCCCATACATTCTGGAAAGTGGTGTCCTCCTTGTCGTTCAACTCAAAGTATTTTTTAATTTCTTCTTTCATCTCCTCCTTCGTACAGTGGTCTTCCAGTAGTGTGTATTTCAATCTCCATGAAGTGGGAGGGCTCCTTGTTTTCTTTTCATGATTTATTTCTAGCTTGATGCCTTTATGATCGGAGAAGATAGTTGGGATGATTTGGAACTTCATGTATCTGTTGATGCTTGTCTTGTGGCCCAGTATGTGATCAATTCTGGAGAATGATCCATGCGCACTTGAGAATAATGTGTAATCGGATTTTTTTGAGTGCACTGTCCTATAGATGTCTGTTAAGTCTATGAGTTCTATGTCTTTATTTAGGGTTCTAGTGTCTTTGTTTATTTTTTGTCTCGTTGACCTATCCATTGGTGAGAGTTGGGTATTGAAGTCTCCCACTATATATGTATTTTCTTTAACGTCTGTTTTCAGAGCTGATAATAATTGTCTAATATATTTTGGTGCCCATTCATTTGGTGAGTATATGTTGATAAGTGTTTTATCTTCCTGATGTACTGTCCCCTTGATCATAATGTAGTGTCCATCTATGTCTCTTTCTACCTTTTTTAATTTGAAGTCTATTTCATCTGTTATAAGGATGGCTGTTTCTGCCTTCTTTTTTGGTCCATTTGCTTGTAGGATTGTTTTCCAACCTTTTACTTTCAGTCTATGTTTATCTTTTGTGGTTAAATGTTTCCTGGAGACAGCAGGTTAGATTTTTTTTTTAATCCAACCTGCTACTCTATGTCTTTTTATTGATGAGTTTAATTCATTTACATTTAGAGTTAATACTGATATGTTGGCATCTGTGTTTGCCATTTTGTTTGTCTTTTTTTGTGATTTTATTTCCTTGCTTTATTCTGCTCTTCTTGTTCATTCCTCTGTTGGTTTTGGCTTTAGGACTTCTTGTAGAATTTTTTGGAGTAGGGGTTTAACTGTAATGAATTTCTAGGGTTTCTATTTGTCTGAGAAGGTTCATAATTTTTCTTCTTAGAAGAAGGAGAGCTTTGCAGGGTAAAGTATTCTTGGTTGGCATTTGCTGCCTTGAAGTTTGCTGAATATGTTACTCCATTCTCTTCTTGCCTGTAATGTTTCTTCGGAGAAGTCTGAAGTTAACCTGATTGGTTTTCCCTTATAAGTTATCTGTTTCTTCCCCCTTGCCAGTTTCATTATTTTTTCCTTGTCTTGGACTCTTGCAAGCTTTACTATTAGGTGTCTTGCTGAAGTTTTCTTTTCATTGTGGTAATTGGGAGTGCTTCTCGCTTCTTGTATGTCTATATTTGTCTCCTTTTTCATGCATGGTAAGTTTCCTTCAATTATTTCTTTGAATAATTTGTTAGTTCCTTTGTCTCTCTCCTCACCTTCTGGAATGCCTATAACTCTTACATTTCCTCTCTTCATGGAGTCTCATAATTGTCTAAGAGTATCCTCATACTGCTTCATTTGCATTTCTCTCTCCTTTTCTCTTTTGGCTCTTTTTATTTCTGTATCTTTGATAGTACTGATCCATTCTTCCATTTCATTGATTCTGTTTTCATTGCTTTTCCCAGAGTTCTTTATCTTCTCTAGTAATCTTTTAATATCCTGTGTTTCTTTTCTTTCCTTTCTTAAGGTCTCAATTTCATTCTTCAGTTCAGTGATTATTTGTCTCAAATCATATTTTTCCTTTGCTTTTTCTTTCTGCTTTTTAATCATGATCATCATTAATTCTCTATCTGATAAGCCAAGAAGTTCTTCCATGTCATTGTTGAGCTCTGGTGACTGTCTTTCTTTTTGTGGTGTGTCCTCCTGTGGGCTTGCTTGGTTATTTATATTTTTTCTTCTCCCTGTTGTTTGCTTTCTAACTAGTTCTATGAGTTGGCATGGTATTGGTGGGCATCTCTTTGGATTGCTCCTTTAGGGGTGTCAGAAACTGTTTACCAGACTGAGACCAGCACTGGTAGGCCAAAACGCCACCAGGGTATTGATGCTGTGTTGCTGGGCACTGTCCCTTACAGTTCCCTCCCTCTGTATTTACTCAGTTCCAACAGGGAATTAGCTAGTTGGTGATTTTGTTCTGGTCACGAGGTGGTGCCAGAGACCTGTACTTGCTGACCTGTGCTTTTGCCCAGTGGTTCTCTGAGAAATGGAGGGGGCAGAGGGGAGCACCTCAATACAGGGGCTGGGTGCTGTGTCTGCCCCGTGTTCACTGGGTGCTGTGCCCACAGATGTATGGATATTGCACCCTGAATTCTGCTCTCTAGGTCTCAGTTCCAGGGCTATCAGATTCAAAACGCTGCTGTCACCCTGTGCAGTGCCTGCTGCTATGGCGCGTCCCATTTCCCGGATCCTGTGCCTCGTTTTCAGTTCCAGGATGGGGTCTTGCTCAATGCCTTATTTCCCTCCTTACCTCCATTTGTGTGGCCCACCCTCTCTCAGAGCCAGAGGGTGTTTTTGGGATACCAGGTTTCCAACTATCAGGATGCTGGTGATTTTTTTCTGGTCGCAAGGTGGTGCCAGAGATCTTTCCTAGTGTCCTTCCAGAACTTTTTTTTTCCTCCGTGGGTCTGGGGAAACAGAGTGGGAGTGGTGTGAAGCACCTCAATGGTGGGGGGGGGGGTGCTGTGTCTGCCCTGTGCCCCACCATTGTGGGGATCCTATTCCCTGAATTTCATGCCCCAGGTCTCAGTTCTGAAGCCCTCAGATCCAGGATGTGGGCTGTAGCGCTGTTCAGTGTCCTCAGAAATGGCTCCTTTTGCACCCCACTCCCGTGTCCGGGCCTGGTTTCTGATCACTCACTGAGGGACATTCACCTCAATGAGAGCCCCCTTGCATCTCCCTGCAAGCCTAGGTCGCAGTTGCGGGGACCTGGGCAGCCACAATCCACGAGCCGTGTATGCTTTTTGAGTGCAATGCCTTTCCACACAAGCTTACCGGCTGGCCTTGGGCTAATTGCAGATCTCCAAGGAGTTCTTGTTTTCCTCTAACGGCACCGATTCCTGCCCAGTTCTCCACAGTTCCAGATCAAAGGGTGCATGTCTGAAATAGTTCCTTTCCATTCACAGTCCTGCTTGATGTGTAGTTTGTTCTTGTTGGTTGTTTTTGTTTTTGCTTTTGTTTTTTTTCCTCCTTTCTGTTGGTCAGAGAGTGCCGACTTTGTGGGTGGGGGAGTTCTAAGCTTTCCTCCCTTCTTGTCCTCTTTTATGGCAACTTTCTTCTTCAGGCAGTTTGCCAGAATTGCCTGTTTATCTTCTGTGTCCCAGTTCTCACAGGGACCTGCCACTTTTCCTCCCTATTAACTTTTTTTTAGTGGGAGAACTTAATCGCAGCGTTTCCCCGCCGCCATGTTGATCTCTCTCCAATCAATTATATTTAACAGACATTTTTATATACATTTTTCAGCATCCAGATGAATATCATCAAAGTCTCTATCAGATTAGCAAATGTATAAACACACATACCTTTCATAACTTACCATGGCAATCTAAGCTGCTTCTAAATCTAACTTACAATATCCTATAAGAATTACATCAAAAATCATCCCCCATACTTTGTATTACAAACTCATAAGCTTCTTTAACCAGGTATAGGGTGATGCATTTAAGTAGATACAAATCTGCTTTTTAAGAAAGAACTATACTTTTTAATGTGAAAATGTCTACTTGCCACATCCAAACCTAATATTTCAACTTTTAATACTCTGTTACCTTAAGCATGTCACTAAGCATTACTGACATTATGGACATTATGTGGACATTATGTGATTTAATCTTCAAAATAAGTTGGTAAAGTAGTATTGTTATATTCCATAACTAGTGTCAGTAGTATGACTTAGAGGATTTATTGTTTTTATTTTTACCCCAAAAAGTCTGCCAGCTCTTTTCACTTTGCCATGCTACCTCCTTCCCACACAAGAAAGCAATACTCTACATTACTTCAGGTGCATACAGAAATGCCATTAGAGAAGCAAAATAATAATACATAATATCCTGGACCAGACATGCACATGACCAGTTCTACTAATCAAATGTGTTCATAAATGCTCTTGAAATAAATTTTTCTTAGAATTAATGCTAATTTACTAGAATTATTTGTTTTGAAGGTTAATGAAATATTTACATTTTTAGTAGTTTCACTTCGACTTGATTGCTTGACTCTAAGTTTTAGATCTGGCTAACCTTCTTTATATTGCCTACTAAATTTGTCATTTCCCCAATTCAAGTATTATGCAATTTTATGGATTTTTTTAAAGATTTATTTATTTATACAAGAACTGGGGTACAGGTCAGAGGCACGGGAGGGTGAGAGAATTTACCAGAGAGAGCAAGGAGCAGAACAGGCAGACAGACCAAAGACACTGCCGAGGGGAGCAGCAGGTGAGGCAGGAGAGGTCTGCTGCACCATGTGGGTTTCTCCCTGGCCAGCCAGGAATCAAACTTGCACTGCAGATGCTGCGGACAGCTTCACAGCACAGCACTCAACCCACTGAACCACCAGGAGGCCCTCAATTTTTTTTTTAATATTGTCTCTCTTATTCTAAGTTCTGTTAAGTCCCATCTAGAAGTTTATAGAATACTAAGAAACATTTTCAGAGGTAATAAAGCATATGCATTTTGAAAGATACAAACGATGTGTTAAAAAGGCTAAGATTTTAAAATTCTTATAACCAAGATTCCTGCTTCATTTCTTACACTTTAGTTACTGTTTTCATCTGAAAAGCAAATAGCTGAACTATTTGAGGTTTTCCTATGAGAAATCACAGAACATGTCAATGCTCACTTTCTAGTCCCTTAAAAACTAAAATTCCTAAGGTATTAGTCTCAACCAGCAATAAAACAAGGCAGGATATTTACCACAGTCTTAGTAATACACTTTGATAAGGTCTCAAACAATTTTTTAATATACATATCTAGTACCCAGTGTTCCAGGAATAAATTCTAACTTAACATGTAACCTACCTCTCAGTTTCTCTGCCAACATTCAGTTCAATGTTTTGACTCTATTTCAGATCTATACCACTGTGCACTCTACCCTAACACCCTGCTAAGCTCACACCAGTTCTGTTCTCCAGAGGATTCCATGGAAAGGATCCTAGGACTCTCCATCAATGATAGACTCATCATCTTGAGCCAAGAAGCTACTACACACCTGATTCATGGCCCATAATTTATAGTTGAGGGAACTCAGGAGTTAAACAATTAGTTAAACACTCAAGAGTTAAACAATTAATCCACATAAACTGTTAGAAAAAAGGAGAAAACAAATGCTAGTTATCTGACCCTCCAGATATCTAGGTCAGGGAACTCCCATGAAACCATGCCTGTCTCTACTCTTACCTGTGAAGGGAAGAGAGATGGGTCAATTGTACCTTGAGAACTTCGTCCAGTAGTAAAACATTCTGTTAACAACTGTTTCAAAGTTTGTTTCATTTCCAAGGCTAAGTCATTTAACCAAAGCTAAAGATAAAATTTTAAAATTACATATACAAATTAAAAAATAAATATACAATCTATTGATTGACTCTATTCTTTTATTTCTGGAAGGAGAATTATAATTTCTTACTGACACTCATACTCCAAATGTAGTATATGGCACATAATTCTTTACTTTATTAATAAATGATTAAAATAAAAACTAAAAAGCATTTTCTCACCGCTTGGAATATAGTGTGAAGACTCATAAATTTGTGATTAGCTTGCACTATCATCACAATCTCTATACAAATCAGTGTAATACAAAACACTTAAAAAATAACCCACCCACTTCATCACATGAAAAGCAATTTAGATAACTGGGCCAATAAATCAGAATCAAAGTGACTAGCTAAGTTCCCTGGTTCATGTTGTCCTGGTGTTCTCATTTTCAGATATCTGAAACCTTCAGAAGGGATTGATTCATTGGGGTATTATTTGAGGATTTAGGCTGCCTCTGCAAACAAAGCTAAATTTTGTTTCAAGATAGAACAATATATTTTTCACTCACTTGATTACATTATATATATATAAATGTTAAGTTAAATAATAATGATTAAAAAATAGAAAATAAGGGGCTCCCCAGTGGCTAAGCGGTTGAGCGCTGGGCTGCGATGCTGCCCGCAGCCTCTGTAGTGCCAGTACGATCCCCAGCCCCCATAGAGGGTCCCACATGGCGCACAGGCCTCTCCTGCTGCCCGCTGCTCCCCCGCTGCTCCCCTCAGCAGTGTGCTTTGTCAGTCTGCCTGCTCTGCTCTCCCCTTCTCCCCTCTGGCTCTGGTGAATTCTCTTACCCTCCCGCACTTCTGACTGTACCCAGTGTTTGTATAGATAGATGGATAAATCTTTAAAAAAAAAAAAAAAGAAAATGAAATGAAGTCACTATTTAACCTAAAAAGACTAACATTAGCAATATAGAAGGGCAAAAACTACAATCTTAAATAGCTTTTCATCACTAGTTACTTTTAATGAACTCTAAAGTCAGGTTTTTTTGTTTTTTTTTTTAATCTGTAGATCCCTTTCCAGTATGAAAAATGGCATGAACCTTTGTCCCATTCAAAAGGCACTGAAGCTCAAGATAACCAAGTCTCTCAATCAGAAGGAACAGAGACTTCTACTCTGCTAATCACAAGAGCTTCCAGAGCTCCAGCTTCTCCTTTTCTAGCAAAGTATATATGCTAAAAGTTAAGCCTGTCATCTCTCTCTGTTAATCTAGTGCAAACAAAACTACAAAAAAGAAATATAATAAAACTATTCACCAAACATGAGAGCTGCTTAACAGACATCCTATGCTTTCAATCACCTGATTTATGTATTCTATTCAACATCCAATAAAAAGCTGAGATCTAAACAGGAATAGACTGTTTGCTGCACTGAATAAGCATATGTATGAAAAAAAAGATCCTTGAATTGTTTTGTTGGAAGATAATTTTGAAACCTGAAAACTATAATTCAATGCAATACAATCTATTAATATTTGGTTCTGGTGGTACACCTGTAATTGGCCTTTAAGAATTTACTTTTTCAAAACCAATTTATCAATGGTTGTCCTATAATGCACTGCTTCAAGCTTACTTATTCACTAAATCATCCTAGACAACGAATATTTTAAAGAGAAAACAGAACTGAGACTTATTGAGTAATTACATTCTAAGCACAATAGAGTATACTTAAAGGCACTTATTTTCAACAGAAAGAGCTTGTAACAAATAGAAAAAATCCTATTTTAAGGATTTTTTTTTTATATTTATTTATTTTTTTATTTATACAAGCACTGGGTACAGTCAGAAGCGCGGGAGGGTAAGAGAATTCACCAGAGCCAGAATGGAGAGCAGAACAAGCAGACTGAAGAAGCATACTGCTGAGGCGGGAGGCGGGCGCAGCAGAAGAGGTGTGTGTGCCATGTGGGACCCTCACTGGCGGCCAGGGATCGAATCGGCACTGCAGAGGCTGCAGGCAGCTTTGCGGCCAGCTTTGCAGCCCAGCGCTCAACATCTGTGCCACCGGGGATGCCCTATTTTAAGGATTTTTAAAAATAAGGCTCTAAGTCCTATTTTTAATAAATTGTGGAGCTAAGTTTAATATTCAAATCTTTCTGATTTTAAAGCAAAAGATTTCTTCATAATTACAAGCTAGCGTCCAATAGCAAATCACTCTGAACTTAACAAAACATATCATTTTTTAAGACATGAGTTTCCTAAAAGGCCTAAATTTACCAACTTTATCCTACCAATTGACTGAATTATTTTTCATACAAAATTGTCATATTTTAGTTTCATACTTAAGGAAAAAATCACTTACCTCTACATTATTAGATAGAAGAACTTTATTTTTAAAAGGTACAATTTCTCCCTCTAAAGATTTCATTGCAGTTATATGTTTTGATTCCTCATCAAAACACACACTGTTGATACCTATAACATAAAACCAAAAATTTAAATCAGATAATAATTAAATGCTAATTATTAGAAATGATGTTTATTACATAATATGCAACCAATATTATATTCTAGTGCAACATAATTCTACTATATAAGCTATAACATAATCCTATTATATATACTAGCAGGACAGCTTTTTATAATAACCAAAAACTAGAAAACACCCAAATGTTTATCAACAGATGAACAGTTCAACTGTGAGAGATTCATACAATGATTTCTCAGCAATGAAAATAAATATAGTTATAGGCATCTCAAAAACACAATGAGCAAAAAAGCCAGGCAGAAATGAGTGCATATGATTTTACATAGATGATTCCACTTACATAAGAGGAGACAAAAAAAGGAAAGAGAAGCGCAAGTAGGGCTTCTCCTTCTCCCACATTCACACATCACTTTATAGTATATTTATAAACTTTAAATACAGAAAACTTTAATTTCTTAAAAAACCATGTTTAGTTATTATTTCCAATTCAAAGAAGGAAACTAAATTTCAGAGTGTTAATTAGTAGCCAACTGGTAAATCCCGAAAGCAGAGCCTGAATGAAAGCATTCTGATTCCAAGAGCTCCTCCACCACCTCCCACAGCTCAAATCACAGTTACAGACATAAACACCAACAGCTTCACATACACAGTGGTTAGCAAATATTTCTCTAAAGCTCCAGAGAGTAGATATTTTAAGTTTTTATAGGTCTTACAGCCTCTGTGTCAGCTACTCGACTCTATGCTTGTAGCATAAAACCAGCTACAGACAATAATGGGTGTGGCTGTGGTACAACAAAACTGTATTAAAAAACGCAAGCAAAGAGCCAGATTTGGTCCTTGGGCTATAGTATGTTAATCCCTGATCATAAGTGAAGATAATGATGTGTTTTGAGAAAATAATAATCATTATTTTTGCAGCAAACAGATTTCATTTTTTTGCCCAACAAAAGTGATTCAAAATATTGATGCATATGACACTAACATGCTACACTTTCACCAGGTAATCTCACCTAGTGGCATAACTTAAGTATTATCTATATGCAGATGACTGCCAATGTTACATCCATCCCAGATCTCTCTGTTGGCCAACACTGTGTACTAAGTACTCCTCTGAGACATCGTTTAGGAAAACTTAAGCTCAATAAGCTTAACTTCTAACTAAGACATACACATTCTTTAGAGCTCACCTTAGTTGGCACCTTCTTCATGATGCCCCCAAATTGAACTAAAAGCCTTCAGAGATGCAACTGTAACACCACATTCTTACATCAAGATAACATTATGCATGGCAGATAGGTATAAGTCAATAAATATTTGCTGATTAATGTTGAGTCTTACCAGCAAACAGTTTCTTAAGGTGAGACTGAATCACTGATGGGTTAGTAGACTGCCCAAGTATTTCTAACAAGTCATCATCACCAATAAAATAAAATCTTGGGAATGCTGAGCGTTTTTCCTAAAAAAAAAAAAAAAAAGACGTTATACTTTTCGAATAATTTGATAGTAAGTACTTTACAATTTGTTATATAATGATTTAAAAAAGATAACATACCTCCAAAAATTCATTTAATGATTTCTGGCATCTTTGAAGCTGATCAAGTGTCATTAGAAGAGAATTTCTGATTCCTGCATGAGTAGTTAATGTTGTAACTCTGTTGTCTTTCTTGATATCGGTCATTATTGATCTAGAGAAGATAAAATTATATATATACACACAAACACACGTATTTTTACAGGTTTTTGGCTGGAACAGAGATATTAAGACATTTATATTTTTACCTGTTTGAAACAAACTAGAGGTTAACACAACAGCAATACAGTACTATACTGCTAAAAAGTAATACTATCGGGCCTCCCTGGTGGCACAAAGGTTAAGCACAGCACTATGAAGCAATCTGCAGCCTCTACAGCCTGAGTTCGATCCTTAGCCAGCCAGGGAGCTACCCACATGGCGCAGCAGACCTCTCCTGACTCACCCGCTGCTCACCTCAGCAGTGTGTTTCAGTCAGTCCGCCTGTTCTGTTCCCCACTCTGTCTCTGGTGAATCCTCTCTCCACCACCCGCATCTCTGGCCTGTACCCCAGCTCTTGTATGCATAAATAAATAAATCTTCAAAATAAAAAGTAATACTACCCCATTGCCATTTTTAAACTCCCATATTGCAAAATTCTATTATTTCATTCATCTACTATACCAATATTAAGCCATACTTCATTGAGATAATGGTCCAGAAACACAGAAAGATATTAATTTATCAAAATATTGAAATAAAATTATGAAAAATGCTAAGAAGGAAAAGTAAAAACATTATTAAAATGACTAGTAGAGTAACCCCTAATCTATGGTATTTTAAAGGAAGTAATTTAAGCTGAGATCTGAATGATGAATAAAAATAAAATCCAATGAATATGAAGAAAACAGCTTCTGGCAAAGACCCTGGGAAAGAGCTTGGTATGTTTGAGAAACAAGCCTAGAGTCAATAAAGCAAAAACAGAGAACACCACAAGAAAGAACTAGAGTAATGAATGAGGAAGAGATCATGCTTTATCCTCAGAGCTATGAGAAACCATTTTAAGGTTTTACTTCAAGGTACAAAGGAAGAAGTGATTAAACCTCATTTTTAAAACATCACTGTGGGGTCTCACCTGGTGGCACAGGCGGTTGAGCACCGCGCTGTGAAGCTGTCTACAGCCTCTGCAGCACCAGTTCTATCCCGGCCGGCCGGCGAGGGTCCCTCATGGAACGGCAGACCTCTCCTGTCTCACCTGCTGCTCCCCTCAGCAGTGTATTTCATCAGTCTGCCTGTTCTGTTCCCCACTCTGTCTCTGGTGAATCCTGTCACCCTCCCACGCATCTGACCTATACCCTGGTTCTTGTATAAAATAAATAAATCAATCTTAAAAAAAAATGAAATAAAATAAAATATCACTGTGACTATTATGTGAAAAGCTTATTGGAGAAGACGAGTAAATTTAAATGATTAGAAAGTAATCCAAGTGAATGACAAAAAAACTTTGGAATAAAATCAAATATCTCTTTCCCAAAACTCTTCTTTCTTTCTGATTTCTGTATGAAAAATGGTATCACTTAATTACTCAAAGCAGAAACACAATGGATAACTTTGAAATCTCATACAGAGATATAAAAGATACATTTAAAATATACTAAATTAGAATCAAGAAAATTTGGTGATGCAATGGATATGGAAATTGAAAGAGGTTTCAAAGAGGTTTCAAAGGTTTGAAAGAGGTTTTTGCTCTGAGTAATTAGGTGACACCATTTGTTACTACAGAAATCAGAAAGAAAAAAAAGAGTTTTGGGAAAGAGATTGTGAGGGGTAAACACATGGATTTATTTTTGACATGTTAATTGAGGATGCTTAGGAAATTCAGAATCCAGAAAAGAAAATTCACTTCAATATAGAAATTGAGAACATAGCAAACAGAAGAGAATTGATGCTGAGAGTGATTAAGTTCACCTAGAGAGAGACTATAGAGTGAGAAAGGAATGTAAGACTGAGCTTAAAGAATGTCTGTATCTAAATCTTTTGAGAGGGTGAGGAATAAGAAACTAGAAATAGAACCAAAGAGGCAGGCAGAAAACCATGAGAGCACATTGTTACTCACAGGGAAGAGACTTTCCAAGAAAGAAGAAATGTTCAACTCTATTAATAATAATCAGAAATAAAGTAAAATAAGGAATGAAAAATGCCCATCAAATTTACAATAAGAGTAACATTAGAAAATACATGCATACATACATACACACATACATATACACATAGTAAAGATAAAAACCTTAAAATGGCTCAAAAAAGTAAATCGCTGAAATAACAGAAAATAGTTTCTCAGAGGCTCCAGTAAAAAGAAGAATGAGCAATGATACTAATAATTATAAAAGTAATTTGCTCATAATGAGCACCTCAAAAGAAAGAATAAAAAACTTTCACAGTGTCTGTAGCTTATGTAGTTGTACTGACCTGAAATCCTCATCAACTCTGTTGAAGCGTGTCTGTTCTTTTGGCAATGCTCCTTGACCAAAAATGGGTTCCAAATACACCCACTTTCTCTGAATATGGTTTAAATTCTGCAGGTATTCATCCAACTCTGCAAGTTTTCTTTCCCATATTGAAGCTTTATCTTCAAATCCTTTATAATAAGGAGACTCCTTTAAGGACTGAAGAAGGCATCTATTATCTCCAACTTGATTTATTATATCTTTCCAGTCTTTAATCAGCTTGATAGTTCGACTTTGGCTGTCTTCATAATCAACCAGTGTAAATACTGCTCCAACTCCCCAAAGATCAAGTTCACGTAATGCTTCTCTGATTGTTACTTCACCTTGGGCCCGACTATTTAAATCCTATTTAACACAAAATAATGATATTTATTATTTCAAATTAATTATCAAATAAATAAGTTTTAAGAAATGTATATTATTAAAAGATTTACATTTAGCTGGCTTTTCAACACAAGGCAAAAAAAAATAAGTGGAATTACATACTCAGAACCTATACAAAGTTCTGCCTTATGTCTTTTACTTATAAAAAACAAAAACAGGGCCTCCCCTGGTGGTGCAGCAGTTGAGCACTGGGCTGCAAAGCTGCCCACAGCCTCTGCAGCGCCAGTTCGATCCCTGGCCACCTGCGAGGGTCCCAGATGGCATGCAGACCTCTCCTGCTGTGCCCGCTGCTCCCCTCAGCAGTGTATTTCGTCAGTCTGCCTGTTCTGTTCTGCGCTCTGGTGAATTCTCTCACCCTCCAGCGCTTCTGACTGTACCCAGTGCTTGTATAAATAAATAAATAAATCTTAAAAAAAAACCCAGAAAATTCAAGTATCACAAATCTATCTTATTTACAGATTTTCAGACCTCAGAAACTTTGCTATAACTGAACTGTTAGTTTTGACACATAAAAAGTTAATAACAATTTTGCAAATTTATAACACTTATGGTAATCCAAATATGCCCAAAGATTATCAACAAACATAACAGTATACATTTTAGAGAGAAAATTAAAATTTGGTGTCAAGAATTCTTTTACTGGGCCTTCCTGGTGGCACACCGGTTGAGCACTGGGTTGCGAAGCTGCCCGCAGCCTCTGCAGCACCAGTTCGATCCCCAGCCACTGGGTGAGGGTCCCACTTGGCGCAGCAGACCTCTCCTGCCACCTGCTGCTCCCCTCATCAGTATATTTTGTCAGTCTGTCTGTTCTGCTCACTGCTCTAGCTCTGGTGAATTCTCTCACCCTCCCGCGCTTCTGACTGTACCCAGTGCTTGTATAAATAAATAAATAAATCTTTAAAAAAAAAAAAAAGAATCCTTTTACTTTACCTTGAATGGCAGAACACAATGTGAAAGTCTGCCCCTTATGACAGTGTTGTAAGAAGATGTACTTTCCCCTGAGACCTTTCTAAATCTAATTAGCAATATGGTTCTTCGTTTAGTTTCTGAATATCTGTAGCTTTTTAGCTTCTATTTATACTTTACAAAGAAAAATATTTAACTTGCTGTTTTATTTAAATAACAAAATACAAAGCAAAATCAGATGTTAACAAATATCAGGTTTATGAGATAATTCTAAGAGTGATTCTTACTTTAAGGTCTGATGCTTTTGCAACAATTGTATCAGCTAGTTTGAGCAGATCACCAAACAGTAATTTCTCTAGACTAGTCCCCCTAGGAAGGCCAAGTAGACGAAAAAGGTCAAGCCAGTGATCTGGAGAAAGATGCTCCCCTCTCACATATTTCAAGATAGGAATTACGGTCTGTTAAAAAGGAAGAAGAAAAGGCACATGTACACAATTATGCAAATATTAGCAAAATGCAAATTTCTATTAGTTACATGATAAACTACTAAATTTTTACTCCATTGTTTTATTTAACAATCTTGAAATCACATCATTAAAAAGAATTGTATGAAACTTTTCATTAAACACTGCTTTACGAAATTAAATATATAAATTAAAGCCTCATTAGGGCCTCCCTGGTGGCGCAGTGGTTGAGTGCTGGGCTACAAAGCTGCCCGCAGCCTCTGTAGCATCAGTTAGATCCCCGGCCACCGGCAAGGATCCCACATGGCACACAGACCTCTCCTGCAGCACCCGCTGTTCCCCTCAGCAGTATACTTCGTCAGTCTGCCTGTTCTGCTTCCTGCTCTGGCTCTGGTGAATTCTCTCACCCTCCTGTGCTTCTGACTGTACCCAGTGCTTGTATAAATAAATAAATAAAATCTTTAAAATAAAAATAAATTAAAGCCTCATTTATTAAACAGTGTTGTAGATTGCTGTGGATGGTCCCTTTGTAGTTTAATGTATTTTAAAACATGACCTAAATTATTTCTATTTCAATGTTTTCAGGACATGTCCTATATCCTAAATATGCTACATGACCCATATCCTAGAATCTAAAAATACTCTGATTTATAACTTAAACTTAACCATAAATTTCTTTCCCATAACTTCTTTCAAATTGGTAGCAGGAATAACATTAATTTCTACGGTATACCCTTTATTTACTATTATTTTCATCAAATGGAATAATTAAAAAATATATAAACTAAAATTATAGTTCAGTAGCTACATAATAATAATATACCTGAAAGCTCCAAAGATCATTTTTAGACAGTAGAACAGTAAAACTATCTTACTTTATATTTATCAACTTCAGACTGTAATTTCACTGTCATTACTGAATGTTCTTCAACTTTCCTTAATCTGTCATGCCAATTCAACAAAAATTCCTCAAACAGGTATGTCTTAGACCTGTAAAACACCAAAAATGCATCTTAAAATTATCATCCCCCAAACTTGATCCAACTATAAAAATCTAAATTTTGTTTATGAATTCAAACCGGAAAGTAATCCAGTCTTCACTGGCCATTTCCTGATATCCTTGCTGAAACTCCTCATAAAGAGCCCAAATTTGTGCGCAGCTCTCAATGTCTGTAGAGATGCTATATGCCAAAGAGAAGTTGGGTTCTTCTAGTCCAAAATGATGGCAATCATCACTACAGAAACAAAAAGTATGCAATCATTACAATTTTTTTGCAAAAGACTGCTAAATATAAATATTCTTTAATTGCATTCCCTGTGTGTGTACATGTGTGTGCTTCTCATACATGTACATGTATGAAACTACACCCGACTCATACAAGAATTTTACTTTAACTCCTTAAGAATGAGCCTTCTAAATCCATTAAATGTCTTTTTTTTCCAAAGGCATCAAAATGGAAAGGTTGTGTATGTGTGTGTGTATATATATATATATATATATATATATATATACACATACATACACACAAATGCTTGTATAAATAATACATATTAGGAATATAAATTTATGGATTAATCTGAAAATACTCTCAGTTGAAGGGATTAGTTTCTCAAATGCAAGATATTCTTCATCTAAATAGCATAAGGTCATTTAGTAAATGTGGTACTAAGATCTCCATTCACTTAACCTATGAAAGTAATTATTTTAAGGTGACATTTTCTTATATAGAACCAAACATAAAGCAATATTAAATTTAATACCTTATAATATAAAACAAATTTTTTTCTTTAAAGTCTCTTATTATTTTGTTAGGTTCATTTTTTCCCAGGGCCTCTGAAAGTAAGTTCTATTACTTTTATGCTCTCTTTTAAATACAGTATATCACAAAAAGCCAGTATTCCACCTCCTTGACTTAACTTTTATATATTTTTAATTTCCTATTCAATTTCTAGTCGTGGTCAGAAATTTGCTTTTCTCTTAACATCTTCTTTATAATCCAAAATTCCTTTGCTAGCAATAACATGAACACTTGTTATTTGTTTTTAAAACAGCTGAAGTTTAAAAGGAAAACCATTAAATAGCAAATACAAGAAAATTATTAGCTTGATATATAAATATAAAACATTTTTTTCAAATAAATACTATTAATTTAGATTAAAAACATACACGAGTTTTTTTCTTATGACTTCAAGATCATCAAACTCAATTTTTTTCTCTTTTATGGACTTTGCACTTTTAGCAAGAGTATTTTGCTGGCCAGTTTCAATAACATCATCACCAGGCTTCAGTTGGTCCCAACGAGCTCTAAATTTTTCCAATTCTTGATAATAGATTTGAAGACGTGATTTCACATTTCCTTTCATCACTTCAATCTATAAGCCAATAGTTAATATAGTTTAATTCAGAGTAAAATCTCACTTTATTCTCACATTTTGACTTCCAACACTTTCTGTTTAAAAAGCAAACCTAAATAAGGGACCAGGAGAAAGACTAATTATAATACAGTAAAAATCAAAATCAAGAAGAAGCAACTATAAGCCAGAGACACACTACGGGGCGGGGGGAATCAGAGGATTAGGAAGGAGGGATTCTGGTCAAACTAAGGGGGGGGTGGGAATTGTATGGGGACTATAACCAAGATGAAAAAGCATTCATTGTGCAAAAATGAAAAATGATGTAAAAAATATATTAAAAATAAATAAATAAAAGGCAAAAAAATAGCAATACCAATTTTCAAAAGATTGTTTTTCATTACTGATAGCAAATGCAATAAAGTAATTCAAAAACACAAGATTGGAGTATAAAGTTACAAAACTAACAGATAGCCCGCAAACATAATCATTAAAAAATCATTCCCGTGATTACCAGCCCCCAAGACTATCAACAAAGTTGATAAGATAAAAAAAAATGGTTGTTCAACAACTACCAGTTGTTCTACCTCAGTTTCCAATTGCTTAATTAAGGAAGGCATTCCCCTGTCCCATGCATGTAAGGGACATAAGACTAAGTTCAGGCCCATGGGATATGAGTTCACTAGATGTGTGCAACTTCCAGGTTGTACCCTTAAAAGACACCGCACATAGTAGGTAAACAAATTCATTCTTAAAAAGGATCAAAAATGCTGGTATGGTAGGAAATCAGCTTAATTAACTATGTGAAATGACCACCATTTATATAAGATTTTTTTATAATATAAAGTACTAAGGGAGGTGATTCGGCAATAATAACTTTATAAACCTGAGTTATTATGAAATAACCAAGAAATCTTCAGTGAGAAAGAATTGTTTTGATTTCTATAAAATGACTAAATGATTCTTACCTGATCTTTAATCATAAGTTGGTGACTTTCCATCATCAACTCAAATTTATCCCACTTGGCTTTCAGATTACTAATTGTTTCTAAACCTCCACCTGCCACAGTGCGTAAAAGTCTGTTTTTATCTTCAGCTTCTTGAAATAGGGGCAAAATCTAAAGGTTAAAAAAAATGTGAAAAACAACCCATTTTATTAATTTCTTAAGTTTGTACTTATTTTAATTTTTTCTTCATTACTTGCTTTTCTAAATCAAAAATTTTTGCTTTTAAATAAGTTATTAACTTCTTGCATACAAAGACCCTAATGCATACTTTTATTACATACAAACTCACTGAGGCAATCTAACATCAGAGGATCAAAAGAATAATAAATAGTAGGGTCTCCCTAGTGGCGCAGGCCGTTGAGCTCAGCGCTGTGAAGCTGTCCACAGCCTCTGCAGCACCGGTTCGATCCCCGCCAGCTGGCGAGAATCCCACGTGGTGCGGCAGACATTTCCTGTCTTGCCCGCTGCTCTCCTCAGCAGTGTATTTTGTCAGTCTGCCTGTTCTGTTCCCTGCTCTATCTCTGGTGAATCCTCTCACCCTCCCGTGCATCAGCTCTTGTATAGAAATAAATAAATCTATTAAAAAATAATAAATAGGGTCTTCCCGGTGGCGTAGCGGTTGAGCGCTGGGCTGCGAAGGTGCCCTCATCCTCTGCAGTGCTGGTTCGATCCCCAACCAGCCAGAAAGGGTCCCACATGGTGCACAGACCTCTCCTGCCACGCCCGCTGCTCCTCTCAACAGTGTATTTCGTCAGTCTGCCTGTTCTGCTCCCCACTCTGGCTCTGGTGAATTCTCTCACCCTCCCGCGCTTCTGACTGTACCCAGTGCTTGTATAAATAAATACATAAATCTTAAAAATAAATAAATAAAAAGAATAATAAATAGTAATATGAGACTGACTAAAGTCACGAATTCATAAAAACAGTATGATAGCTGTTCAAAGGAAAGTTTTTGTAAAGAATGTTCCACGGATAAAAAATTGCTAGAGCTGTCTATAAGCATTAAAACTGGGCCTCCCTGGTGGCGCAGCAGATTGAGCGGCATGCTATTAAGTTTTCCGCAGCCTCTGCAGCACGGGTTCGATTCCCGGCTGGCCAGGGAGAAACCCACATGGCGTGGCAGACCTCTCCTGCCTCGCCCACCTGCTCCCCTCAGCAGTGTCTTCAGCTGCTCCCCTTATCAGTGTCTTCGGTCCATCTGCCCGTTCTGCTCCCCACTCTTACTCTGGTGAATTCTCTCACCCTCCCGTGCCTCTGACCTGTACTGCAGTTCTTGTATAAATAAATTAAAAAAAAAAAAAAAATCTCAAAAAAAAAAAAACTTTAAAAAAGAAGAATTAAAAACTAGTGATTGCTTAAAAACGTAAGTTAACTAAATCATCATACTTATAGAGGAGGCAAAGTCATGAAAAAATACTCTTCATAAACAGACAGCTAAAGAAAGGAAACCATGCTTCTATACTCGGTTTCTCCCTGAAATGTCTTAAAAATTGTATACAGTTAGCAGTTTAGTTAAATGGTCTGGGATACCTTCTAAAACACCATAAAATAGTGTCCAATAATTAACATCTGTATTTTCACTACTGAACAAAGCAATAAAATCCATTCAAGGATTTTTTTAAATGACTGTGCAAACTTAACAGACTGCAACAAAAAAAATCTCCAACATATCTCAATGACCACAGCACAATATCTGGGCAAGACCATTTCCATCTGAGAAACAGAAAACCAGTGGACCAAAAAGTCATGTTTTGCTAGGAAAATGAATAAGAAATAAGAAAACAGAGTAGGATTCTAGTCTCCTACATATAAACAGAATTTAGGTTAGCATGTAAAGATTTTAACACTTTCCTAGTCTACGTGTTCCCATTCCAACTGCTTCAAATCCACATACCAACAAAGGGACATATCAAAAGAGTTCTATTGATATAACATCTCACTATGTAAAACCCAGGAATGGGTTTTGACGTCCAAAAAATCAGCATGCAATCCTTAATGGGCTCACGTGATCTAGATTCTGCCTAGCTTTGCATTCTGTCTCAGTCACTTTCTGCCTCACAAGTTGTCCACATCTCTTAGTTTTTGTGATGCTGGGCTTTGTGTCTCCCCTCCTATTTCATTCTCAATCTCCTTTGCTGCCTTCTTCTATGCTTGAACTTTAAATTTTCGGACGCTCAAACCTACTCCAATATCTGCTACTCTTTGCTATCAACCAGATGATCTAGTCCATTCCAAATTTTTTGTATATCATGGATAGAAATTTAACCAAATTTGACCATTAGATTTTAACTTTACTTTAAATTCCATATTCCTGATTAAACTTCTACCTGACATCTGAATTCCAACCACTTCCAATCGCCAAACATCTCCCTCCTCCAATCATACTCATTTCAGTGGAAGGGGCCAACAGCTTACCACCTGTTCAAGCTAAAAACCTAGGGGACATGTTTATTTCTCTCTCTCCCCCCGCTACCTTATGCATCAGATTCCAACTCTAAACTATTTCTCAGCTTACTCCCTTTCCTCTACTACTATAAAGTACAAGTTTCCATCATCTCTCATCTATCGATTGCAATATCCTACTAACTGTCCTGTCTGCTACTTTTGTATCCCTACATCCATTCTCTATAGAGCAAAGAGAGTAATCACTTCAAAATACAAGCCACACTGTGTCACTCCCCTGCTTAAATCCTCTGATAACATTCTATTACACTCAGAAAAAATCCAAACATCTTATCATTGTCTAAAACTACCTTCATAATCTGGCCCTTACCTACCTTTCCAATATTACCTCATACAATTTCCTTTCTTAAATATTATGGCTTTCTTAGTAACTAACAGTCTTGAAAACATTTATATTGATCTCTTCCTTTAGTATACAAAATTCCTTCTCTACTTTAGGATCTTTGTATTTGTTGTTCATTCTGGGATCCCCAAATTTTGGAATCCTGGCTCCTTATCTTTCAGGTCAGATATCAGCCCTCTGAGAATGCTTCCCATGACCATCCACACTAAGTAACATCACCCCAGTAGGCATGTCCATGCTTCTCACTACTCTACTTCCTCTCACTCTTCTCTCCCATTCTCCCTACCCTTATGCACACACCAATAGCACAGCAAATTCATAAATGCAACTCCAAGTCCATAGTCAATATCTGTTATTTATAAATCACCTGATGTGATCTATTTATAGGTCACAGTATAAATTAAATATCCTTTGAATAATGAATGTTTTAGCTAACTGCCACAGTTCATAATGCCATTCCTTCCTGAGTTACTTCCTTCAACTAGACAATCATATTATTTTATTTGACTTTAGACCTTCTTTATACCTTCTAGCCACTACATAAAAGTCTATAATTCTTTTCACCATAAAAATATATTAATTTGCCAATTCTTAAAACTTTCTTTATAATTTTCATTCTGTCACATAGTAAGGACACATAAAAGTTTTATTATGACTTGAATTATTTCTCTTCTTTCCTCCAAATATGACTAATATCATCTATAAAGCATTTTATATAAGTTTGGCTTGCTTATTATTCTAAGCTCTAGTCTTCAAGATATACTCCATGAATCTTTACCACTCTTTTATCTTTGTCTCTAAGGACAAAGTGTTCTTCCATCACATGTGAGTGTGTATTTATGTGTGCATGTATTCCTAATTCAATTCTAACTTCATACTTTGATATCCTAAACTTACAACTCTGGAAGTAAAAAGCATGAATTATTTATTTATTTGTTTGTTTGTTTGTTTGTTTGTTTGTTTTTAAGATTTATTTATTTATACAAGAACCGGGGCACAGGTCAGATGCACGGGAAGGTGAGAGGATTCACCAGAGACAGAGCGGGGAACAGAACAGGCAGATGAGCCGAAATACACTGCAGAGGGGAGCAGCGGGCAAGACAAGAGAGGTCTGCTGCACCATGTGAGCAGCAATCCCTGGCTAGCCGGCCGGGATCAAACTGGTGCTGCAGAGACTGCAGACAGCTTCACAGCACGGCGCTACGGCGCTCAACCGCCTGCGCCACCAGGGGAGACCCAAAAGCATGAATTATTTATGTTTAGCTTAGACTTACTGTAATATGGCACATCACAAAATAGACTGCAAATACTTTTGAAGACAATCAGAAGCATTACTCTTACTACTTCATTACATCAACAAGACATTCAAGAATCCAAATATGAGCTGACCAGCTGGACCAAATTATATGGACTTCTTTATAATGCTGAGATCACATGATATTTCTAAACAGTAACATAAAATTACCTAACTTAAGCATCTCCAGAATAGTAACAATAAGTAAATAGTTTGTGATTCTCACCTCTGGCTTCCGTTCTTGCAGCTTACTGTATTGTAAATTTGCATCACCTATCTCTTCCACAGACTGGGGCATAATTGCTAAGACCTCCATAGCCTCAGTAACAAATGTGTCAATTTCATGTAAATGAGCTGAATAGGTAACAGTGAAGTAGAGAAATATTATCACAAAAAATACTCAATTGCATAGTTCATAAATGAAGGAGTGTTAGAAGTAGTCACTACAAGAAATACATTAAATCCTAAATTATCATTTGCTGTCATACAACAAAATTTGAAATTGGTGAGTCAGCAAAAATATCTTCTCATCAGTTTACATTACACTTAAAAGTTCTAAGAAAAAACCTAAAATATACTCATTCTTTTTAAATGTTACTCAAAATCCAGAGCTTTTTCAGTCTTTTATATATTAAAATATCTCAGTTTAAAAGGAAAAGAAAAAAGCAGTCATTTTAATACTTAAGGAGAAACACATTATAAGCAGAATTACCTACTTTACTCAATAACTGATAGAACAAGTGGGTCTAGCTCAAACTGCATAAAAAATAAAATGCCTTCAAATTTTACAACTCTTAGGAGTTTAACATGGACCTTACTTCCTTACTAAATCTAAGCACTTTTCATTTCATGATAGTTTCTAGATCAGTTTTAATCACCGTTGGGGCTCATTTCATAACTATAAAAGCAAATGCCTTTAGATATAATTAATTTTATTTTTTTCTTAACCAACATTTATTTCACTTTTTAAAAATTGTTTTATATATATAAATATATATTTTTTACATCATTTTTCAGTTTTTTGTACAATGTATGCATTTTCATCTTGGTTATAGTGCCCGTAAAATTCCCACCACCCTTGTTTTCATCCCTTCTCCCCTCTGTGGTGTGTCTCTGGTTTACAGTTGCTTGTTGATTTTGATTTTTACTTTATTATAATTAATCTTTTTCCTGATCCCTTATTTAATTTTGTTAATAGAAATTCAAAAAGTATCTTTACCTTGAATGGACTTCTTTAAAGAAAGAATAAGCATATCAAATAACTTCTGGATGAGATCATCAATCACAGTCTTCACAGGGTTGCAATTAATATTTAAACAATCTACTCTGACAGCACTGCAAATGCCAATGGACATATTTCGACATGAAAAAGGATCATTAGAGGAAAAGGGTCTCATTACAACGTTATGATTTTGTGTAATTTAATTAAAACCCAAATCATTAGAATTTCATTTAGCAAAAATGTTTACATATATGATTAATAAATTTTTCATTAAATGATAATTTTGCTAAAATACTATAATTTTTAATCATGAAATCTACTAGTTCAAAAAAGTAGCATATTATGAATACATTTAAATATTTACAAAGTTTACTTGTCACAGCATGTAGTTATTAAAATACAAAACAAAATAATTATCATGCAATAAAAGTACAAATAATAAGAGAAAGAGACAGAAAATGAATATAGGTCATAAAGGCAATAAGACAATAAAACAATGTGATACCATTTTATAACTATTGAAATGACAAACATGAAGTGAATTATTATATTGTCAGTTGTGGACAGAGAATTCTCAAAACTGTTGTTCAGGGTATAAAATATCACAACTTTCATAAAGTATAATTTAGTAATATATAACAATTTTAAAATAAGCTCATCCATTGTCCTAATAACGTCATCATCAAAATTTATCCTAAGGAAATCTTCAGGAAAGACTCCAAGATTTATATACAACTTGAATTATTATGATAAAAAAATAGAAACAAGTTTATAAAACTAGCTAAATTATTTTATCTGCTTACAATTAAAAATCATATTTTTGAGCATTAGGTAATAACAGCAAAATACTAATAGTAGCATTAAATAAAATTGCAGGATGCAGTAAGATACAAATTTTATAAGTATATGAGCTAATATTTCTAAAACACAAATATAAATATTATACTTTTCTATATTGAAAAAATAAAAAGCAAATGTACTATTTCAATCATCAAAAAAAAAGATATTTTAAGAACACCAATTCTTTGTATGTTATCTTTACTCCTAAATTGTAATGTAGGAACACAACATTTAAGCCAGACTCACGCATTGAGAAGAATCTCATATTTGTCTTAAAATATATAAAGTTTTTTAAAAGTCTGGAAATTTTAGTCAGAAAGATTTCTTTAAAAGGTACTTGCCCTTTTTAAATCATATTCAGGTAATAGTCTTAGAAGGCAAGCTCTGTGTTAACTCACTTTTTTATAATAAAAATACAGTAATCTTTTAAAGTATTATTTATTTGTTCTTCAACTAACTAGAGAAGTTTAAATTCCAGCTCCTAACTACCAAAACATGTAGGAGCCAATATGCTTGATGTTGGCAACAGCATGATGTTATATGAATTTGAAAACCTGACGGTCAAGATTTCTAATGACCAACATGAGATGATTTTAGAAAACCTAAAAAATTACATTATGCTCTATTTTGCTAAGGAATTAACAGAAAACAGTTTAATTACAGCACAGTTATACTCACTGACTACAGAATCCTGTGGCCAAAACTAACACTCACCTTCCACTTGAAAATACAGACGACAATCAATATGTGATGGGGGCTCCATTCAACTTTAGGCAGAATGGAACAGCCACAACCAGCCTACCCAAACTTACATCCTCATCACACTGTCTGAAATACATCATTAGAATACAGCTTCTCTGATCTCTTATATTTCTAAAAAGTACCCATAAAATAAGTATCTGTGTATAAATTCATGGGTATATTAGCTTAGGCGAAACCGCAAGAAACAGCAAAATGAAAAAAGGAATATCAGATGAGCGTTCTTTCTTTGTTTTGTTTAGCTTTGGCAGGGAAGCATAAAGCGAAAACCAGCTCACAATTAAGGACAAACAGTAGTGGTAGCAGGGTAGGTCTTAGGTAGTCAATGAAAAAAATCAAAGAAGATGGGCAAGATAGGGTGAAAGAAAGGATCCAGCAAAGAGAAATTTTAGAAACTTTATATGCAAACATTTCAAAAGCAATTTTTCTTTACTTCAAGCTAATATTAATGGCATTATCCCAATCATCTAAATTCAAATTCTCAAGTCATTTATTTATCTCATCTCTCTTCCCCATCTCTCAACTTTCTACAAAAGTAAGTCCTCTTAATACTTCCTATTTTCACCTGCCTTATTTTGAGTGCCAATAATTTAGTCAGTTACTTCTGGTCTTCTGGATAACTAACTGTTCTTCCTCTAGGACCCCTTTGTTACACCACCCAACTCATTATTTCCAGATTAACATTGTGACTGTTAACATAGCTTTGATACTGACACACTCCTGTTTAGAAACTTTCAATAGCTAACCATCCTAACATGGATAAAATTCCAATTCCCTATTTTAGAATATTTTGAAATGTAAGATTTTCCCAAATTTGTAGCATGACTACCTCTTTCCAGGAACATTAGTACTTAATAAATCCTTAACTCTAACCGAATTTCCAATTAACTAACTACATTTTCAGTATATTAATCCCTCTTTTTGAGGGTCTCTATTCTATCCTCCAATTCTCATCTCTACCTGTTAAAATTCTAGTTCAAGGAGAAAGTTGCCCTGATTTTTCCCAAATGGATAGGATGGCATCATCCTGTAAATCCCCGTAATATTTAGTTCATTCTCTAAATAGAATACAGATTATTCTATCTGGTATTGATAATACTAATATTTGTCGAGAATTTACCCTGTAGCAGTAATTTGAATGCAAATGTTCATCTTAACAGTGTCATTTTAACTATTTCAAACTAAACAAATTGAGGTTCACAGGGTCTGAACAGCTACCAAAGTTAGGCAGCTGCTAAGAGCCTCCTAACTGCAGAGACAGCTCTCTGTATGTAAGTTAATCATCAAATACACTGGTTTTACTGTGCTACTAGAAAGCAAGTAATTTGATCTCAACTTGATCTGTCTTCTCTGCTCCCATAAGACATGGTTTTGCATATTATATCAATAAATGTTCATCAAATATTTATTGAAATAATCAACTAATTCATTACAGTAACATTTTTATTTTAAATTTATTTATTTAATTTTTTTCCTAAGGTTTATTTATTTATTTATTTATTTATTTATTTATTTATTTAGACAATCACAGGTTACAGTCAGAAGCACGGGAGGGTGAGAGAATTCACCAGAGCCAGAGCGGGGAGCAGAGCAGGCAGAAGGACCGAAGTACACTGCTGAGGGGAGCAGTGGGCATCAGGAGAGGTCTGCGCGCCATGCGGGACCCTCCTCTAGTGGCAAGGGAGCAGCCGGGGAGCAGCCGGGGAGCAGCCAGGGATCGAAACGGCACTGCAGAGGCTGCGGGCAGCTTCGCAACCCAGCGCTCAACCGCTGCACCACCGGGGAGGCCCACAGTAATATTATATTTTACAGGTAATAGAGATACAATTACACAGGGAAATAAGCTATAGAGCTTATTACAAAATCTGTCTGAGTGATACGAATTTCAGATAGTAAAGGGATATATTTTCATGCAGCTGGGTTATAAGATATCCTTATGAGGATTTCCTCCACATTTAGGGCACTACCTAGATACAGCACTATGTTGATATGCCCCTCCCCTCACCAACGCATTTGAAAGGAAGCAGAACAATACAAAAGCAGAGTCAGACGTCATTATCTTTATACCCTGTACCATTCTCACAGCAGTAGCTTCTTATCATCTTTAGACTGTGTCTATGCATATCAAATATTAAATCCTCCTCCAAACTTAGACATCTCCACCCCCACTCTACTCTAGCCAAGTAGGTCTCAGTCAGGAGAACCTCTAGAAGAAAAACTTCTTTGAGTCACAGCATTGCTCTACTCAAATGATACTCAAGTGTAAAGATCAGCTTTTGAAAGTTAAGAAATTCAAGTGACCCTGACTTTAATACTACTAAGTGAAGAAGAACCCTTATTAGCCCCTTGCAATAATTTATGACAAACAATTACTATTTTAACTTCTAATACCTTGGAAGTCGTTCAACTTCTTTCCCTTTTATTTTCAGTGCTTTAAAATTCTTCTCCCAATCATGTACAGTAGAAAGATGTTTTTCAACTAGAGCTTCCATATCAACTTGCCCAATTACAATCCATTCCTATTTAAAGAATGAAAACATATTAAATAAACATAACTAATAAATTAACATTGAAAAGAGTAAAGTGCCATTAAGATCAATAAAAAGGGTCCAATGAGACATTTTCAAGTAAATTTCAATTGATGCATGTAATTGCAATCATTATTGCTTAGCCTAAAGAATGAATAGGAAAATACAATAATTATAAAGCTTTATATAAAACACAAACTCTTAAGATTCTCAAATTTGATATATCTGTATATATATAGACACACAAAAGATATACGTACAAACACACACAACAAACATACACATACAAGATCAGAACTACTTCTGCAAAGCCAGGAACTACTGTAGTCTACAAATCTGAAAACATTCAGATTTTGTTAATTCTAAAATCTAAAATGAAGAAACATTTCAGCAGCACTTTAGAAACTAGCTGAAAAACAAAGAGAAACTGGCTGAATTCCAGGACCAATAGAAAAGTGTAATGAATGCAATTAGGGTTTATCTTTGGAGTTAGTAAGTATGATACACAGAAACAAAAATAAGACATTAAATCTACTATTTCATTAACTTTGAGAACTACCTCCATGGATTGCCCTTGATGCAAAAAAATAAAGGATATATCTTCCTGAGAAGAATTAAAACTTATACAAAAGAACTGTATCACATTTCAAATTGATAAAAAATCAGGAAAAGGGAAAAAATTAGTTTCTCAATTTTAAATAATGAAAGAGAAAAAATTTAGTATAATTTCTCATTTGTAGTATAAGTCTCAATTTTATAAGAACACTCTCAACTCTACCTCTCTCATTTGTCACATTTTTATTTTATACCAGTCAAGACAAACTGTTAATTTTGTACATTTAACACTAATTCAGTCAGCCAGGTAAAATATTATAATTGAAGAATGGCAAATCACATGTTCCATACCTTATGTTGTTGTAAAACAGCTGACAATCTCCTAAAAAGATCTTCTGCTTTGCTGAAAATAGTCAAAAATCCACTGGCATTTCTATCAATCATAATAGTAAAGATAGATTCATCTCCTGCCTCACCAACTCCCTTAAACTGATTAGGAATGCCAATGAATCTCTTCATTTCTCTATAATACTTAGCCCGGATTTCTTCAAAAGGAGGTCTGAATTGTAATCGTCCTTGTCTGAAAGTAAATGAATAACTTTAAAATATAAATCATCAGAAAATTATACATTGAAAGTTTGGTTGAATTTTGAAAACACCTTACTTGTATGTTAAGTCTATATTTATTTCTGGCAGATTCTCATTAAGTGCTTCTAAGCCCATCTGATACTGATGTTCCAGAGCTTTGTACAGTTGATGATTCCAGTGCTGTTTCCACGCGTGCATGTCACTTGCTTGGAATCCCTAATATGTTATATTTACATGTTTAATTAAAAATTAGGTGTTAGAATGAAATTTTCATTTAATGCCTTTATATCACAAGTAGTAATATTATAAGCAAAAAAACCCCTTATTTTACTTATCTTAAAAATGCAACTAATTCCATGTTAGTCGAAGCATTAAATTTTATGTAAGAAAAAATATTAAAATGTTTAACCTTTATGCTTATAAATAACACTGAAAAATAAGTAAAATTTAAAAATCAAGTTAACATTAAATGGATTTCATACTTGTACTTTATTTTATGATGTTTAAAAAATAACAGAGACAATTTTGTGATCATCTTATTCCTTTTTTCAAAAATTTCCATTAAGTATAGCTCCTCCCTTCCCACTCCCTAAATAAACCATTGCATGAGAAATTTAAATATCAGAATGCTCAGACTAGTTGACACACTCATTTGCTTCCAGGTAACTCTGTGTTCCACAGAAGTTACAATCATATCAAAGAAAATAACTAATAATAGTCAAGCACAAAGTCACAAAAGTCTGAATTGAAGGATTTGGCATTTCATAAAATATACAGAAGTTGTTTTTTTTTTCCATATTTTTAAGTGTGTCTTGTTACTCTATATACTTTATACATAATTCACTAGAATTCTAAAATTATTCAAAGTTTATTAGTGAGGATTTATGAACTTTTCAACAATTCATATACTGACATACTGAAAGATGGCATCACAAAGTGTAGACACAAAGTAAAGCATGCTCTACCTGTGCTTCCACACTTGCTAACCCAGTTCTCAATTCTTGCAGTCCATCTTTCCAGCGCTGTTGCTGTCGAAGCAGATCAATATTCATAAGGACTACCACCTGTTAAAAATTAAAGCATAAAACTCAAAATATCATCCAAAGAAATAGTCACTTTAAGGGGAAAAACCTGACAGATATCACCTTAAGCAAACCATCAAGGTCAGCACACCCTTTAATTAGACATGTCAATACCTGGTTGATCAATGGGGAAAGCAAAGTGTTACATTTGTAGAATTCCTGTCAAAACTGCATAACCCCAATCGAACATGAGATAACACATATCCCCCAAATGGGAGCTATTCTGTAAAATTAAGTGACCAAGTACCAAGGTGAGGAAAAACAAGGAAGGACTGAGTAGAAGGAAAATACAGAGAGTTTACAACTGAATGCAAGATGGGATCCTGGATTGAATCCTGGAAAAGGAAAAAAGGTATCAGTGGAAAAGTTGTACATTTCAAAACGTTTGGTTTCCAAGTCTTGATAATTGTACATAAATTGTTAAAATAGGGAAAGTGGATGAACAGGAACTCAGTACAATTTTGCAAGTTTTAGTCTCACATTATTTTCAAATATGTTATTTAAAGTTACAGTCTAATTACTTTTTAAATAATATCATTAATAGTTTTCTCAAATTTATAAATAAAATATACCTTTTCACAAAATGTAGTGTGCCATTTTCTCAATTTTCTGTTTTCAGTTGCAAGTCGTTCAGCAGCATTTTGGAGCTTTTGGATGTAGCCCTCTAACTCTTTAGGGTTATCCCATGTAATTTGTGACTTTCCTCCACTTCCTGCTTTAGAATTCTAAGGTACAACAAATATTTACTAAATAAATGTATGTCTTTTTTCCAAAAGATTAAACATACTGCGATCATAAGGCCAATTAGCCACAACACTGTCATTTATGTATCTTTTAATTTTATAAATAAATGATAAAGCAATCCAGCCAATATTGTGCAGCCCTCTCCTGCCTCACCCATTTTTTTCGGGATCTTCCTCTTACAAGTAAAATCCCCAGACACAACACAATACACAAGCATATGAAAACTGAAAGATAGACTTAAGAGGCAGACAGCCTAGAAAGTTTAGAAATTGAGGAAAACACCAGATTTCCTCACAGTCACCTATAGACACAGACAAGCCTCCAGGAGAAGCCTGTTCCTCTAGCCAAAGGATTAGGAAAACATTAGCTGAATGCCCTACATGGATGCAATAAGACCTTGAAGTGGGGCTCACTTTCACAGGCAGGTGTCAATGGCAGTAAAAGGGGGCAGTGGACTTCCATCTGATCATATGGGGTGGTGCAAGTCCATGTCCCACTTTTGACAGGGATCTGCAGGACCAAGCAGAAAATGGAACATACACACTCACCCAGTCCTCATACTACATATTGTTTCAGATAGAAATGTGTAGCTGAGAAAGGAACACAAACCAAGTGACAGTGGATTCCTCAGAAGAAACCATAGAGGCCAAGAGGAGGAGGTAGAATAACATTTTTAAAGTGCTAACAAGAAAAAGAACTGTCAAACATGAAATTGGTGCCTGGTGAAATATCCTTCAGAATGAGCAGAATAAAAACATTCTCAGATGAAGAAAAAATAAGAGTTTGTCACTAGCAGACCTACTCTCAGAGCAAAGCTAAATTAAGTTCTCTAAATAAGACTGAAATGATAATAAGCTAGAAACGTAAACTAAAGAAGAGCACTGATGATGAAAATGTAATATATAACAAACTATCCTCATGCGTTTCTTAAATCATATTTGATGATTAAAGCAAAATTATAAGGCCATCTAATGTGGTGTTCCATGTTTGTAGAGGAAATACTTAAGACAAATATGTTAAAGTGAGAGGGCAAAGAGACCTAAATAAAATCAAAATCTCTATGCTTCACCTGAAGTGGTAAATAAGGCATAGTGAGTTTCTAGACTACAGTAATCTTCAATAAATAGCTGATGAACAAATGAACTTACACAATTGTAATAAATTCAACAGAATATTCTACGAGTCAGTTCAAGAAGCATTTGCTGAAAAATTACTATCACCACATTACTACTGTACTGCTAGAGAATACGGAGTAACTAAAGTCACTATTCAACAACATAGTGAGTAGTCAGAGGGTAGCAAGAACCTTAATGTTTTCTCTCCTCCACTCTAATTTTATATCCACTGCTATCTCTCATTTTTTGTATGTTAAATATAATTTATTTGCTTCTCACAGCCCAGTTTCTCTAAATATCCCCTTAAAAAATATCAATGGATGTTAATTTGAACATAGAGAAGAAAATGCTCTAAAAGCTTAAAACACAATCAATTTAGTGAAAAAGATCAAAAATAATAAACTAGGGTTCAATTTTCAGAAAATACACTTATAAGTACATTTTAAAAAGTTTAAAAAGATATACACCAGACTATTACAAAAGGTCGTTTTTGCAACTTCCATTATATATTCATATTGTGTTCTGGCAACAAGGGGAAAATGTTTTTAGTAACATTTATAATGTGAATTATGTAATTTAGGCCTGAGAAGTAGTATGTGTAAGGTATGTAGAAAAGAGTTAACATAGCAGGTCTCACAGCTAACCCTGAAAGGTCTGTCTTATAATAAATGACAGGTCATCAACTGGCACACAGGAATTTGTATTTATGTTCCCACCTCCCCAACTATTGTACTAAATCAATGCAGTTTATGCTTAACACTTGATTTCCTTCTGTGCACCTGGAATTTTGGTACCTACTAGCAAAAGAATATCAGGGCCTAATAAAAGTGTGGGCACTAAATCACTAATAACCTTCCTTACTGAAACATTTCACATGTGCTACAACCAGTTGCTAGGTGAATGAAGCATGCCACTGGCAGAGGGCTCTTGAAAACCTGTACCTGGTTTTCCCAGGACTTCAGCCTATGCATCTCTCCCTGTCCTAAGTTTGCTTTGCGTCCTCTAACTGTAATAAATCACTGCTGTGAGTCCAACTATAGCCTCTGTCTTGTAAGCCATTCTAGGAAATCATAGAACCTGGGGCAGTCTAAGGACCATGACAGAACTAGTTATCCACTGTAAAATAAAAGGGAGAAAAGGGCATACATCTATGCTTCACATTTTTTGAAGTATTTCATATCTATAAGAACTAAAAAGTTAGACTTCAAAAAGTTAACAGGGCCTCCCTGGTGGCGCAAGGGGTTAAGACACAACCTATGAAGCTATTCACAGCCACTGCAGCATGAGTTCAATCCCCGGCTGGCCAGGGAGCTATCCACATGGCACAGCAGACCTCTCCTGACTTGCCCGCTACTCTCCTCAGCAGTGTGTTTCAGTCAATATGTCTGTTCTGTTCCCCACTCTGTGTCTGGTGAATCCTCTCACCCCCACACCTCTGGCCTGTACCCCAGTTCTTGTATGTGTAAATAAATGAATCTTTAAAAAAAAGTTAACAGACATATAGGGTGTCCTCATTTCATGTACATAGATATTTAAATAAGCATAGCTGCAGAGCAAATATATCTTGTTATAAAATTAGGAGGTGACAGAAAAGCAGTAAATGGTCTTATATGCAAGGACCTCACACTTCTGCAGTAAATATGATACAATATATAGTAAATATAATAGCTACAAATTATATACTATGCATATTAACTCAATTGATCAAAATGAACACCACAACACCTGAAACATTATGACTATTTAAATCTACCATTAGGAAAAAAATCTATTTTTCCAAAACAATTGTTAAGACTGAAGGAAGTTACTGAGGAGTAAAATAAGCCAGAGATGAGTGGGTATGTTAAGCTAAAAAATATACTGAGAAACACTTCACATGTAAAATTGGATTATAACATACAAAGGCCATGTACCTTAATTATCTGCTCAAAGGCTAAGGCAGACTGCAACATCATTGGTCTCTGACTTTGAATCATTTGTTGATCAATAGAATTGTAAAAATGTGCCACCTACAAATTAAAAATTCAATTATCAAGAGTTGCTTAATAAATAGCAGTTAATTTTAATTGTTCTTAATTTTTAATTGTTTGAATGGAAATATTAACTTTTATTAATTCTAAGAGTTAACAAAAAAGTTTTTTCATCTATGAAAAGATTCATTTAATACTACCTCTGTTCCCACCAAGGAAAAGAACTGACAATTCCCACCTCTATACCTTCACAGATATTCTAAGCATTTATAACACAGTATTCATGTTAAATAATTTATCTATTTGTTGAATATCTGTCATCACCAATGGGCTTTAGAGTCAGAGAAACGTGATATCAAATCCCAGCTTCATAATGTATTACCTGTGATGCATTAGAAAAACATCATAAATCTAATTTCTAATTAGGTCTTTGAAAAATAGGACTAACTGAAATAACATAAGTAAAGCATATATCAGGTCTAATATTTCATGAGAAATCAATTTTTAGTTTGCTCTCTCACACTAAAGCAGTGGTTCTCAACTGTGGCTGCTTTGCAGCCCAGGGAACATTTCACAATGTCTGAAGCTATTTTTGATGATCAGATCAAGACAGGTGCTACTAGCAAGGGATGATGCTAAACATCATACAATGCACAGAACAAGCCCCATAAAAAAGATATAGTCAGGGCCTCCCCTGGTGGCACAGCGGTTGCGCGCTGGGCTGCGAGGCTGCCCACAGCCTCTGCAGCACCGGTTCGTTCCCTGGCCGCCGGTAAGGGTCCCACAAAAAAAAAAAAAAAAAAAAGATATAGTCAAAACTTTCAAAGTGCCAAATCTGATAGCAACATATTCATATTTAAATTCTCACTGCACTGTGTGTTGGCCATGCTCAATGAATCTCTGTAGAATGAATGGATAAGTGAAAGACCAAATACATAAGATACCGTTCCCTTTGTGACCCTGCAAAACTTAAATAAACAATTGAGAAAAAAATTCTACTACAATATGAAAGTTTTCTAAGAGTGATTTACATGCTGCACACAAAATAAGTAATAATCATTAAAGGAAGATACAACAATGGAAGTGACTTTGGAGTTGGAGTTAAAGGATGACTGAGTTTTCCATTCGGAGGGAACAGATATATCAGTTCACAGAGAAACATTCTGGGAAGAATTATTACTGAAGCATAGGGTACCGTATGGGCAAAGAATAGAGGTTAATAAAGGTCAAAACCAGTAGGGTTAGTTAGGACAACGCCTTGCATGTGTTGCTAAGGAAATAGAGAATGAGATCATAATAGTTGGTTTTAAAAAGGAAATGATATGATATATGACAGCAATTGCTTAACAAGCAGACTAAGGAATGACTAAAACAAAGACTAATTCATCAGCTCATTGGTTCTCTTAAAAATTTGTCCCTGTGAGTCAGGCAGAAGAACCTTTCATTAAAAGGTACTTTAAGACCCATGCAAGTAACAAGAAAAGAAAAAGGGGAATGAGAATAACAGTCTATTTTTTCAAATGTACTTAAAATGAAAAGCAGTAACTATAATACCTCAAATCAATAAACTTCTACATAGATTTACAAAGCAAACTGTGTACTACAGTTCTTTAGGAAACCACAGTTCCACAAGATTAGTGGTGCCATTACATTAGCCTAAAAAAAATCAAAAGAAAACAAAATCCTTAAAATATTTTAGTTTAATATGATGAACTCAGAGTAGCCATGTTTTCAAAAATATTAATATAATTTCATACTTGTTTAAGAATAATTGCTTGCTTGCAGAATTTCTGTGCTATGTTGGCAACTTGCTGTATTTTGGCAGGAATAACAAAGCCAAGGGCAGAAAGCTGACGAACTTCTCTCAGAAGAATCACCAAACGATCTGAATAATGCACTTTTAACGAGCCATCATTAGGATCCAATTCCATAATGCGACTATTAGCTTCAATGCTACAAAATAAAATGATCTGTTAAGTTTCATGATCTCACTCTTGACTATTTGAAAAAGTTTTACAGCTTTTGTATAAACATAAAATTAACTCAAAGTAAAGTAATTCTTTTTAATAACAGTTTTCAGTTATCTTTTTTTCAGATGGTATCTCTCAGTTTGGATCTTAGTAACAAAATGCAGCATCTAAAATATAAACGTCATGTTAACATTTCAACCAAGAAGTTTGAAGTTGAAACAGTTAATCTTTTAATCTCCAGTTAAGATTCAAATTTGACAACTTTACTGTAAAGAAAAAAGATTCTGACTCATTTTCTAAAAGGTAGTTAAGATTATTTTTTCAGTCATTCTAATTGCCTCTTCAACCCTTTAACAAAAGTATTAAAGATAAGCACCAAGAAGATAGGAGTAGAGGTGTTGAGGTGTTTCATTCCTCCACTCTAATTGCCCTTGCTGCATTTCTTATAAAGGTCATAGGGCAAATTTACATTTTGCACTCAAAACAACATGGATTGTGAAAATGCTGGGTGAAATTAAGCATGAATTATTATTTCATGACTTAACATTCAGAATCAGGTTTATATAACACTCATTTCTTCAAAGATTTCACAAGAGAATTTGTAGGTCTTAGAAAGACCTGCTACCGAAAAGCAAATAACGAATCCAAAACAGGGTTTTGTTTTTTTTTATATTTTTGTGGATGGATCAGTCTACAAACATGTAAAATAAAGCATAATCAAAAGAAGACACCCTAAAATAGCTATAATGATTTGACTCAAACATTCCTTTTATAAAACCTGTCAAAAAAATGTAATGATGGGGCCTCCCCAGTGGCGCAACGGTTAAGTGCTGGGCTGCGAAGCTGCCAGCAGCCTCTGCAGTGCCAGTTCGATCCCAGGCCGGCCGCCTGCGAGGGTCCCACATGGTGCACAGACCTCTCCTGCCACGCCCACTGCTCCCTTCAGCAGTATACTTCGTCAGTCTGCCTGTTCTGTTCTCCACTCTGGCTCTGGTGAATTCTCTTACCCTCCTGTGCTTCTGACTGTACCCAGTGCTTATATAAATAAATAAATAAATCTTTTAAAAAAATGTAATGATGACCCCCAATTAATGTTTAAAATTAGTTTCTATATAACAGTGTTTCACAAAATGTCTTCCATAAGACTCTTTCTATTGGACAATCATAATGCTGCACCACAAATAAGTGGGGAGAGGGTGGTTTCATTGCCAAGGAGGAAGCAGTGCATTAGAAAAGTAAGATAGTTTTGTTTGCAGCAGGCCTCAGTCCTTTGGGATATGGCATACATAGCAGATTTCCACCGAAGCTGAAGAGATAACTTCCAATTTTCCAAAATTGGTTGACTAAAGAACTTTTTTTTTTTTTATAGCCCAGGGGACCTCTCATATGTTACATTCAGTATAGAATGGGAAAAAGCTAAACAACATAAAGTTCTATCTTTATGCCCTAGCATCTTTTGTTTTTGGGTTTTTTTTTGTTTTTTTTTTTTTTTTTTGTTCTTCCTCTGGAATCAAAATACTAGATAAAAGAAAAAAAATTCATTCACCTAAAAAGATACAACTTTATACCTAATTATCCTTTATAACAAAACAGAGGAAATAAACAGAAGTTCTTATTACAGACAGTTACATTTTTATTGAAGTAACATTGGTTTGATTCATTTTATATTGTTAGAGTTTCTCAAAACTTATCCATAAAACAAGTATCCAAAAACTAAAATGTGGTAAGTTTCAAAAAATATAGACCATAATATGTTAGGGGAAGTTCACCTGAACAAAGAAACAATAGTTTTTCTAGATCAACCACTTTAAATACTCATTACAATAAGTAGGTGAACACACTAAGTTATAATGGATATTGTTCAATAAGTACGTATTAAAGCTTTGCTATGTGGAAAACATGAAGAAATACTCCCTGTCTCAAGGAATTCAAAATTAATGAAACTTCATGCTTTATGTGTCTGTGCATATTATTAATATTATTATTATATATATAAAAAGGTGGTGTGAAAAGGTAGAAAAACATATATGAATACCAACAACAAAACCAAAAGAGGGAAAGCCTTATTTGATAATGGGAATTTGCAGTTCTGGGAAACAGATATGAAAAGCAAATAACTATATCATCATTTTCTGACCCTAGTGACTTAAAAATTCATAATTGAAAACTAACAAAATAGCTTACATCAGAAATCTAGGACAATAAATGCTGACAAGGATGCAGAAAAACAAGAACACTTGGCCACTAATGATGGGAATTTAATTTGGTGCAGCCTCAATGGAAAATAAGATTACTTCAAAAAATAAAAATGGAAATACCTTATGATTTAGCAATACCAGAATACAAAAACTCTAAGACAAAGACAATTCTGCACTCCCATGTTCATAACAGGACTACCCACAATACCAAGTGGTAGAATCAACTGAAGTGCCAAACAACAGACAACTGGATAGAAATTGTGGCATATATACTCAATGGAATCCTATCAGCTATTAAGAAAGAGGAAATAATAACTTCTGGGACAAATGGATGGATTTTTTTTTTTGTTATTTTGCTTTTTATTTCTCTTTTTTTTTTTTATATTTTTTTTTAATGGATGGAGAAAGTAAAAGATAGCTACTGGATGGTTTCACTTATTTGTGGACTGCAAATAACCAAAGGAGAAAAATTGGCAAAGCACAGCAAAATAATTCTTATACTCTGTGAAAAAAACATCCTAGTTACCACAGGGAATGTGGAGAAAGAAGAGGGATTAAGTGACAAGGGGATAGAACATCAACCGGGGGGAATTTTGGTGGAGGGTGAGTGAAGCATGTGCACATATGGAGGTGATATAACCCCAAAATGGATCTACGCAAATGACTGACAAAATAATAAAATTTCAGGAAAAAATATTTTAAATAAAACCTTAGAGGAGGAATAACATTTGGAGAAAGGAGAAGCATAGATGATTAATTATATCAGCCATTTGCATTAATAACATAAGATTCGTATATAGATTTCACTATTTAGTATAATACTTACCGCAAACCAGATCTGGAATCAGACAAACCAGACTGAATATCCCTGGACCAATCATCAAATTGTTCTTGTTCATATAGCTTAAACTGGTCTAAGAGATCTTCAGCACTTCGATGGAAAGAGCGAAATCCTGACAAGTCAGATAAGAGGGCCTCTGCAATCTTGATAGTATCATCCACCTTAAAAAAGTCAAATTACAAGAATATGTATTATTTATTTGTTTGTGTTTTTTTGTTTTGTTTTGTTTTGTTTATACAAGCACTGGGTACAGTCAGAAGCACGGGAGGGTGAGAGAATTCACCAGAGCCAGAGCAGGGAGCAGAGCAGGCAGAAGGACAGAAGTACACTGCTGAGGGGAGCAGCGGGCGGCAGGAGAGGTCTGCGCACCATGTGGGACCCTCCTCCTGTGGCCGGGGAGCAGCCGGGGATTGAACCAGGCCCTCCTCCTGTGGCCGGGGAGCAGCCAGGGATCGAACCGGCGCCGCAGAGGCCGCGGGCAGCTTCACAACCCAGCGCTCAACCGCTGCGCCACCGGGGAGGCCCCAAGAATATGTATTATTTAAATTCCTAACAAAGTAGCATAAAGTGAGCCTCTTTGATCTGTGATTCAAAAACTATTTCCCATTCATCTGTAAACAGCAAAATAGAAGATTTGCCAATGAATATGTGAATATCAACCCCTCCTTTGCCTCTGAATTATATAAAATTCAGAATAACAAAACATAATTTGAAGGTTAAGATAAGGAAAATTTACATCTAAAAATATTTATGACCCACTGGCTTTCAAAGAACATTCCAAGAGTTCAATGACACTCCTAAACATGTTAAGTAATAATTTTGCCCTCTGCTAAATGTTCCATTTATTGAAACAATAATTAGGCCAATTTGAATGCTAATTAAAGGAAACAAATGCCTTTCCTTCACAATTGTACAAAGAATATTGTAGCATCCTGGAAAACTGACTGATAATCAGGCAAAATATTCCAGAAAATCAAACATCAAAAATACATGTAAGTATAAATTTTCAAATATGCTGGCCTTTATAATACTCTGTGTCCTCTTGTTTTTAATCACAGTTTATAGCCAACTAGTATTTATTGTGAGTTGAATTGCGAGAACTGAAAAACTTACTAATTAATAAGTCCATAAGATTCTGAGATCAATTTTGATAATATTGACATATTAATAGTTCTTTAAATCTATAAATTACTGCCAATACCTTCATTAATGCTTCATTACTTTCATTAATGATCATCAGATTCCTTTAACTTCTTTTCAAACCAAAATGATTTACTTACCTAAACTTACTTGCAGATAGACTTTCAAACTCAATGATTTGGAAATGGTACCATTGAAAATCATAAACTTTCAAATGATTTTAAGTGTAAAGCATACTTTCCTCTTAAATATTTTTTTAAGAAGGCACTTACCTGAAACAACTGCAACTGGAATGATAAATGATTTTTTAATTACAGCTCTACAAGGAATGAGTGGAAACTACTAGAACCACCCTGCATCTTTTTTCAGACTTCCATATTTCACATGAAAATCAGGTGGATGTGCCAAAAAAATCAGAGAATGCATTTTAATAAAGAGTGCCTTCCACATTAATTTAGCAGATTTTAAGTATTCTTCAGTTTATTAAAACTAATACCTTCAGTTCCAACTGGCGAACCCAAACAATATTATTGACAACTTCTGAAAGATTTTTGCCAGAAAGTGGTCCAGAAGCATCACCAGGAATTCCCCGGCACCGATTCTCAAAGTCTGACCGAAAATCTATAAAACATAAATCAAATAAATTACACACATTCAGCAAGGACATCCTAAATGCCCTATATGTACCAGGAACAGGGTGAAACATAAAGGACAGGAAAATAGTAACAGGTCTTTATCTCCAGGAACCTTATCATGTAACAAGTGAGACAGAGAAGGAAACAAAAAAACAGTTAATTTTAAAAATATGTCATTTATACCAGAAATAGTAAGTTAATCTTCAGTATACAAATGTGATAAAATACAGCTTTAATCCCAAATGATATGAAACAAGGGAAAAAATTAACCTACAAAAATACATTCTGAAGCAAACACTATAATCTCTAATAAGTTTTTACCTCTAACTGAGTCCACAAGTCTTGCCAGTAAAGTTTCTCTTTCTAACATCAATTCTTTGCTTATGGTAGGACGCTTCACCAACTCTTTGTATTTCAGAAATGCTTGAAGAAGCTAATATAAAATAAAATACATCGATTTCAGGTGGATTGACTTAGCAAATACATACATATTTCCTAAATTTACTTAAGGAAAATACAAAAGTTATTTTTATATTTTACCTGCTGTGGACTATCTTGAATTTCTGAAATATAATTTTTCAATTTTCCTGCTATTTTTTGTTCCGCAGGTGCAATCATTTTTTCATACTGAGACACTGCAGCTTTCCATAAAGGCTAAACAAATTAACAACATTTGACTTAATATTTAAAAATTTGGCCTTTACAATGACAAAATAAACATATATATAAAAACACATATATTAAACCTCAGTATATGGATTATATTGCACAGGATTCAGGCCGGTAAAAGGTTCAAATACTCGTGCCAGGCACATGCGTTTCTCTTCACTGGCTGGTAAGAAATAAAGAAGCTTCTCATGAATCGTTCTAACAGCCAAGACCTGAAACATAAAACATCAAAATAAGAAAAGGGGGCCTTCCTGGCAGCACAGCGGGTTGAACGCAGCACAGTGAAGCTGTCCTGTCCGCAGCCTCTGCAGCGTAACTTCGATTCCCAGCCAGCCAGGAAGATACCCACATGGCACGGCAGACCTCTCCTGTCGCCCACTGCTCCCCTCAGCAGTGCTTTTGGTCCATCTGCCTGTTCTGCTCCCCGCTCTGTCTCTAGTGAATCCTCTCATCCTCCCATGCCTCTGGCCTGTACCCCAGTTCTTGTATAAAAATAAAATAAATTTTTTTTTAAAAAAAGTAGTTTAAAAAAATAAGAAAAGGTATTTAAATCAATAAATCTGTATAAATAGGTCTAAAACCTAAGATATTGGGCAAGAATTTTTTTAAACTATGTTATCTAAAATAAATAATAAGGGCCTCCCCGGTGGCGCAGCGGTTGAGCGCTGGGTTGCGAAGCTGCCCGCGGCCTCTGCGGCGCCGGTTCGATCCCCGGCTGCTCCCCGGCCACCGGAGGAGGGTCCCACATGGCGTGCAGACTTCTCCTGCCGCCCGCTGCTCCCCTCAGCAGTGTACTTCGGTCCTTCTGCCTGCTCTGCTCCCCGCTCTGGCTCTGGTGAATTCTCTCACCCTCCCGCGCTTCTGACTGTACCCAGTGCATGTATAAACAAAAACAAACAAACCAGCAAACAAATAAATAAAGCATGCCTCTATAAAAAAAAAAAAAAAAAAAAAAAAAAAAAAATAAAATAAATAATAAAACTGAAACCCAAATCTAGAAAATTACTACTCATCAACATTGCAATCTTCAGACCAAACTTTATCATCCCAACAACATATATTAGCATAATCAAATCCGGTGAAAATATCTGTCTAAATATTTTAAGTTATATTTAACAAAAATTTAGTCTATTCTCAATATAATAAAAACTTCTAATTTTAATTATCTGCATTAAATTATACTTCTAATAATGCAACAATATGTTAACCCTATTATATATAATTTACAATTGGAAAATAATTTATTGCATCTTGTATTTAAGATTTCGGCCAACAATCAAAAGTTAATAGAAGACATTATAATCTTCCATTTCAGTAGAAGCTATTAGAACAAACTCAGTGACTTAGTTTTCTCTTGATAAAAATATCTATTTAACAATTTTCTCTACTGAGAAGACCCAAAAGCATTGAAAACTAAATGATGTTTAGTACTTATGCAACCAAACATCTTTGCTACTTTTTCCTACTAAAAAGATCCCAGCTCCTTGGAGAAAAGACAAATTCCAGATACAAGACAGAAAATGTACAAAATAGGTTGGTGCATGTAGTGATACCTGAAAATAAGAAAGTTATCAAGGAAACAATGAATTCACATCAAAATGGCAAAAAAGCCAATCAAAGGACACTCACAGCCCAAACATGGAACTGTTTGAGTATGGTAATAATAACTACAATGGGCTAAAAGGCATAACATATAAAAACTCATTACGATACTGAAATACTGAAACATTTCATTGTTCACCTGTAGAACCTACTATGACACTAATTTATTGGTCTAAAAATAAAAGGAAAGTGGCAAGTGTCTACACTTTCATTCTATATTTCAGAGCAACTAAAAAGTTCATGAGGTGTAATTCTTCTATATGGAAAAACTATCACTAATAAATGCAGGAAGAAAAACCGAACTAGAAAATTTTGTAACTTTGCATGATCATCAATAACTGTGAAAACCATTACGAAAAAGTGGAAGGGACATTGTATTAGATGTATCAGGCCTATCATATCTGAAACCACAGGTCAAATTTAACTAAAAGTGAGAAAAACAGATACTACATGCCTCCAGATATCACATATAAAAACAAGTATACACAGCACAATTCAAGATGAAGCAACTTGATTCAAATTAAGTATAAAAAAGTTTCTGAGGCAATCAGGAAAAATTGAACATTGGCTAGATTTAAAAATATTAGAAATTACACTCATTTTGTTGGGTGTAATAGCAGTATTGCAGTTATTTTTTTAAAGATTTATTTTTATTTATTTATGCATACAAGAACTGGGATACAGGCCAGAGGTGTGGGGGGTGAGAGGATTCAGCAGAGACAGAGTGGGGAACAGGTGTATCTACTAAAATACACTGCTGAGGAGAGCAGTAAGAGAGGTCTGCTGCGACATGTGGGTTAGCTCCCTGGCTGGGGACTGAACTCATGCTGCAGTGGCTGGCAATAGCTTGATAGCACTGAGACTTTAACCCCTGTGCCACCAGGGAGGCCCTGGTGCAGTTATGTTTTAAGGATGAATGTTTATGATTTAATGGATTGGGTTTAAAAATACTCTAGAAAAAAAAAAAGGGCAAGTCAAAAAGCAACGATGGAGGGCCTCCCCGGTGGCGCAGCGGTTGAGCGCTGGGTTGCGAGGCTGCCCACAGCCTCTGCGGCACCAGTTCAATCCCTGGCTGCTCCCCAGCCACCGGAAGAGGGTCCCACATGGCGCGCAGACCTCTCCTGCAGCCTCAGCAGTGTACTTTGGTCCTTCTGCCTGCTCTGCTCCCTGCTCTGGCTCTGGTGAATTCTCTCACCCTCCCGCGCTTCTGACTGTACCCAGTGCATGTATAAATAAAACAAACAAACAAATAAATAAAAACATGCCTCTATTAAAAAAAAAAAAAGCAATGATGGAACAAGAACTGAATAATGCAATGACAGTTGAAATCTGCATCTTATTTTTCCGTACTTTTGGAATTTTTCCTTGTGAAAAAGATTTAAAAAAACAAATCCCCCAAGAACTACACTTACCCTAAACAGAGAAAGAAAAAGTCAGCTTTTCACCTCCTCATAGTCTTCTTTTGTCTGCCTCGTCAAGGGAAATACACAGTTCCACACTGAACTCATAACTTATGTAACCTAAGCCACTGTTATAAAGATTTCCACCTAGTGCTCCACTGAGAGCACTAGTGCTGAGAGTTTCCATACACTGACAAGTGCTAATCATCTGTTTTACTAGGAACAACAGAAGTTGACAATTTGCTGAAGAGACACACACCAAAGAAAAAGAAAGGAGGTAGAGAGTAGCTCTTTGTGCCCACTGTGCCCCAGCACTATACCAGGTGACTACCCTCAATTACTTCACATGAACCTTAACTCTTATCTCTCCCAAAAGTTTAAATCATTTCTATCACATATGTGATTTATTAATTATTATATACATTCAACGATGTGAGAACCCACTTCACACTGAAAAGATGCAATAACCAACTGATACCTCTTCAAGACGTTTGCCAAGTTTGTCCAACGTTTCAGGGAAATATTTTTCATTTTTCCACGGGTGAGGAACATAGCGCTGCCACACCTGACCCGTTAGATGATTACAGGCAATCACCCACTGCTCACAAATTGAAATACCAGCTTTCAGGTTTTCTTTCACAAGATAATAAGAATCTTCCCACAAGTTCAAAGTTCCCAACTTTTTCTGAACAAACCTTCCAAATGAACCACCTAATAAAACACAATACAGATATTTTAATGGCAATTTCTATTTCATAATAACATGCAAATTAACAAACTAAAGATCTATGAAATACTATATGCATACCTTTAAACTCACACTATTGATAAGAAATATTTATCAGAAACTGGACCTCCCTAGGGGCTTAGTGGTAAAGTCTCAGGGCTATCATCACTACAGCCTAAGTTCAATCCCTGGCCAGGGAACTAACCTACATATGGCCCAGCAGACCTCTCTTGTCCCACACATTGCATTCCCCTTAGCAGCATATTTCAGTAAATCCACCTGTATGCTCTCCACTCTGTTTCTTATAAACCACCCTCCCCAACACTTCTGGCCAACACCCCAGTTCTTCTATGCAAAAATAAATATTTAAAAAAAAGAAATACTTATCAGAAATATACATGCACACACACATTTGTGTTTCTGCATCTTTCAGCATATATCATGTATACCTTTCAAGTGTAAAAATGTATATATACAATTTTGTTTAAAAGCCAAAATACACCCTCTGGATGTAGCATTATGTAATCAATTCTCAATTACTATTTATTCTACTCTTGTTACAAAAAAAAAAAAAAATTGCTGCAATAAGTATTCTTGTATACACAGCTTTATGTACTTATGCAATGTTTCCTAAGTATAATAATGATAATGATTTTTTTTACATCAAAACTTATATACACTTTTACTATCACTAGAGAAGGTATATATTTTTTAAAGAGTTCTCAGTTCATACAAAATGACATCTAGATTCACAGATACACAGGTACTAAAAATCTATGTAAATTGGGTTGTATTAATAGTCAAAAAATTAAAAATACATGATTCAAATTAAAAAAATGTATACAAATATCTATTTAAATAATCCTATATCCTTAGCTTTGTTACTTTAAGCAAAAATTATTATATTAAGTAGCATTTTAAGTTAGTACATAAAAAAACTAGAAAATAAAGTAAGACAGGCTTCTTAAAGTTCAAAAGTTCAGTTTATTTTACTGGTACCTATGATGTCTAAGAGATGTAGCATCCTCGACTCGGGATAATGATCATGCTCTGTTTGTCTCCACACATCATCTACAACATCTCGAGTAGTCTCCACCAAGTCAACCACTTCCAATAAGGAGAGACCATCCAAGTTATAAAACTCCTAAAACCAAAATGCATTCACTTTTAAACATACTCATGTCTGTGTCTTGAACACTATAGAAAATATTCTCAGACTTTTCAACTGATATGACTAATGGCAGCCATATTATTTTATCTTCCTTTTTTCTACCAGATTTAGAACTTCAAGCATTACCCTCTAACATCTTACACAAACATTAATTTCATAAAATTCAGAAGAAAAAAATAACCACAAAATCTATTATTTAATCTTGCTTAATTTTCTTGAAATTTGGATTTCTTCTATTTATGCAGGAGAGGTGGCTTTAACTCCACAACTGTACTATCACATCTTTGTTCCTTTGTGTTGTATAATGAATAACACAACCATAGCTCAAAGTTCATTATTCTGTATTACATCATTGTTACAATGCAAGTTAAATTATTACAAACACTAAAGTGCTATTATTTACATCATACTGGGAACAAACAGAAAATTATTAGCATTTTTTAAAGATTTATTTATTTATACAAGAACTGGGGTACAGGCCAGAGGCGCAGGAGGGTAAGAGGATTCACCAGAGAGAGCAGGGAGCAGAACAGGCAGATGGACAGAAGCACTGCTGAGGGGAGCAGCAGGAGAGACAGGAGAGGTCTGCCACGCCATATGAGTTTCTCCCTGGCCAGCCGGGAATAGAGCCGTCACTGCAGAGGCTGTGGACAGCTTCATAGTGCTGCACTCAACCCGCTGCACCACCGAAGAGGCCCGAAAATTATTACTATTTTGAAAAGAATAGACTTTTTGCAACCATACTTAAAATAGTCACTTATCCTCTAAGTATAATTGGACATTGGATTGATTAGCAAAGAATAATCAATCAAAAAAGTATAAAAATAAGACTGTGTCTTTCAGATTACTTCAAAATTCTAATTTGAATAAAGTAAGCATTCTTTTTTCAAAAAAACACCTAGTACTTTCACTTGTTAGTATGTCAGGTTTTTGCTTTTTGCTTTCATCCTACAGAAAAGGAATTATTTTCTCAAGACAAATATTTACTAGGAATTACAATCTAACTCTTAATAGTTTAGATTTCTAAGTTACACTCATGTTAAACACATCTCTTAACTAACTAAACCCCACTAACGTATGAAGAATACATTTTGTTCACAACAATTTTAAACAGACTTAAATCTAGCAAAAATTGAATACCAGGGCCTCCCTGGTGGTTTGAGCGCAGCACTGTGAAGCTGTCCACAACCTCTGCAGTGCTGGTTCAATACCCACCAGCCGCAGAGATACCCACATGGCAGGGCAGACCTCTCCTGTCTTGCCCGCTGCTCCCCTCAGCAGTGTATTTTGGTCAGTCTGCCTGTTCTGTTCCCCGCTGTGTCTCAGGTGAATCCTCTCATCCTGCCACACATCTGGCCTGTACCCCGGTTCTTGCATAAAAATAAATAAATCTTTAAAAAAAAAATTATCCTTTAAAAAAAAAAATCAAATACTAAAATATTTGCATAAAAAGCCTGACATATAACAATATAGGAATTACATACTCTGGCTATTGTTTCAAATAATTCTTTAAAATAACTGGCTCGCTCTTTACTAATCTGCTTATTTCCACGATGAGCTTGTTCTATCCAAAACTGGAACTCATCATTTGGTGTAAGAATACCTGGAAAAAGTGAAAAGGGGAAAAAAAAGAAATAGCAATTGAAAGGTCAGATGGTCATCTGGTTTATTTGCTAATTTGGGTTATGTCTATACGCATATCTCATACTCTTGAAGATGGACACAAAAAGAGTTTTACAATTTCTACCAAGAGAAAGTCCTTACACAAATCCAATGGAAACAACAGCAGTATCAAATTTACACTGCTCGTCAAGTTTTTTGCTTAGTATGACTTCTATATGCTTTTGTAAACCATTCATAATTATCTGTCAATTTGTATCCTATACTATGGATCCTGCATCTATGAGTTTACTTCTTCAACACAATGCTTTCTTAAATCTAATTCTAATGAACACCATTAAATTGGAAGTGAATATAACTTAATCAATAAATGTTTTGATTTAATTTGAAAATTCAACAAAGTATAAGTTTTACTTCTAAATTTCCCAAAAAAAGGAATACTCTCTAGTTGCCTAATCAATGCTGGACATAAATACAATATTCTTTCTGGGTCTATGAGATACAAAAAGCATCTAGTTTACTTTTCAAGCAAAATATAAAAACATATGAAGTATTTTAAACTTGTCATGCAGTCCATATTGAAAAGTCCATATTGTCATGCAGTCCTCATTGAAATAATGTGGATAGCCACATGAAAATTAAAGTTAGCTTCAGATAAAATATACTTAAATAAATACATTTAAATAAAAGTCAATGGCTTATTTTCTCTGCAATCCTTATAATTATGGATTCTGTATGTACAATCTCTTACTTGCTAACATTTGTGTCCTGAAATCAACACTTTCAGTGCTTTCGCAGCATGTCCAGAGCAGTGAGAGACTTGAATCACCCCACACATACTATTCACACATGAGATTGAACAACGTGCCCTCTGCTTTCTGGTTTCCTATCGGCTACTGAAAATAGATGTCCTTTCTCAGTGCATTTAGTGCCATTTTTTTTCACATCCCTATGCTTTTTCTTGGTGATTTCAGAGTTTTAAACAGACTGAGATAGTGTTCCTTAGCACAAAAACACCGTAATGTAGCTTACAGAAAAAATAAATGAGTTGATAAGCTTCATTCAGGCATGTGACAGTGCTGGTGATCTGAGGTTAATGTTTATCAACAATAAATGTGTCAAATAAAGTCTCTTCAACAGAAACAGACATAAAACAAGATTACATGTTGGCCAGGTATGAAAAAGTTGTGCCCAGAGGCTCCAGGAACTAAGTCTCTATTTAGTAGTTTAGTATTCATTAACTCAGAGCTCACAATGAATGTCTTTATAGAAAAAAATTACTGCAAAGAAAAATCACCTATATTTTCTATTTCCATGAATTATACATTGTTAAAGATCACATTTTACTCTTCTCCAAATTCACATATTTCTATTGTCTGAAAAGAGTTTCAGCCTCATAGAAGTTCCAAACGTGTGAAAATAAATCTCTGAAGAAATACATTAATTTGCTAATTTACTTATGAAGTAATTACTTTCTTCGCTTAAGCTAAAACTATATACCTCGTGTGTCATCTTCCTTATATTTCAATTTTAATAAGTTAGTATCTGATCTTCGTAGAACTATACCCAGTCCAGCTTCTAGTTCACTCAAAAGATTCTGAAGTTTGGGATCAAAGTTTCTGTTCCATTCCTGATCCTAAATTAAAAAGATAAGAGCAAATATTGTCAAAAGCTTCCAAAAACAGTGTTTAAAGAACTAATTCCAAAAAGACTGCAACTTCCTCCGTCTCATAAATGAGGAAAAAGAATACCCTCCACAGTTAAAACTTCATGAAGATCAGCTACTATAGCCATGTAAGAGCTGATGTGTATTGCATTTTATACCTTTCGCTAATTTGTCAACAAAGTTTACTTTAAAATTTATAAAATTAAAGAGAAGATACATTTTAATTTAAAACTAAGATAAATGTTAGAAAATAAATTAAATAAGTAAATAAAATGGTACTTTTGTATGTATGTATGTATGTATGTATGTATATCTATCCAAATACTGAGATTACAAAAAACAGCTATACAGCTACTTTACTTTACTCACCTTTAACAACATAGGTGCAAATACTTGCCGTACTGCCTGGTAAAGGGAATTTATAGGTGATTCTAACATGGATGAAACAAGAATGTTATTATGTAGATTCTGATCAGTAATCACTTCAGGTCGCAGTTTGAAAAACACCAGCACTTTATCTTTTGTGTCAGCAAAATCAACCTAAAGTGAAAAGCAAATGATTTTTATAATTTTAATACTATATTTGTAAAACTTAGTATTTAAAGAAAAGTTTCCCTAAAATGTTATAGTACTAAAATTTTAGCCCTTGTAAAAAAGTTACTTTGAAAATTATAAAAATTTATGCTCCTTAATAACACCTGGATTTTAAAAATGTATCTCTACTTATATGTGATAGTATCATAAACCTACTCTGATAAATGAATTATAACTAGAAAGCACTATATAAATGATGTTGACATACACCGGTAACTACTCCATTTGAGTCAGATTATGTAATTCTGTTACAGATCAAAGTTGTGTGTCCCACACTGAGGAACAGTAAGCTTCTCTACTGTATCCCAGAAAGTCTGTAACAAGAACGTTAATTATCCTCTCACCTGGAACTAGCATTTTAAATGGTGCTTTTTAAGTTGTATATAAATTCAAAACTGGGCCTCCCTGGTGGCACAAGGGGTTAAGCACAGCAGTATGAAACAATCCGAAGCCTCTGCAGCAGGAGTTCAATCCTCGGCCAGCCAGGGAGAAACCCACATGGCGAGGCAGACCTCTCCTGTCTCGCCCGCTGCTCCCCTCGGCAGCGTATTTCACTCAGTCTGCCTGTTCTGTTCCCCCCTCAGTCTCTGGTGAATCCTCTCACCCCCTGCATCTTTCTGTCCTGTACCCCAGCTCTTGTATGCATAAATAAACAAATCTTTAAAAAAAATAAAATTCAAAACTGCCCAAATGAATTGTCATGTAACTAGATTCAAAATTGGAACTTATGAGTTAAAATATAATTCACTAACATGTTTAAAAATGTTTAAAATAGTTCAGTTCATAGTAATCTGTTCATTAGTTGGCAAATAAACTGCCCAAAAGAAGTTTTTGCATTCCATAACATATTCACAGTTGTTCTCATTTTTCCAGGAAGAGAAAGCTAACATACTTTTCGATTAGTAAGATTTCATGCCACCTTCCTTTTTATCCTAATTATTCTATTTTTTAGCCACTAAGAACTGACATTTACTCAGTGTTGTTGCACTTTTCAAAATGACATTTTCATCATTAGAATCCATATGCAAGTATGATGATTTTTTTTTCCAATTATAAGTGAGAATAGCTACAGATAAGTGAATTTAAAAAATTCATCTTTTATATAATACACTCTTGTAATTTCTCCCTCCCACCTATCTGAAGGTAAAGAATTCAGAAAATACACATTTTATTATCTCACTTTGAAAATAACTATAACTATATAGTCTCTGGCCACGGCTCCTTGGGCACTATTCGGCAAGGGAGTTTTGTCCTCCTAAAGTCAGAGTCAGAGCAAAAGATCACCTGTTGACAGCTTTCATCCTTCCTTGATAAAAACAAAACTGAAAATCAGCACTCTTAGCTGCCTCTTCTTCCACTGTCATTTGTCATTAGCTACTACTACTTTTCCTTAACTTACTATAATCTGATAACCACTAATTCAAAGCACAGAGATGTTCTTTTGAGCTTGTAACTTCCTGGGATATATCAAGGAGCAGCATACTACAATCTGCTGCCTATTTTTGTGCAGCCTATGAACTAAAAATAGTCTGACAAGTTTTTTTTAAATCAAGAATTTTTTTTTTTTTAAGATTTATTTATTAGTTATACAAGCACTGAATACAGTCAGAAGCGCTGGAGGGTAAGAGAATTCACCAGAGCCAGAGCAGGGAGCAGAACAGGCAGAAGGCCCGAAGTACACTGCTGAGGGGAGCAGCGGGCGGCAGGAGAGGTCTGCGCGCCATGTGGGACCCTTGCGCTGCAGAGGCTGCGGGCAGCTTCCCAGCCCAGCGCTCAACTGCTGCGCCACCGGGGAGGCCCTCAAGAAATATTTCGACACACAAGAAAATTAAATGAAATTGTCAGTATCACTAAATGAAATTTTATTAGAATGCAGCAATACTCATTCATTTACCCACTGTCAATGGTTGCATCCACACTACAATGGCACAGCTAGAGGTGTGACACAGACTGTAGGGCCAACGAAGCTGAAAATATTACCTGGCTTATTACAAAAAAAGTTTGGCAACCTCTGTCCTAAAGCATAAACCGGATCACACCTCTCTCTAAGATACGTTCATAACTTTCTCCCCAGCTCCAGGGACAGTCAAACCCGTAGTTGATACCAATAAATATTTTTTAACTTGTTATTAAATCATGCTGACTCTCAGACATTAAAAAGTACAACTGAAGATATAAGAAAACATTTTCAAACATGACCAAAAAAAAATTATGATGTGGCATATGACTAAAAAGATACACTGTTGGGATCCACTAGAAACAGACTTAACTTTAAATGGTTAAAGCTTCAATTTTCATTACTCAACCCATGATATATTTTCACAAATCCAAATCCTCCTCGTTGTGTTTTCCCATTACACTCTAAACTGTCCGTGGCATTTACAACACTATGTCTAGATTTTGTAATTTGTTGAGAGTGTCATCACAGGGCACTAGAGAGGCTCTGGAAGGGAGAAGCAAGGGTTCCTAATTCTGTACTCTACCTATTAGAGAAGGGGAGTAGGATGTAACTTTTGTGTCTTATTTTCCTCCACCCTAAAGTGAAAATAAAAATAGTTCCTACATTACAGTGTTGTGATGGATTTTAAATGTGCTAATATTCATAAAATGTTTATACAGTGACTGGCAGTGTGAAGAGAAAGCAAGTGTTAGCTTCCATTAGCCAACCTTCTTAATATCTCATAGAGCCACCAAGCCTAGCCAAATGCCTTATATATTGAGTTCGAAATAAAAGTTTATGGAACAGAATTGAATTAAATCCAAGACTAAAGATTCAAAGTGAACGGGGCAAACGATTCAATCATCCCCAAAGATGCACTTAATGCTTGCTGTGCGTCAAATTCTCTGCTAGATATGTTTGTTGACAAGAAGAGGTTTAAAAATATACCTGCAAACTTTCACCCATTATGAACCCCTCTAGTGAGTGATTTTTTTCCTGCATATCACTGAGGTATATACATAGAGAAAGCGATATACCCTGTTACAAAAAATTGATTTTGTACCGTCTCATTTCGCAAAAGGTGTAAAATTTTAATCTTTCCCTCAACTAAATTTATTTTTAATTAAATATTATTTATATACCCTTGCTTTACAATACTATCTAAGTTTCTGGAGCGCCTGGATCTGAGCATATACCTGAGCACTCCACCCACCACCCAAATCTAGCGCCAGCCGCAGTCCCTCAAGTAAATTTAAACTCAGTGAGTAATCCCAAAAAGATAACCTGGAATTTGACACAAAGAAACTCGAAAGGGGGAGAAAACATTTTCATATCTAAGTATTACGCAGTCGGGTGCGCGGACAGGGACCCGCGCCCACCCGCTGGACCCACGAGCTAGGCCTGGCAGCCCCAAAGCGCGCACCCCCAGCCCACCAGCCCCGGGAGGCTCAGAGGGGCCGACGCGCCCGCGCGGGGCCTGGGGAAGCGGAGCGAGGCCAGCAGGAGTGCAGGGAACCATACTGTATTGGAAAAGACGATCCCGGCGTCTGTCCGCTGCACCCTGAGGAGCATCTGGTTGCCGTCGTCCAAGAAGTTGTTGACTTCGGGAGAGTTGCAGTGAAGCGGCTGGTCCCAGAGCTCCGACATCAGCCCAAAGTAATTCTGGGTGGTAGTGAAGATGAACACTTTCCGAACGTCCCCGGTTTCGCCCGCCATGGTTTGGGCGAGGGGGAAGGAAGAAGAAACTCGGCCGCAGGGTAAGGCAGGGGAGAGTGGGGTTGGGCTCCCACCCAGAGCCCGCAGCCCGGCCCGCTGAGCTTCGCGGTTGCCAGGGACAGTCGCTATGGCGACGGAGCCCTGCGGAGGCGCGCCGCGGACGCCGCCGCCTCGGGCACGAGCACGCAAAACTCTGGCGCGGATCGACCGCCTCGGCGCTCCCTAGCCGCTCGCCGCGGTCATCGATCTGAAGTAGGAGCCGCTTAGCGCGGGGTCTGAATCCTTCTGCCAATTTCTTAGATGGCACAATCAGGTGAGTGTCTTCAAGTGCAGCAGCGGAACCTGGACTTGGGGGTCCTGGTGTCTAGTGCTCCCTCTCCACCTGCAGCAAACCCCTCTGTTAATGTTTGGGTCCACATCTGTGAGGTGGGGAAATGCTACCTCCCACCCAAGGTGGTAATGAGCATTTAAGAGTTCAGTATATTGCTTGCTCCTTTCTGTATGGGATGTTTCTCACCCGCCATTATTTTTTTTTTAATACTGTTATTAATTTCCGAAAAATTAACCAGTTTTTCATTACAATCGTTACCTGAACACTGGGCCACATTTGTAAAATAAACGAAACATACAATAATACTTGTTAATTTATTTTGCAATGGGCACAACCAAATCTGAAGAAATGGGGAAGTAAGTTAGACTTCATCTTTTTTTTTTTTTTTTTTTTTTTTTTGTGGGACCCTCGCCTGCAGCCAGGGATCGAACTGGCGCTGCAGAGGCTGCGGGCAGCCTCGCAACCCAGCGCTCAACCTCTGCGCCAGCAAGGGAGGCCCAGACTTCATCATTTTTTTACCTCATGGGATCATTATAAACTACTAAACCGCTGGTCATTTATCCCAGTATTCATCAAAGACTCAGAAATCAACAATTACCAGTTACCGTGTAGCAGTATCTACAACATGCTGCTCAGTGCCAATTAACAACGTAGGCCCTGGAGACAGTCCGTTCCCTCATAGGATTTTTGGTCTACTCAGTTATCATCTTTGCCCTAATTGGAGCCTTTGGTGTTTGTGAAGCTGCTTTACAGATTGCTGTCTTAAAAAGTCTGTTGTACCTCTACCACATTATGTAATATAATGAAGCATGCTAGTGAAACTATTTTACGGGTCTCAGAAAAAAAAAAAATCTAACATATTAATAGGTAGTGGTTTCCATCTATAACAATTATTTTAGAAAGATTGATGTTATTGTCTTTACTGTGTGCATGATTGATGTTATTGTCTTTACTGTGTGCATGATTGTCTTTACTGTGTGCATGATCACCTTTTATTTTCAGGAAACAGTCTTGCTTAGACTTGTAACTGAATGCACTCCAATATTTTTTTTTAAATACATAGCCTTTTATACCATGTCAACTAATAATAAAAATGTTTACATAAACTGTTAGAGTGGTTGTCTTCTGTTTCTGTTAGGGGAAAAGGATGTCCTGAGCAAACTAACTCCATACTGGTTTTGTGGCCTCCACCCCCACAACACTGGGAACTACAAATCCCATGAGCACCAAAGGGAGGGTAGCTAGGATCCGAGGGTGGAGTTAAGCAGCCATGTTTGATATAAGAGCAGCCATGTGGGCAGGGCCACTCTCTTTGCCTCCGGCTCTGGGCTTTTTGCCAGCTCAGCAGACCATTGGGATTCTAGGTCAGCTGAACTGGTAGGATGTATTTGTGAATTTATCGCCCTCTTTTTCTCCCTGAGTTATTCAGTTCCCCTTCTCTTATAAATAAACCTTTTATTAACCTTTTGTGTCTGCCTGCAGGTTAGCATTAATAAGTCCCTTTAAAGCGCTGGGTGAGGACCCACAGTCATGCAACCCTTTTCATATCAGGGTTGCCCTGTAACATTTCCATTTTAAGCTTGTAGAATCACATGTAATTAAATCACATTTTCTGTTTCACATCTTTTAGAGAGTTTATTCTGTGAGAAAATAACTTTTTGAAATCACAATTGCAATGAGTATAGAACTTTCAAAAAATGTCAGCAACAATTTACTCATCAGGGTAGGTCAAGACAAATCTAAAGAGAGATCAAATTACTATTCCCATTTTTCAAGCATTCACTTGGCACCTTTAATCCTTAAAGATAACCAGTCAAATGTGAAATCTGAAATTTTGTACCATTATGAAAACTAATTAACTGAAACTAATCAGTCTTTTCTATCATGTTCCTAGTGTTCTTTTCAGGAACAGGGCCCTGAGGGCCTCCCCGTGGCACAGCAGTTAAGTGCCCGGTTGCGAAGCTGCTCACAGCACCAGTTCTATCCCCTGCCACCGCCGCCGGGGAGGGTCCCACATGGCGCCTAGACCCCTCCTGCCACTCGCTGCTACCCTCAGCAGTGTATTTCGTCGGTCTGCCTTTTCTGCTCTCCATTCTGTCTCTGGTGAACTCTCTCACCTCCCCACGCTTCTGACTGTGCTTGTATAAATAAATAAATAAATTTTAATTAAAAAAAAAAAAAAATAGGGCCCTGAAGTCAATGCGTACACATTTGTGGAGTTCTTGAGAAAGGGGTCCCAGATCAGTCTCCGTGTGAAGGGCAGTTCTCTCCATTAGATTCATATGAGTTCCTCATGGTCCAACAACCCATAACCAAAATTAGTCATCTGAACTTCCTGCTGGGGAAACTCTGGGAGCTTCACAGCTGTTTTAAGGCTCAAAGATTTTTTAGTCCAGCACATCAGGTTTTTTGTTTTTGTTTTTTTAACAATACAACTTCCTTAAAAACTTAGATTTTCTAATGTATTCACCTTTAGTTCCATATTCTAAATTATTTTAGTTCTTTCCTATTTTTAATTCTCAAGAATGGTATCTTTGGTTGTTCACACACATTTCTCCTCTGTCAACTTAATACTTATTTTAGGTTATCTGAAACGTAAGTTTGGATGACAAGGTTAAAAATCCTTTATCTGATCTTTGTCAAAAGTGTCTTTTTTATTTTTTAAATGAGAGATCTTTTAGTACTTTGTTAGCTAAAACTTTCAGTTTCATCTATTATGTAGGGTTTAGGATAATTAGCCTTTGTAACCCTGAAAAGCCCTTTATCTCTAGAACTCCCTCCTAATCGTCTCTCCTCTAAATTCTCATCCAAGTTCATTCTGCTTTCTTACTTGTAATATCTTGCTAAAGGCAACTATAGCTAATAGGCACTATCACTCTGCCTCCAACTACTTCCCACAGACTGAAGTGCCTCACTGGTGTCATGGTTCAACTTCCACTTCTCACTGGGAACACCTTTACTAAATACTTTACCAAGTACGGCTCTCCAGCTAACCAGCTTGCTAATCTCATTCTTGGGTGCCTGCTGCCTGACTACTAATTATATACAACATATTTTCCTTACTACTAATTCTATATAAAATATTTGAAATTGGGCCTCCTCTGGTGGTGCAGGCGGTTGAGCGCAGCACTGTGGAGCTGTCCGCGGCCTCTGCAGCGCTGGTTCGATACCGGCCTGCCGGCAAGGGTCCCACATGGCATGGCAGACCTCTCCTGTCTCGCCCACTGCTCCCCTCAGTGTATTTCAGTAGATCTGCCTGTTCTGTTCCCAGTGCTGTCTCTGGTGAATCCTCTCACCCTCCCACGGATCTGGCTGTACCCCTGTTCTTGTATGCATGAATAACTAAATCTTTAAAAAAAAAATGAAATTTCTGTATTACAGCACCATCCTTCCACTTAGGAGCTGCCTAAGTGGCATACTGATTGAGACAATGTAGACCCAAGGATGGTATTGTGTCTAAAATAATCTCCCTAAAAACAGGAACTTGCTGGAGAAATGAGAGATGGAAGATATCCCTGCAGTCTTATCACCAAAGGCTAAGATTTAGGTTTGCTTTTGGTAAAAATATATGAATGAATCCAGAAAAATCCTTTTTTCTTTAAACTGCAAAGAACTTTGTTCTGTTTGTCCTTCTAAATCTATTGCCTCCTATTCTTAGAGACTATATAATTTCATTGGAATGTCTAGAGGAGAGTTCATATTCTAGGCACCCTCCCGCTCCCCCAACCCTGTTGCACAAGTCATTAATCTCTTGCCAAGAGATTAGTTGCTTCACCAAAAAAAGCACCAAGATCTACATTCACATGGTAATCACTGTCATTGCCCAAATTTGTCTGGCTTTCCCCTTTCTTGGCACATAACAGGATTGCACTTCCATGCTCATTTTAAAGATAGGCATGACCATTTTACCCGGTTCAATCTTTGCACTGTAAGTAGAAGTGACTTATCACATATACATAGAAACATAAGCCAATGGATCACTTAGCATGTTCTTACTGTTATGCTGAGCATGTTGTGCTTACTCTTCTTACCGTTGTCCAAGATGAAGTTTTATCACCCTAGCTCCCTAAGTGACTATGATGAGCATAGTCTTCTTGATGGAGTATCATAAATAAATAATTTTTTTGTTATACAAGATTTTGATGTCATTTGTTACTGGACCAAAACCTGATCCTGTTAACAGTCAAGACATGGCAAATGTTAAACAAGCTCCAAATTTCAGAGCTTAACATCATAGACTTTTTTTCTCATTCACTTGACATTTCAATGTAATATTTGGCAGACAGTCTTCCATGTGATGATTCAGAGACAGAGGCCTCTTCCATTTGTGGCCCACTATTCTCTAGAATAATAGAGGTCTCTTGGATATTTTTTAATCTGCCTGGAGAGTAAAGAGGGAAGCCTTTGGCAGATTTTATAATTCCTGACTGCCAGAGAGGGTAGGAAATCTAATCTTACTGTGTATCAGGAATATGAAAAAACAACTTTTAGTAAGAACATACCACTCTCTATCACAGAAGCCTGGTGCTCCATTAAATGATTCATAGGTCATTTATGTCTTGACTTGCTCTAAGATGAGTGCAATGTGGGCTTCATGGATTCACAATCTGTGTAGATGCCAAGGGCCTCTTAGAAGGATCCCACAGTTGCTTTAATGGTTTGTTCTCAAAAAGCATTAAATTTGGAATAAGAATTCCACATCTTCCTTTACTCAGGGCCCCACAAATTATATAGCTAGTCCTAGGTGTGTTATACCAGGAGGTATAGCTAGAAGCCTTAACTGCA